AAAAAAAGAATAACTTACAGTTGCTGTTTTAGCCATTGTACCAAGTCGTTTTAAAGCTGGCTTACGAGCAGCTTTTGGTTTAGTAACACTTTCAAGTGTCTTTTTAGCATTAGCACTTGCTTGACGACGTTTAGTTTCAGCTCGTGTATCACCAAGTATTTGTTTACCAAGCAATGCTTGTGCTTCCTATTAACAGTCAAATAGAAATAATCAAGTTTTTTTTGGATTAGTGTTATTTTTTTATGAATACTTTTGTTGTATTTTGCATTGTTCGTGCTTTGGATAATTTTGGTTTAGCTTTTGATGTTGATGTCGATGGAGATGAATCTGGTTCATCACGTGCATCAAGTAAAGCATTGACTTTATTTAATTGATCTTCACCCCATGATCGTTTTAAAAATTCTTGACCAGCCTAAATTAAATGTATATATATATTTTTACTTATTATAAAAAAATGATTATTTATCTTACAGCTGCAGTAGCCACCATCGTGCCTGCTTTTTTTAATGATGATTTTGCGGTTTTACCTTTCTTTGGAGACATCGGTTCGCTCTACTGCTTATGTACGTGTGTAAATGTATGTGTGTGAAATGAGAGGAGTGAATGAATGAATGAATGAATGAATATATATATATATACGTAGGTAGGTTGTGTTTACCTAGAACACATTGAAAATAACGATTATATTAATGTTTCTACATAAAATATCAATTATATAAGATTTATTCTTGAAAATATATGTTAGTAGATATGTGTTGGGTAATTCTGTTAGAATAGAGAGGTTTATATCTATTTTTCAAGGTGAGATTTCATGTATTTAGGCTTGTCATGTGCAATATCTCGTTCTGTCTTTCTTTTTTTTATGCGAGAGTAAATTGTATGTGTATGTGGGCACGGTTAGAGTCAATAGAAAAGGAAAGAAAAAGAAGAGAAAAACGTCAAATAGTGGCCATCAGCAAAATTCTTCGCTTACTTAGTCCTCTATATTGCTGATATTAGAGTTAAATATGTGATAATTAAAGAAAATTAGTGTTTGGAGGAATTAATTAAAAAAGACAGCTGTCACTCGTTTTCAGTCAAGCAAGAATTTATTATACAAGCGTGAAAAATACCTTAAATTTATAGCAATTATTGATCCATATTATTGGATTGAACAAAAAAAATCTCTATCGTTTGAATAGAAATTATATCGTTCGTTGTTAAAATATTTGATAATATGAACACATTTCTCATGTGACAAATCATACGTACTGATTTGAAAACAGTTTTATCATGTATGGAGCAGTTGAGCAAGCATAGTTGAAAATAATAACATTTAGATTTGGTACGACAAAGATAAAAATCTATAATTGTGTTGAGTAAATCATATTATTCAAAAGATTTTACATTATATCAAAGGATACTATCGAGTCTGCTGTTTTGATTATTATTTTTCAAATTGAATATTAGATTTATTATGTTTTTTCTCTCAATATTGAATTAAAACTAATTATCAATTTCCAGATTTTGATCTTCAAATAAGAGAGAAATTTTAATTTATTCAACAATATTGTGTTATAAATTAGGACTAAGACATAAAATGATATAACATCTATATGATAAGATCGGTAAAAATTACCTGTGAAATATGTTTGTTAAAGTTAATATTTTGAATTACATGCTTAGTATCACACATCAAAAATATGCAATCAAAACAAAATATGAAAAGAGATTGTAATGCTTTTCCTGCATGTAGAATTAAATCAGTTATTGAGAAAAAAATTAATGTACAAACTAAAACCCTATAGATAATAATTATGGGCATTCTTTTGATTATTCACGCACAATTCTTACAAAATGCAATTTTTCGAAAGTAAAATCGAGTAATTGATTGTGAAAAATAGAAAAACATCAAATTTTTTTATTATCACATATCTTTTGGCTTAGATGATATATATACTCGTCAATTAATTAGTAGGTTTAGATATGTTAATTAATTACTCATAGAGATGATAGAGAAAAATGTTAATTCTAATGTGTTCTAAATACTTTTCGACGTCTTAAACTCCTCTAGATTATAATATTTTTTAACTAATTAACAGCATATCCTTATTGTATGGTAATCATAAGTAACTTTTGAGATTACTATCAGTCCCCATCTGCTTGAAGCCTTTTTGAATCGAACGAAACGCACGGTTTGTTATAACAAAACATTGTCATAAATTTGAGATGGTTTTCCGTCGGCTAATTCTCAAGTACCATCAATTCGTAAAAAACTCCATGAGTACACGCGAACTTCATAGAGTTGAACATCTCTGACAATGTTACTCTAACTAACAGTATCATACTTTTCTTCTCAACTATTATCAACAACAATTCCAGGATACTCAAGAGAAATGTAAGTCTCCAGTCAAGTGATAATATTGCAAATGATTATTAAATAATAAATCTCATGATATTCTTTCTGCAATAAATATTAATTTATAATTTGAAATAGTTCCCTTTTTCTAAAAAAACACATTGCTATGACTTAATATATGTGTTTACATTGATTCTATTTTAATCGAGCATCAATAAAAACCTATCTGAATTACGATACTGCATATGCAAAAAGTAAGACAAGGTTAAATAGTTTAGATGATTGATTTTGTGATACACGATCTTAAAAATAGTCTTTATGCAATATTCTTAAAACATGTCGAAATAAGAATTTATAATATCTGTTCATAATTTATGAACTTCTATTATTAACTTTAAAAGCATCATTGCAATTCATAAAGCTCATATAATGAATTTATTAGTATTATAATAATTTCATGTAACATCCGATCTTGAATAGTATTATTTTATTCTCCGCTTTTTCTCTTATCATAATTTTAATGAGTTGATATAAAACAAAATTCTCAAATATATTATTTCTAGGTTGTATAGTACTATATTTACTAGTAAAAACAAGGAGAAAATGTACATAGAAAAATAATCTAAGAAGATGTTGATTCGCCTTTTTGTTTATCTTGTAATCTTTTAAGAATTTCAAGTTTTTTCTGAATTATTGGATCACGTGCTATTGCTTGATCGCGTCGTTTCTGTTCACTTTCACTTTTGTTTATTTTTCGATGAGTTTCAAGCTAAAAATATCAAAATTTATTAAAATCGATTCATTGTTGATACAAAAAAACTGATTATAAAAAAAAACTTACATCTTCTTTTTTACATCGATACAATTGAGCAAGCAACCCATCACAAGCGCCTATAGCTCGACTTTTCTTTTCAATACATTCATAAAATAGATCTAATACTTCATTACATTTTGGATCAAGAAAACGATGTGTACCGGTTAAAAAAGACATCTAAAAAAGAACGAAGTCAAGATGTTATTGAAAAGAGATGATTGCTATAGAAAAGAAAAACAACAAAAAAAAACAAAAAACAAGAAAACAAATTATGGAAGTTTATAAGTAAAAAGTTCATGAAATTGTTTACATCGATTTAACTTTCATTTGTTTCATTTTTGGTGTTCGTCGTTTCATTTCACGTTTATGTTCTTTTTCTTCCCATTTACGTTGTAATTCAGCATCATCAGATTGCATAACTTTTTCTTTTTCAGCTCGACGTTTATCTTCACGGCGTATTTGAGCTTGTTCTTGTCGTTGTAGATTAACTGATTTTAAAAATTGTTCTTCGATACGTTGACGATTTTTAATAGCTTTATTTTTTAATTCTTTTGATTTGAAACGAAATGCACTAACAAATTCGATTAGGTGTAATACTAAACGTAAGTAGTCACTGCCTATCGTTTCACTTGTTACTTGTAATGAACGACCATTTTGTGCAGTTATATTAAATGCAACTATTAATACACGACGAACAGAACGTTCACTTGCATTAAGAGCATCTTGTTGTTGAGCAGCACTACCAGAAGTTGTTGGAGGAGGTGATGATGATTGTTGTTCACCATTTTGAGATTTCATACCGGTATACTGATCACTGACGTAGATGTATTCAAGTGCATCGGGAAATCTAGATGTTTCATAATCAATAGATTAGATTATCATTATATAGAATTTGTAATGGAAAGATCGTATTTTTTTACGAGAAATTGTTTTAGATCGAACTCTGTTATAGAAAGTCTACATGTAAGACTTAAATTATTGATTCAAAATCTTTAATAGATTACAGATATAGAAATCATCGAATAGGTAAATATATATCTCATGACCTAGTGGGAAACAAGTATTGGATAGTTTTCAGTTTGGCATATATCGCAAAGTTGAAAAAGATGCCTAATACTCCACGACACTTTAATAATTACATTCTCAAAGAAATCTCTGTAATACTCTAAGGATTTGTTGTTCTATCTTCAACTTTTAAAATCAAATCATTTCGATTAAACAATGTAGAAAGCTTCGCTCTATTCATTATAACTTCAAACAGAGTGCAGAACTATATTTGGAGAATCTTAACTCTAAGAAAGAATAAGTGAATAAGAAATTCATACTTATCAATAAAATCTGCTACTTTTGTTGAATCAATTATTGCCGATGAAGCTTCACCAATTTCACTTAAAATTTGATAATTACTACTTAAACCTTTTTTATCGGCACTTTTTCTTTCTACACAAAATTGACTAAGATCATTCATATCACGATGTAATTTAGCTGCAGAACGTTTTTTAGCTAAACAAAATACAAATGTTTCCATATCATCTTTATTAAAATCAATTGTATAAACAATTGTATCATTGATTGATTTTATTATTGCAGCCACAGAATTAAATGCACATTGTCGTTTGATTAAACGTAATTCTATTAACATACTTTCAATAGATGCTCGACCACTACACCATAAAATATATAAATGATCTGATTCTTTATGCATATCTTTTATTTGATCATCTGTTTGTGTATTTGTTGTTTGACCATCATCACCAACAAGAGAAAAATTTCGATCAAGTAAATCACGTTGTGAACGATAAACAATAGTTGCTAGACGAGCATTTTTTGTACGACCAATAAGAAAATTGATTAAATAGGCAAGTAAAGCAATTAACATAACAGCTTCACATTGATAAGCTTCCCAACGATTACCAGTTAAATTAGCTGGTACTTCTGCTATTTTAAGATCAGGTGTTGATGAACTTGATGATGCAAATGTATCAGACTAAAAATTTCGAAATATTATATAATCTAATTGAAAAAATGTCGTTTAAAATTAAATTATTTTTGTTTAATTTAAAAAATAACGTTCTCTTAATGCATAGTTTCTGTTCGGTTTCATTTAGATATCGACATTCTATTTTTTTCGCTCTCTTTCAGAAATTTATTTATATATACAAACAACAAGAAACATATTTTCACGCTTCGCATAATCAAGTAACAGCCTCGATTTGTCTGATGCTTGATAATTTGAAACAAAAGCATATAATTTCTTTGTAGGAAATTCGTTACTAGTTTTTTCTTAATTGGATGTTTCACTTCCCGTTAAAATTAAAGTGTAAAGTTATTTTCGAAATAAGATATACACTAAAACTGAAACAGATCGTAAATGATGGATATCATATTTACTGAATGTCACCCGTAATTAATTCTTATAAAAACCAGTTTAGTTGTCTTTTTTATCTATTAAAAAGACTTACTGCTTCAAATTCTTCATCATCGAACATTGACTCATCATCATCATCATCAATAGTGACTTCGTCATTTCGTGTATTACTCGATTCTGTTTGTACTGGCTCTTCATTATCATTTTTTTCTGGTTTATTCACTTGTGTTTTTGAAGGTAACGGAGTAGCACCAGTTACAGTCGGTGTTTCTATAATAAAAATAAAATAAAATATAAAAAACAAGATAAATTTCAATTAACATACCAACATCAAATTCATCATGATCGAAATCATCAAATTCGGAAAAATCTTCATCCTTATTTTTCTTTGCTATTGAATAAGTTAAACATAAAAAAATCAAGACTAAACTTATAACTAAACGCATTTTGTTTCGGTAGAAAATACCTTTAAATAAAAAAAAACATCCAAAATTTTCTTTATTTTTATTGGTTTCTTACAAACAACCAGTCAGTTTTTCTTGAAAAAAAACTCTACTTCTATAAGAATAAAAGAATTTTATTTTATTTTATTTGATGTTATTTTAAACGAAAGATTTTGTTTTTTATGATTTTATTTTCTAATATAGATGGGAGTATTGAATTTAAAATTTAATAACCAATGAGAAAGCACAACGTTTTTTACGTCATAGATACTGTTCTAGTTCAATAAAATTTTTGTATTTTAATTTTAGGTGAAATATTCTAATCATTTGTTTTGTTTATTTTTTAATAAATAAGAAAAAAGAAAAGAAAAGGGCAAATTTAAAATTGTATGTAATCAATGCTCTACATCAGAGAAGTCTATCTGATGCTGTTGCTTATCGGAGTGTAATGCAACTGCCAAGGTGAGAATGAATAAGAGAAGATAGAGATAGGACGAACAAGGTCGAATATTCATACTTTTATTTCTTCTTTGCGTTCGTTTCGCTTTTTTTCCTCTTCTTCTTCTTCTTCTTCTATTTGATAGAAATTGTGATCAGAGTACCACTTGATATTTTGTCTCGGGTCACAAATATTTAAAATACTTTCAAACTGATAAAGATGCCAGAGGAATATTTCTTCTACTTAAAGAATTTATATTATTTTTAATATTCACTGTATATAATCAGTATGAATATTGTCTGACACATATATTTAATCATTAATATATGATGATTCTTTTCTTTCTTTTCGTATGTTGTCTCACCTATAGACTATGCTATTTTTGTAAAAAAGATGTTAAAAGAGTCATATGCTGAGTAATATATATATATAATATATATATATCCATATATGGTAAAATGAAATTCGTCTATCTTAGTCAAAAACGAACTGCGGTCGACGATACGGCATAGGACGGAGGAGGATAGAAATAATTGCGTAGATATTTAAGGTGATAACTTCATATTCATTTCAGGTTGTATTCATCGTCCTCTCACAACATATAATATCATCATCATCACTATCTCTCTTCATCTTTCATGGCCCGGGTTGTTCGTAATAGCAAATTTCGGTAAGTAAAATCTATTCTATATATATTTAATAGAAAAAAAGAAAAGAAAATACAATAGATTATTTTATTTTTTTCTAGACATGTTTTTGGTCAAGCATCTAAAAAATCTGATTGTTACGATAATATTCGTATAACAAAAAGTGCATGGGATTCAACATTTTGTTCAGTTAATCCAAAATTTGTTGCAATTATAACTGAATCAGCAGGTGGTGGTGCATTTCTTGTTTTACCACTTGATAAAGTTGGACGTATTGATCGTGATGTACCACTTGTTAGTGGACATAAAGCAGCTGTACTTGATATAGCTTGGTGTCCACATAATGATAATGTTATTGCAAGTGGTTCAGAAGATTGTTCAGTTAAAATATGGGAAATACCTGATGGAGGTATAACACAAACATTAACACAATCGTCTGTTGATCTTGTTGCACATCAACGACGTGTTGGACAAGTTGCTTGGCATCCAAGTGCATTAAATGTTCTATTAAGTGCTGGTGGAGATATGAAAATATTTATTTGGAATGTTAGTAAATCAACAATTCTATCAACAATTGATTGTCATCCGGAAGTTATATTAAGTGTTTCATGGAATTATAATGGTTCACGTATAGTTACGTCTTGTAAAGATAAAATGTTTCGAGTTATTAATCCTCGAAATGGCGACGTTCTTCAAGTAAATATATTAGAAAAAGAAAAATTACAAATATATTTCTTGTCTTTTTATTAATAGTCAGGTGCAGGTCATCAAGGTGGAAAACCTGCTCGAGCAATTTATTTACGTGATGGAAGAATATTTTCTACAGGTTTTTCAAAAATGGCTGAACGACAATATGCTGTATGGGATGAGGTTTGTCTTTTTTTCATTGATTAGTAATAGAAATAACGAAAAAGATATTTTTTTAGAACAATTTAGGTGCACCTTTAACAATGGATGAGCTTGATTCATCAAATGGTATTCTATTTCCATTTTATGATCAAGATACCAATGTTATCTTTCTATGTGGAAAGGTAAGAATATAAATTTTAAAGATATTGTTAAAAATTAGAATCTCAAACATTGTAGACTTTTTCGATAAAAATATTTTCTATTCTATTTGTAGGGTGATTCAGCAATTCGTTACTTCGAATATACACCAGAAGCACCTTACATTCATTTTCTTAGTACATATACATCATCTGACCCTCAACGTGGTATGGGTTCAATGCCGAAACGTGGTTTGAATATTGCTTCATGTGAAATAGCTCGGTAAATTGATATTAATTACATACGATAAATCAATTGATTTTAATTTTAGTTTTTATAAGTTACTTAATAGTGGTCTTTGTGAAGTAATTAGTTTTACTGTACCTCGAAAAGTAATTTTGTTAATTCGTAGAATTATATGTATATGAAAGTAATTTATTTAATTTAGTCTGAGTTATTTCAAGATGATCTTTATCCAGATACAGCAGCTGAAGAACATAGTATAACAGCTGATGAATGGATTCAAGGACAAGATGCAGATCCTAAATTGGTAAAGAAAAAATTGAAGATTATTTCTTTTCTTATTATTTAATTTAGGCATCGATTCGTGATCTACATTCGGGTCCACGATCTCCGATAAGTGTTCATGTTAGTAGTCCGAGTCAACCAAAACAAGAAGTTGTCTTTGGTAAACAAAATATAACTTCAAAACCATCGGAACCAAGACCTACAAACACTAATGTTACTCAACAAAAACCACAGGTATATTTTATAAAGATCCTCATCAAAGAAATACTAAAATGAATATTCAATACAATATTAATTGACGAGTTTATAATTTTCTTAAAAATTCAGTAAGACTTTTTGTTTTATTGTTTGGGTTTCGAGCATGTATTTAATCTGCATGTTTGATACTGAGTTTATCAGCATATTTCTTCCCTATCAAACATACTTGACAATATTCTATATTAAAATGTCTTTTTTTTAATTTAGACGGAGCAAAGTCCTGTTCAGCCAATTAAACCTTCACCAACAAACCAAACGGCAGCTTCATCTAATGATAATTTGCAAAAACAACTTGAATTAATTCTAAGTCGTTTGGATGCAATTGAACGTCGTGTTGAAGCAGTTGAAAAGCTTGCTAAAAATAATCAAACTCGAGAATCGATTGTTGAAAATAATACCATTCCGAATGATGATTTACAATTTTAAATCTTTTGTTTTGTTCATTTTTTTTTTATTATTAATTCTAATATTTCTATTTGAAAAAAGATTTCTTATATGTGTGCGTGTGTATTTCAGCATTTCAAAACATTTTCTATCCGGTGTTGTATCTTCCGTCTAAACAAAAAAAAATTGTTTTTTCTTAAATAATCATTTTAGATGAAGTTTATTTATATATTTATCTTCTTCTTCATTTTCTTAGTAACATTGATTTCAGCTGGGTCCGTAACAAAAAAATAATATATGTATATATATGATTCGTGTTTTGTTTTTGTTTAGTCGAGATTTTTATAAAATTTTAAATCTACCAAGAACAGCAACATTAAATCAAATAAAAAAATCTTATCGAAAATTAGCAAAAGAATTCCATCCTGATAAGAATAAAAATGATCCAAAAGCACAAGAAAAATTTCAAGATTTAGGTGCTGCTTATGAAGTAAAATAGTTCTAGAAAAAATGAAATTCATAATAAAAGAATTGTTTTTTTCTGTTTAGACATTGTCTGATACTGATAAACGTAAAGTTTATGATAAACATGGTGAAGAAGGTTTAAAACAACAAGGTGGTGGTGATGGATTTCATGATCCATTTTCCAGGTTAATTTAGAAAAAATTAAATATATACAAGTAGAATTGTTTTTCTTTGTTTAGTTTTTTTGGAGATTTTTTTCCTTTTGGTGGAGGATCAAGAGATGATGGGCAACATCATGTACCACGTGGTGGAGATTTAGTTATGAATTTATATGTAACACTTGAAGAAGTTTATAATGGAAATTTTATTGAAGTAAATCAATAAAGATTCGATAATTTTTTTGTATTCAATTAAATATTATATTTAGGTTGTTCGAGCTAAACCAGTTGCAAAACAAACGTCAGGTTCAAGAAAATGTAATTGTCGAATGGAAATGCGAACAACGCAAATGAGTCCTGGAAGAGTAAGATTATCATTAATTTAAATAGAATAACACAATCTGAACTAGTTTAGTCTTATTACCAATATAAGAACACTAGAAATACTTCAAGAAACAGTTAAAATTATTATCTTAATCTTTTCCGATCGGACGCTGCCGAATGGCAACATTTTATCGTAGGGGAATACGGTATTTTTAGAAGAGTCAGTCGGAAAGGATGAAGAATAAGTAACAAGTTTCCTTAGCAAACGTCAATACATTATAGATATCATCCCTAGAGATCAGCGTGGTAGTAACTAAAGTTTGCCCACGAACATGAAGAAAATCTTTTGATTTCATTTTTGGGATTATACATCTCGATTCTAATGAACTCATAGAGAATACACTAGCAATTCTGTTGAATAACGATAATGTTATATGATGTATGAATGTCAAATTAATCATCCTGAAATAATCTATTTATTTATTTTAGTTTCAAATGATGCAAGAACAAATATGTGATGAATGTCCAAATATCAAGTAAATAGAATATAATTTGATAATTTTTAATTAAGCATTTTTGTTTTCTATTCATAGATTTGTTACTGAAGAAAAAGTCTTAGAAATTGAAGTTGAAGTTGGTGTAACCGATGGATATGAAATACCATTTCTTGCTGAAGGTTTATATTTAATCATAAACTTCTAAGACTTTATTATTTTTATCTAGGAGAACCGCATATGGAAGGTGAACCAGGAGATCTGAAATTTATTATTCGTATTCAAAAGTAGATTATAAAAATTTTTTCTGACAAAATATTTTTTTCTGTCACTTTAGGCATCCTGTTTTCGAACGTAAAAAAAATGATCTTTATACAAATTTAACAATTACACTTCAAGATGCATTGAATGGATTTAATATGTCAATAACACATCTCGATGGTCACAAAGTAATACAATAATTTTTGGGTTTTAAATTTCTTTCATCGTTTTTTTATTTAGGTAACAATTAAACGTGAAAAAATTTCATGGCCCGGTGCTCGTATTAAGAAAAAAGGTGAGGGTTTATCACAACATGATCAAAATAATATAATTGGTGATCTTTATGTGACTATTGATGTTGCTTTTCCAAAAACTGAACTTAATGATGAACAACGTGAAAGTAATTTCATAATTTATTATGACAATATAACATTATTGTTTTTCGTTTAGTTATTAAAACTTTATTAAATCAACAATCAAAACATCAATTATATAATGGTTTATAAATCTCAAAACTACAAAAATGCGACAAATGTGATGTTTTATTCCCAATTTTTCTTTTGCTTTTCGTTTTGATCTGATAAATGTGAATTATTCTTCGTATATATATTAATACGTAGAAAAATAATAAATTGTTTTTTTTTACGAAATAAAATTCTTGAATAATATCTAATCAATTCAATAAACGATTGTAAATCTACGAATTGTTTTTAAAATTGACCAATTATAAATGAGAATTTTGAAGTATGTTTTTTTCTTTACATCAGTTACGACTGACTAGAAGGTAAAAAGTGCTCATCTGTCAAGCATAGAAAAAAGATTTGCCATTTCTACGTAGTAAAAACTAACAGGAACTACTTTTTAAATTAGAAATTTTTTTCTCTCTTCACAGTAAAATATGTTGATAATTAATTCATTTTTTTATTTTTATTTTATTCACAGTATGAAATCAAAAAAAGAAATTGTCTATTCTTGTTTGTCTAAATTCATTAAATGTTGTATGTATGATTCCCAAGTTGGATGAGATAATTTTAAATCATTACAAATATTAGCATATTTTTCACGTGTATCAATAACATATTTCACAGCTAATTCACCTTTATCGATATATGTTTGCATAATTGGATCAGCTTTCATTGAGAACTAATATTAAAATGATTTTTTTTTGTTATCATAAAATAAATATTTTGTTTTACTTACACCTTCTAATTCTGTTCGTGCTTTTGATACAAATTGTTTAATAGCATCAATATCAACAGGAAATTGTGTTTTTTGACTATGATATAAGAAATAAAAGAGTATGGAAGCTGTTGATATAAGCCGATGAATTTCATCTGAAACTAAATAATAGAAATAGGAGAAAAAAAATGAATTAACATATTTTTAATTTATATTTACTTGATGAATCTAAACCTTTTTCTTTTAATTGATTTTTAACTTGTTCAAAATCAACATTGAATAATTTACCAAATTCATCTGTTGTTGGATATGAACCATCCTTTTTTAATAAGAAAAATAAATATGATTTTTATAGAATTTTGTTTTTTTACATTATTTTGTTGATGAAATATTTCATTGACAAGTGAATCAGTCAATGGCGTTTCAACGATTGAACTTAATGGTTTATCTAATAAATAATCGATATAAAATCCTATTTTCGAAAAACATAATTTATTTACCTGCTGTATTATTTGCAGCAGATCCGTTTATATTGTCCTAATTAAAACTATCAACTTAATTCTTCCGTTAATACAAGAAATACTTACAACTTCGTTGCTTGTCATTGTGTTAATTCACGTTAATAACTAGTAGCAGGCTGTTAATGGCAGAATAAGACACGTCAACCGAATTGAGGCTCTACACTTTCTCTTTTTTTCTTCTTTAGACATATATTCTTCTCTCCGCTCATTTATATTTTCTTCTTTTTTTTTCTTGTTCTTACTCGCCGGTCAAAAAACAGCCGACGACATAGGAAGGAGTTGCATTCACCGCCTTCTTCATACTCGACAAATCCACACAAAAAAAAAGAATTAGTCAGCTTTTTTTCTCGTTTTTTTTCTTGTTGATTCTCTTCCTCTTCCAAGAATATATTGCTTCAAAATGACAAACACAAAAATTAGCATGCTTATTTTCTTTTTCGAGATGCAACAATAATCTTCATTGACTGGAGCAAATTCATCTTTATTTCCTTTGGTTCTTTTTTGCGAAATCAGAAAAAAAGAGCGGTACAGATATCAATAAAGAGCGAGCAAAAAAAAAGAAAGAAGAAGTTTACACACAATTTTAAAGAAAAAAAAAAGTCAACATCAAAAATATAAGAAACAATATTTATGTTGTCAACATTTCTTTCTCTCAGATATCCACATATACAGACTAAAAACTTGTTGTTCGTGAATATTTTACTTTGTATTTATATTAATCATAAGTGTTCTAATGGATCTTTCGCTGAGTAATTCATGTAAAGAAAAAAGAAAAAAACAAAGATTCAAATAAGAAAAGTTGACATCGTTTGAACAGGAAAAAGATTTATAATATGCTAGAGTATATCCTTATATAAGAAAAGTAAAGACTGATGTTTGTTTGTTTGTCTGTGTGTGTGTTTGTGTGTGTGTGAATAGTTTTTAAAAGAAGAAAAAAAAGAGCGAAGAATAAAATAAAGAAACAAAATAGCACACACGCGTACAACAACGAAAGAAACAAACAAACGAAAAAAAAAAGATATTTCTTTTATAATTAATAATGATGAATGATATTTTATATGGTCAATTTTATTTTGATGTCATCATTGTAACGAATTCTTCATAATTAACTTGACCATCTAAGAGAAAATCATAAAAAAAACTTATGTAAAATAAATGAAATTTACCTCCATCAATATCTGCTTCACGAATCATCTCATCAACTTCTTCATCCGTCAATTTTTCACCTAAATTTGTCATCACATGGCTAAAAAATGAAAAATGAAATTTTTAGTAAAAAAGAATAAAGAACTTACCGTAATTCAGCAGCGGATATAAATCCATTACCATCTTTATCAAATACACGGAATGCTTCGCGAATTTCTTCTTCACTATCAGTATCTTTCATTTTACGAGCCATCATTGTGAGAAATTCGGGAAAATCAATTGTACCATTACCTTTAAAATAAAATAAATAGAAATATTAAATCTCTAATATAAGGATAAATTGAAATTAGATTCATAGTCGTCATTGATCAATCATCAAACTTACCATCGGCATCTACTTCATTGATCATATCTTGTAATTCTGCCTCAGTTGGATTTTGTCCCAAACTACGCATAACAGTACCTATTTAAAACATAAAATATATATAAATTAAATATTATTTTGTTTTTACTATCTAACCTAATTCTTTGGTAGTAATAGTTCCATCCCCATCTTTATCAAAAAGAGAAAAAGCCTCTTTAAATTCAGCTATTTGTTCTTCAGTTAATTGATCAGCCATTTTACTTTTGAAATATTTTCTTTTGTTTCTCTTTTATATACGATTAAATCCCTCAGAATATACTAGAAATAACCAAAATCTAAAAAGGTAAATAAAGTAAATGATTGTAACTTATAAAACATAGTAAATAAGCAAATACACCTGGACTCTCAACTAAAATACAAAAATGATTCGATCGATTACAAACTACTAGATGTCGCTCAATAAATGAGAAAAAATTTTCAAGAAAAAAAACAATTAAAATAAAATAAATCATCGAAATAGAATTGAATATTTTTTAAGTTATTTTTATTTTATAAATAATAAACAAATACCATAATCCATGTTCTTCTATCCCTCATGAACCAATCATGACTAAATAAAGAACGAACGAAGAAAAAAAAAGAAGCTAGATACAAAGAAAGAGAAGAAAAAAGAAAGAACGAGAAGAAGAAAATGAGTATTCATGGTAGTATTGCAACTGCTCCTTAAAGGAGAGAGAGAACATATAAGCAACTAGTTGGCTTTTTTTTTGTTTCAGATTGTCGGGAATAAAAACGTCATCCGTCGGCGAGAAAAACGCCAACATCTGACGAGTTTGATTGAGAGAGAAGATTTTGTTATTATTTTTTTATTTTGAAATAAAACCACGCGCTAATTGTCTGTCTGCGGTTAAACTCTCTCTCTCTCAATGGCAGAAGGAGGTTATAATATGTCATCGCGCAATGTTTATGGTGATCGGATGCAGCAGCAGCAGCCAGAACAACAACAAGGTTTATTTGGGTTAAATAAACAAATAAATAAATAATTTATTTCTGTTTTTTTTCTTAGGCAGCGCGTTGGTAAATGAAGAAGAATTAGCAAGTAAAACACTTCATATACAATCGAAACGTTTTTATTTGGATGTTAAACAAAATCGACGTGGTCGATTTTTAAAAATTGCTGAAGTAAACAAGAAAAAATTCTTCATATGATCTTTTATTTATATTTTTCTCTTTAGGTAAGTTCCGGTGGTCGTAAAAGTCGTATCTTAATGTCAATGAATGTTGCACGTGAATTACGCGATCGTTTACAAGCATTTGATGAACATATTCATACATTAAGTAAATTTTGAAAGCGTTTTGAAGTTTTGAAGTTTAAGTTTTTTATTTAGATGGACAATCAATTGATAGTGATGAACAACTTCGATCAGCTATTATATCACGTGATGACAGAAAATATTATCTTGATTTACGAGAAAATGAACGTGGAGTATTTCTACGAATTTCTATGGTTGGAATAAATACACCTCGATCACAAATTGCAATACCAGCAGAAGGTGTACAAGAATTAAGAGAATCTTTAATAGATTTAATTGAAGAATTTGGAGCTGAAGATGATCGAGGTACAATAAAAAAGAAGATTTTTAATAGAAAAATTAAATCCGAATATTTCTTTTAGATAGTATCGAATCATTACCTGCAATAGGTAAGTTATTCTTATTTTTAGTTGAGTATTAAAACAACATAGTGCTCTTTATCATGAATTAATGAAATTATTTATAGTTGTCTACGTACTTTGATGAAATAAAAAAGACTTGTCATGATTAATTAGTTTTGTTAAAATACTTTAATTGACTTCTAGGGAGAAGATATATATATATAGAAGTATTCAAATTTTGTTTTCTTTAGAATTGCCTGAACCACCTAGTAATAAATATGTTCATGTTGGAAATAAAAATTTCTATTTTGATGTTGGTTCAAATAATCGTGGTGTATTTTTACGTATATCAGAAGTATAAAACTTAACAAAAAAAAATAAAACAGATGTTTTTATTTATTTTGTTTAGGTTCGTTCTAATTTTCGATCAGCTATAACAATACCAGAAAAAGTCTGGCCTTTGTTTCGAGATAATATTAAAGATTTTATTGATATTATGGATAATCAACGTAATAACCCTGGTGAAAAATCATCTAGTCCGCCAAGCGGAAACTAATATATATTTGGTTCTTAGAATTTTAATCAGTAGTTTATAGTTACGTTTTAAACACAATAATATTTTAATGAAATTTGTTTGTTTTCTTCTTTCTTTTCTAAACAAACTTGCTCTTCCCTTTAGCCGGTGTTATTCGCTTTTATAATTTAGAATGGAAGGTCTTTCGTCCAGTAACTCATTTTCTTGTCGTATATATATATTTTTATTTATTGACGAAACAAAAAAAAAACATTTCTCTAGTATTAGTCATTGTGTGTATGTATCTATGCGGGAAAGATGAAAAGTATTGTGCTTTAATGTCGGTATATTGCATATATATTTATTCCAAAATCAGTATTTTTGTTTTGTTTGTCAAAGAAAAAAAAATAAATGTATTAACAATCAAATTTATGCTTATATATGTATTATCTTTAGATATGAATAATTAATTTCTTTTTTTTTTGCAATGCCTTTATTTGGACGAAGATTATTTCATATTAATGAAAATGATATTAAAGAAGATAATCATGACATTTATACAATTGAACATACAGGTGAAGAATTTCATAGTAAAATTTTATATGACAAATTAAAGAAAATTTATGATTTGGAACGATGGACTTGTGAATGTACATGGAGAGCTGGTTTAACGCATAAAGAAGCATATCAATCGGAAATTGATATAAGAAAAACATTAGAAACAATTGTACCGAATTATTTTAATAAACCAATTTTTGATATTATATATCATAGTAAGTAAACATTTCCGAAAGACATGAATATCCTATAGAAAATTTATTTAGATGTTAAACCGTTAGAAAAATTGGCAGAAGAAGTATCGATTATACTTAGTCAAAGCTTTGTTATTAATGAACCAATACAATTCAAAAAGAAAAAAGATAATACAATGTAATATTTTTATTTCTTTTTTATCAATATAATAATTTATTTCAATTAGTGTCAAAGGTATTATCGAACGTATAGATGATAATGAAGATCCAAAAAAACGTTCATCAGAACGTGCCTCTGTTCAATCTAAACCACCATCAGATAAAGTAAATTACATTAAAATTTTATTTTTCTTTTATTCTTTTTTCTCTCTAGCAAATGAAAAATGTTAAATATTCAGTACGATTATTAGATGAAGATTGTGTAATGAATAATGTTCTTCCAAATGAATTACAGTATGTTAAAATATTAAATAGAATTTAATTATTTAGTTTTATTTTATTTTCTAGACGATGTAGTTTTATACCTAATCGTGAAAAACTAAAAACATTTATTCGTTCATATGCAATACGACTTGGAAATCGAATTGATAGTCCATGGATATTTTATGATGAAACAAATAAAGAAAAATATGATATTAAAGATCGATTATCAACAGATATTATTGAAAAATTTAAAAAATCAACAACTGTTACACTTGATGTAAATAGAAAGTTCATTTTTTTTTCTTTTTCTCGTAGAGAAGAGTCAAGTAGAGAGCTGTACTGCCCTCCGAAACCCGCGGAATCGGAATGACTATTTAAAATTTTTCGGAGTCGGAGCTGGAATAAAAAATCCCGACTCCGCAGTTCTCTAGAGTCAAGTAAACATAAATTGTCTGATTGTGTGTCTGCGGGGTCAAAAAAACATCGAACACCGATTTTCCCGAAAACACATTTCTAGAGGTATTTCGATGCAGGGACTTCGAATCTGATGTTAGTTTTTTGAAATTGTTTGAATAAATAGTGTGCTGGTAGCGAAGATATATCGGTTTTACGAGAAAGAGCTGAGCGAGTCTTCAGAAGAGCGTTACTTGTATATATGACAATTTATTTTTAATAGGAAATTGTACGGGAACAAGAAAGAATTGCACGAAAACAAGCAGAAGAACAAGCTGCGGCACTTGCTGAAAATGATAAATCAAAGGAAATTAATAATAATAGTAAGTCGAAAATTTAAGTGTAAAATAATATGAAATATCTTTATTTTTAGCTTCTATTTCAAATGGTCATTTAGATGATATACAAATAATTCTTTCCGATGATGAAAATAAATCTAAAATATCCAATAAAAAAACATCACCCATAAAAAAATCTCCAACAAAAGCAAAAAAACAATTAACATTACATGATATGAAATTTATGAAGAATGCTCCTAATCATAATGAATTATTAGAAAAATCATCTATAAGAACATATGATATTGCTATACCTTATTCATTATTACAAAAACTTGATAAAACACGTCGAGAACGTGGTATTGATTCAAGATATTTTCATCGTCTTATCCTTAATTGTGCTCGAACATTGAATGATAAACAACGTTTACGTTTACCGGATGAATATCGTTCATTAATACAAATAAAATATGATGAACTTGAATTAAAACGACGTTTATCACAAATGAATGATGAAGAAAAAAAATTATTTCTTCAAACAAAACGTTTAGAACAAAAACCAATTGAAGATTTTGATTGTACATTTTTAAAAGATCTCCCACAACCAAAACAAATCGAAACAACATTAAATATTTCATCGAATTCAATTGGAAATTTTCTTATGGTATCAACATTTTTAACATCATGTCATTCATTATTTTATTTATCATTAAATGATGAAATATCTAAAACAACACAAATTTATTTACGTTCATTTAAAATTGATTATTTATTAAATACATCAATAAATATGTTTTCAAATTATTTTATTGAAATTTTACAAATATTAATGAAATTATTATTCAAAGAAGATGAAAATCGTTCAAATGATAGTGAAAATCAAGATGATGATGATGTTGAAAAGAAGGAAGAGCAAGAAAATACTACTACTACGAATAATAATAATAATAATAAAGAAAAAAATTCGAAAAATTTAAATAATGATAATAATAATAATGAACAAATTGATATTGAAGATATATATTCAATACAATTATCAGATATACCATTAACACCATATACATGTCAAGAATTAACTCGTCTATATTTATTAAAAGAAAAAGATGAAACCAATCAAAATATTCTAGAGAAATTAGCTAACTCCGAAACAAAAGATTTACAAATATCAGAACAAGTAAGTTTAATCAAATTCAAGTTACACCGATTAGGATGTATTCTGAAAGGATTCCTACGCGTGCAGTTTTCCTTCGAGATTTATATTGTCCTTTTCTTATGCTGAATTGATATAATAATTTTCAATCTCGCTCATTTCTCTTATCATTAATATTGAATATCATGATCATATCTATATTATTCTAGACTGAGTTTACTTTTCTAAAGACACGAATTGTAATTCTTTGTATAAGTTGTTAGCAATCATCTTTTGTTTCAATAGCGTGTTTAGATACCAACTCTGATATTTACTCTAAATTAGATATATCTAATCTTATCACTATTAAATTTAGATTGATCTTCTTGTATTATTGGTTAATACAATTACTACAGATAATGAATTAATGTCTGATTATTTTGAATATTTAACTCGTACGATGTCTGAAGCAGCTCGTGAACGTAATCAATTAATAGCCGAACGTCGTAAGGCACAAGAAGAAGAAAGTAAACAGAAAAAAATACAATTACAAAATGGTGAAAACGAAAAAGTTTCATCGAAAAAACAAACAAAAATTGGACCATTAATAACACCAAAAAATAGTAATGGAATAACGAATGATGAAAATCAACAAACATCACCGGGTATTGTTGATGAAAATGGAGATATTGATGATGGTGATCTTAAAACAGTTTTACAAAGACGAAGACAAATGGTTGCTTTATCAAAAGAATTAAAAGAAAAACGTGAAATTGAAGCACAAAAACTTTATATAAAACAAAAACGTCAATTAGCTATTCAAAAAGCTGAACAAATTTATCAAGTAAAAGAAATATATTCATATTTATTTATTTATTTTCCTATGATTTATTTAGGATGCACTTGTTAATCTTCAATATGGCTTTCGAATTAAACCATTAGGATATGATCGAAATTATAATCGCTATTGGTTCTTTCGAGGTTATCCTGGTATATTCGTAGAAAAAGGTATGATAATCTATATGATTTCAGTAGTTGATTCTTCAAGCCTATTTAACTTGATAGTAAATAAAATATCTAAACGATTCAAATTTATTTCATTAGTTTCTATAGAATATCAGATGATAATCTTTAATGAAGATGACAACTATGTAATTCCATGCCTAGTGGCCTAACAAGAAAATCACGGGTGCCGGGACAAAGGCTAGCGATGCCAGGGCTAGGCCACCCCTGATTACGCTCAGTGTTTTATCTAGAGGATGGGTGGCGCCCACCAGAACTTTCGATTCGCTCACCCAAAATATGACACTTCGACAGAGCACTATTAGGCGGCGCCCACCCAGAATTTTCGTTTCGCACACCCAAATAATGGAACCTGGATAAAACATTGCTTACGCTACTTGTTAAATCTCGTTATACCATCGTAATCTTTAACTATTCTGAAAACTCTCTGTAGACAATCGAATGTATCTTTCAAGTATTCATTTATATACATATAAAATTTTATTTTAGGTTGGATTGGTTCCGATGTAAATTATTCCGTTGAATTATCTTCTGAAGATGTATTATCAACTACTAATGATGAAAAAATTATACCTAAAGATGAATTAAATCAATGGTTTATCTATGATGATGAAATAATAATTCAACAATTAATACAATCATTAAACGATCGTGGTATTCGTGAACATAATTTATTAATAAATTTAAAAAAATCTATGCCACTTATACATAATGAATTTGAACAAATAAAAAAATCGAAAAATTCTCTTGAACAACATGATGAAAATCTTGAATTATCAAATGATATAATAACATCATTTAAAAGTGAACTTGAAGATATTGAAACACGTTTACGTCTTGGTTCATTAGGTGGTTTTATTATACCTGAAAATCTTGTTGAATGGCAAAATAAATTAAAACAATCGAATGAACGTATTGATCTTGGTGAATTACTTATACAATTACAACAAACAGTTGCAGATAAATATGCATCTGGTATATTTAATTTACCTGATAAAAAATCATTTCAAATCTGGTTAAATGATTGTCGAACATGTAAAACATATTCACGTTTATATGTTTTAATGATGATATTTGAAAATTCTATCACATGGAATAAATCAACCGTTGGAATAAAATGTAAAATATGTCGTAAAAAACATAAAGATGAATATATTATTGTTTGTGATCAATGTTGTTACGGTTTTCATCAAGAATGTTTACGTGATTCAAATGATAATAATATAAAAAATTCAACAAATGATTTATGGTATTGTCCAGCATGTCGACCATCAACTAAACGACGTATTAGACAAGATAAAAAGAAAATTGATTATCAAGAAAATGAAATCTATGATGATGATATGGATGTTGAAACAGATTCAAATACAACGAATCAAGAAGATTTATCAGAATCTGATCATAATATAGAAGATGATATTTGTCATATATGCGGAGGTGAAAATGATTTAATACAATGTACACAATGTCAATTACATTATCATTGTCAATGTCATGAACCACCATTAAGATGTGCACCACGATCTACAACATGGATATGTAATAATTGTCGAAATGAAATTGCCAACGAAACAAATAAATCAAAAACAAATAAACAAATTAAAAAATCGAAACAAAAAACTTCAATAAAAACACAGAAACAAAATAATACGCGTAAAAGTAAATTTATATAATAAGATAAAGATTTTCTTTTATAAATTGTTTTTTTGAATATAGATTCGCGTAAAAATTATTGTGAAGCTGATGAAGAAGAAGAAAGTGAAGCTGAAGAGAAAACAAAAGGACAACGACGTTCGAAACGATTACGACGATCAGAACCATCTCCAGCAAAAAAGAATGAAGATAATCAACGTACAAATCGACGATCTCGTACTATAAAATCCATATCATCATCATCATCATCATCTTCCGATGAAGATCAAATAACAAATAATAATGATGATGACGAAAGTAATTTAGCACAAACTGATGATGATGAAGAAGAGAATGAAAACAACAACGATGATTCACCGTCCTCAAATTAGTCAAATTTGTAATTATTATTATTATCATACATCTTAAACTTGATATCTCAAATTGTATATACATATAATAATCATATGACAAGTCAAATGTTAACTTTCCATGTAAATATTATATGTCTCATATATATAGTCAATTTCAATCTTTACTTCTACTATTGTTTATCTTTGTATTATCTTAACCGGTTGTATATTAAACTGAAGAAAGAATTACAAAAAAATTTATATATATATATTGTCTCTGTGTGCTAATTAGCACAAATTTAGATTTGTTTGTTTTTTTTTTGATATAAGAAAATATCTGACAAAACTTTTTTTTCGTCTTCTCCTCCTCTCATTTGTTCTTTGTACTTGTGTGTGTGTCTGTGCTTTTTTTTGTATCTTGGTATAAACTCTATTTTTGTACGTCATTCTAGGCGATATATATAATTGTATGATTGATGTTTATGTGTTGAAAAAAAATATATATGAACTATTTTGGTATGATGAATTAATTGATTCCAGCTTTTTTGTTTATAATATTCAGTGAACATCAATGATTCATTGTCAAGATTAATCTTAAAATGTTTTATTACTCTAATATTTAAATACAAGTGAATCAAGTAGAATTATTTTATTGATATAATTTTAAAAGAAAAACTAAAATGTCATATATATATATCATTTATGGAAATAATTTTTGAAAAAAATTAGTAACCATTTTAGGAACTTTTGATGCGTATCGTTTTCCATTTGATTCTTCCATAGTTATACTAATAGTACCACAAGCGATACGTGCACCGGCATTTCTTAAAAAGAAAAATTAAGAAAATGAATTTTATATTATTTGAAATAAATACCCAGTTGAATTACTATCAGGGAAACCACCTTTTCCGCCGTCGTCTCTCATAGCATGTAAAACAATAGTTCGATTAGCAATTGATCGTGTTTCATTATATAAATCAATGATTGCATCACTTAATTCGACAATAATAATACCATAAAATAGGGAAAAAAAAGTAACTGATTATTCTAAACTAATTTAAGATATAACCTTTTCTATTACACTCGCTCAAGATAAATATTAATGATAAGCTTTTTTAATGAAAAATTATAAGTTTGTTTGTTTAAATTTATTTTGACTAGTTTCAGTCAAGTTTAATACTTGACTTCATCAGAAAATTTTTACAAAAAACTTATATAAAACTTATAACAACAACATAAAAATATAAATATAATTACAGAACATGGTGGAAAAATTCAACATGAAAAATAGTAAAAGCCATTGTATTATTTCACCGTTGTTTCACCAAGGTAAGTCAGTATTGTACCCTGATCAATTGGTGTCGTACCATCTTCTTGTATAATTTAATTTAAAATTTGAAAATTAATAACAAACTCTATTACTTAATCTGTAAAAAGTATCAAGAGTAATATGTTCTTATTCAATTTTCAGTATTGACTGTTCAGGTTTCTTTTTTACAAGGTAATCCTGAAGATTATTCAATTTTTTAGAACCAACAATCGGTTTCATACTAGAGATGGCAGTATCTGAAAAACAAGTATTCCAAAGTTCATGAAATCTAGTTGAGAAATCATGCATTCCTTTTGTAAAGGAGAAATGACATAAAATGTTGACTTCGAAATTGATATCAGCCTTCTTTGTATTATTATTCTTATCTACAGCATCTAAAAAGATTTTTCTTATTTCTGAATAACTCTTTTTTGTAGGTACTGCACATTGAAATGTCTGTAAGACTCTTTCAAATTGTTTAAGAATGAAAGATATAGGATATTTATTCAATAACAATGACATACATATGTATTTCTTCACGTTTAAACGATTCGAAACTCGAAGAATATCTTATCGCTCGTGTGAGAGCTACATACGGAATATTCTTTTTTATATGTTGTGCATGTGTGCTTGTGAAAGGAAGAGAATATGGTTCATGTGAAGGTTTGTGAAACACTTCAGTTATCAATACTCCTCCTCTGTTCTCAAGTTTAACATCAAGATACTCTGCAGTTATTCCTATAGATTCGGAAAGTTCAATATTGCTATCAAGCCTATTCCAGAATTTTACAAGACCTTTTAATATATCTGCATGTATATTTTACATAATGAATAGATCATCAATATATCTAAAATATAATGAACATGTTCTATGAGCCCATTTAAATACTGGACGTTCAACAAAGTACATGTATGTATTTGCTATTGTCAGGGTAAGTGGCGATCCCATCGCTCCTCCTCTTATTTGTTTATAATAGGACCCATCAAAATAGAAATAATTATTCGTCATTACAAATCTGGTAAGAGCTAGAATAATCTCTTTTTTAACACCATCGATTTGTTTTAAATTTGATGTTTCCATCAAACGTTTAATGGCTGTTACTCCTCCTTCTTGTGGGATCATTGTATATAGATCTGTAACGTCCATTGTTATGAATGATGTGGCTAATGTAAGATTACTTGCCGACCATCTTTCTACTTGTTTAATTAATTGAACACCATTTATAATAGTTGTATCAACTGCTAAACGATCAAACAGAGGTCTTAATATACCATCTAACCATCTAGAAACCTTGATGCTCAGTACTGTAGAAATCGATAACTCGGTCCGACTATTGAACTTCTTGTCCAACCATTCAACTATTAAAATTATTAGTAGCAGATTCCGATTATTCAATAATTCACCAAACTACACCCCCTCTGCATCTATCCCGACACCCGCACTCAGTCACTCCTCTCCCCACACTGCCACGCCCCTGCACCCATCCAGATACCAGCAGTTCAAAACTTGAATAGTTAAATACTTCAAAGCACCAACTAATAACTGTAACAATTGATAGTTAAATAGATGAACACTTGGAAGCACCAAGACATAACTCTCAGAATTGATAGTTGAACAGTTGGAAGCACCAAGTAATAACTGTAAGAGTTGATAGTTAATAGATGAACAGTTCGAAGCACTAAGCAATAACTGTAAGAGTTGATAGTTGAACAGTTCGGAGCACCAAGTAATAACTGTAAGAATTGATAGTTAATAGATGAACAGTTCGAAGCACTAAGCAATAACTGTAAGAATTGATAGTTGAATAGAAGAACAGTTGGAAGCACCAACTTATAACTGTACGAATTGATAGTTGAATAGTTGAATTGTTGGAAGCTTGAACTATTAAATTTAAAAGTTAAAAATTGAATAGTTGAATGGATAGCTAGATTCAACTTTCTACTATTATATGTATGGATATATCATCTCTCTTTATGCTGATGATATACCAATTATCTATCCCTTTGTACTGATGATATATGATCTATCTTTTTCCTCTGTACTGATGATATATGATCTATCTTTTCCTTTGTACTGATGATATATGATCTATCTTTTCCTTTGTACTGATGATATATGATCTATCTTTTCTTATGGTATATATAGTTTCGTTTTCTATCGTTTCATTATCAGTTTGTCTCCTTTTACATTTCGTTCATACGGAGACAAATGAGTACCGTGAAGAAAGAGAAAGGAATATGTAACAACATCATTGGGGTTGTTAAATGTGAACGGAAGAGACAGGATTACACTGGGGAATGGTGTCGTGCTTGTTCAGACGTAAAAGCCGCCGCTAACAAAAAAGCCAAAGCGGTAAGTTTTTGATCTTTGTTTCTGGTTTCTTATAAATTATCTTCTTATGTATTTTTAGGAAGCAGGAGGAGAGTGTCCCACACTTGACTGCCAAAACACCCGAGAGGGCTGGAAGAAGAGTGTAGAAAATAGAACCCCCGGTGTGGGTGTACGCCAAACTTGCAGAAAATGCCGCAGAGCAAAGGCGAGTGATGTGTCCAAGGCAAAAAAGAACGCAACCAAGCGTGCTTATTACCAGAAGGTCACCAAGGCGAAAAAAGAAAAGGAATTGGGAGAGCGTCTTGAGGCCTATCCTGGTCTCAAGAAGGCTCAATCCAAGTTCGCCGGTAAAGTTATCGAAGAGGTATTGAATTCACTTGTTATCTACAACATCAGGTACATGTTAGAATTCAACTACCTCAATCATCGTTTTTACACCAAGCCGTCAGGTAGTCGTGAAACGGGCCTACGAGCCGATCTCTACATAGAGGTTCAAGGGCAAGGCAACCAAGAATCACGAATACTGGTTGTCGAAGTTCAAGGTTAGTATGGCTTTCTATTTCAAAATGATAGTTTCTAACGTGTTTATGTGTTTTCTGTTCTCAGGCAAGCAACATCGTCCTATCCTGGGAGCACATCACGACGGCATCCAGCAACATTTCAAGGATAAGTTCGGTGTTGTGAATGGTCCAAGCCCATCTGATTTCATCAAAGCCATGGTAGACAAGAACATGGCAGATATTCGAAACGATTTATCAAAGATATTGATGGGTATCAAACAAGGATTCATCCACATCATCATTTATGATGTGAAGACGGTGGAGCGTGCCATTAAAGATGCTCTTAATGGCACACAAAATCATCGAGTGTATTATCCGAGCAATGAAGGCATTGATCAGAAAGCTGTTACCCAACAGTTTATTGATCAACTCTTTTTTTGTGAAGGAGATATGCGCTCAACTAATCATCCGTGTATTCCGTTCGAGTACAGTGGCACTGCCACAAAGATGAAGCTTGACAAGAAAATGATGAAGAACATTGGAAGTCCTGGCAACAAAAAAGCTAGCAGCGCCAGTAATAATAGTCAGTTAAACATTTAATGTTTAAATTATAATATTGTTTATTTTACTTTTAGAAGCCCCCATTGACGTAGAAAAGGAGAAAGGTCTTGTCCGGGAATGGCTAAAGGTCGATCCAATGTTTTCCAACTCTAATATAGTTGGAAATCTGAAGATCGAGTTTGACGGCTTCATCCGTGCAAACCAAGAGCGTAGAGACGAAGAGGTACGCATTTCAACTCTAATTAACTCAAAGTACATGTGACTTTTTTCTATTTATAGGCTCCTGTCAAGAAACGTGATCGTTCTCCATCACCATCGGATAATCAGTCGTCAACGGCGAAAAAGACGAAAAGAAACAACAATAATAATAAATAATGTACTTTGTAAATATTTAATAAATTTATTCTTCTGTATTTAATTTCTTAATAATTTTCTCTTTTTTTATTCTAATTCTCAATAATCTTATTCTCTTAAGTTCTATTTTAATTTTTATTAACGTTATTTTTTTATTTCTATTTTTAATAAACTTTCTCTTTTTTATTCCATTTTAAACTAATCTCATTCTTGTTTATTTCGATTTCTGATAATTATATTTATACTAAATGTCAGAGAATGATTTATATCATTCCCTCTTTATTCTTATTGGTCTCTTCTCTATCAGAAAAATAATATAGATATTTATCATTGAACTTACATTGTTTTTGAATGATCATTATTAGAATTTTGTTCATTAACATTTTGCATTTGTTCCTAATGAAAACTGGTTTGTCTATCTTGTTCTTGTGGTAATGTTACATGTTGAAGTGTTTGTTCAAGAATATCAAATAATAATGGATGAATAGTTATTTGTGTTATAAGTGATTGTAACATAGCACGACAATAAAAAGTAGCTCATTCATTTAATGTGCTATTCATAGTATCATTATGTTTAGAATTATAATGTGTATCAGCATCGACACCTGGCAAGAAAAATTGTGATACTTGATATTCAGTTTTATTTATATACATACTTGAACCAATATTTACTTGAAATTATTGTGTATTTGTGCTCAAATATAAAATGTGATTTTTAATTAAATTCATTTTTATTTAAAACAAGGTTCATTGGTTATGTCCATTGATGTAGCTTTTGGGCAAAAATCCAAAAATGGTATTGGATATGTTAATGAAAATGTTTTTGCACATACTGAAATATAATCTTTAAGATAAAAAAAAGAAATAAAATTTCAATATAAAATAAAATATAATAATATTCTTACTATTTTCTGGTGCTTCTTATTGTTGTCGAGCAGTTTCTTTGATTGCATGATACTAAAACTTCTATATGATCACCTTGTAAAGTTATATCATAAATATAGGGCACAAATGAATAAATATCAGGAGGTACTGATGATGCTTACTCATTGAGTAAAGCTATAATAATTAAATTTTCTGTTTTTACTAAAATATAAAATGAATCATATTACCTTGAAAAAAATTTTATGTTCAGAAACAAAATAAACTTGAACTTTGTTCGCTGTAATATCAGTAGTCCATATTTGAATTGAGTTCTATGTACGACGATAATGTATATGAATAGTCATCTAAATAGAAGCGTACCAAATGATTATATTTTACAAAATTCAAATGTAATTTTCTTACATCAGTTTTATCAGCTTGTATAAATTGAATAAATGAAAGATTTGTACGAACGACAGGACGTATAATAATCATCGATAAATAAGTATCAAAACCATCTGGATTAGTTGAAAATGGAAAAATTGCTTCATAATATAGACCGTGTTGACATAATTCAGCTTGTAATTGGTGAAGTTTCTATTATAATAAAAATAAAATGAATTTATTTATTATAAAAAATAAATAAATAAAAGTAAATAATCAAACCTTTTTATACATAAAATTAAGATCTAATATAGTTGGACACTCAAACCATAATTTAACGCGTACATTTTTAAATATTCGTACCTGTCCAACTGTTGATTCAGATGTTACTGGCTAACATTTAAAAAATGTTGGAAAAAATATTGCTATAACAAATCTCTATAAATACAATCATTTCTTTGAATATATACATATACAAATATTTATGTTTTACCTTTATTTATCAACCAAACGACTATACGCAATTTTTACTTCTTTATCACATTTAATTCGAAATTCCACATGCTGTTTCGGATATGAATTCACTAAATTCTGATTGTTCAATCATTTCACCAGGTACATCTTGTTCATATTCAAGTTCACCATTGAGACATTCAAATACTTGAACAATAGAACTATCACCTGGTTTGATGTTGGTATAGATAGTAGACTAAGAAAAAAAAATAAATAGATTATTTTTTTTATTTTTTTGTAGAAATACAAATAACTCTCAGCTTTTTCTCGTCGAAGTGATGGGTCTTCACTACCGGCAAACTATTTATTCGAACACTTCAAAAAACCGACTTCAAATTCAAGTTTCTCAATCTCGATTAGTGTTAGTCAAATTTAATGAAAAAAACTTATTTCATAAAAACTTATCCTTTGTAAAAAAAAATTGATGTCAGGATCGAATTTATCACTCTCGATTACCTTTAATGTGAGCGTGGATATTATAGTGATCCCTCACACTCAATCACACTCACCCATCTTCAACTCGATATTATATCATCAAACAGATGTACTAGATACTTGAATGGACTATTGATGTCTAACATCGATAGGAGCGAGTTCGAATCTCGCATCTGGTACGATGAATTTTTCGTCATTATACAGGTCCCGGGTTCAAACCCATTCGACCTCGGGTGTGCGTAGTCTTCTTAGGACCACTATTTAGGTGATTGAAGACACGCCCCCAATGATTTGATACTGTGCTTAATGGGTTAACATTTTTTCTGTTAAGCACATATAGTATCGCCCAGAATGGGTTACAACGAACCCGGGGAACGCATGGAGCGTTCGGGTAAGGGGTGGGCTTTTTATTATTTTTTTACATCCTATTACTAACAACTAAAAAACGTCAACCGATCTCCACTATTGTAAATGCTAGTTTCTTGTTTCTATAATTACCTTTATTAAATATTGTTAACATATTTAATGCAACCTAAAAATAAAATAAATGGAAATAGAAATAATAAAATTAAAAAATTTCTAAACTAACTTTGCCACATTGATAATTATAATAATAATATGGAGGATTGTTTGCTAGTTCAAGTGAAGACATTATATCGATGAAATATTAATTACAGATGATTGTTTTATACTACGTTGTTGTAAATGTAATGCATATTCTTCAAGAAGCGGTAAAAATATCTAAAAGAAAAATGTATATGATATTTATATAGTGAAATATTAGGTGTGAAAAAAAGAGAGTAAAATATACTTCAGTAACTTTCCATGATTCAATAACATTTGGTCGATATGTTTCCATCATATCTGTTCTAATAATATTTGAAAATCTTAATTTTGTCGTTATATCTGCATTAATAATTAAACAATGTAGATCGTTTTCATTCAATCTTTGTTCTACTTGTTCAACTGCTTTTTGAATACTAACATCATCAGTAATATCTATTCATTTAAAGAAAAGAATTTTTTTCTATTTTTTCTATAGAATTTACCAGCCAAGTTGAAATGGAACAATTGTTGCTGAATGTTCTTTAGCTAAATCAAATAATTCCTTAACAGAGAAAATTTTATATATACATATATTTTTATTTCATAATTTTAAAAAGCTACTTTAGATCAATCCATTTCACGATAAGTAGCAAAGGCATGATCAATTTTAGATGTTAAATTTGTTTTACTAAGCCATAGCCACCCATATCAGTTTGAACTCAGCTAGGATGAAGTGAAGCAATATAAATATTTGATTTAGCTAAACTTTCTGCAAAACAGATAGTAAACATATTTAATGCTGCCTTCGAACATTGATAATCAAAATAAAAAAAAGCATCGTAGAAGCTAATGTAAGTGAACCCATACCACTCGATACACTAATAATACTTGCTTGAAGAACATTTCGTTCTCCACTAACTACTTTATCCACAAGCGGTAAAAATGTTTAAAGATGAAAAAAAAATATATTAATATATATGACTGTGTATAAATAAATAAACAATATACACATACCTTTGTTACTCATCATGGTCTAATAAAATTTTGTATGTATGTATCAAGCATATCTTGTTCATTGATATTATTCAATGTTATATTTTTATTTACACCAGCATTACTTAATAAACAATTGAGACCGCAACTGTTGCCTAATTTATTTTCAGCTTCATTTTTTGCTTTATAACTACTTTTATCACCATTGACATCTTAAATAATTTTAAAATAAATTTAATTTATTTCAATCGAATTAGAAACAAAAATTAGACAGACCAATTTGAACTGGAATAATAACATTTGAATGTTGTTTCGCTAAATGTAATAATTCCTATCATATAGAAAATATATTTTTATGAAAATTATTAACTTTTTCTTTTTTAAAAAGTTTACTTTACATTAATTAGCATCACAGTATCCAGCAAAAATGAATTCAATAGATGATAGTTGTGAAACAAGTTCGTTGACAATACCCAAACCAAGAACACGGTTAGCACCCATAATCAAAATACTTTTCATGATAAGTTATTTAAATAATACGAAATTATCTGAAAAAAATATGTATTGATTCTTTTAATATGCTTATTATTTGATGAATACATGAAAGACTAATCTTTTTATATAATAATATCGAAAAAGTGAGCATATTTATCATTTCTATATAGAAATTCATAATGATCAAAGTTCAGAATCGAATTTCACCATTTTCAGTTATATTAAATATTCTTGATTATCTTTAATAAATAATGTATTATCTAATAGAAGACTGAATTATTATATGTAGAGTTTGAGCAATATATGAGGATAAGAAAATAACTTGAATTGACTAAGTATAATCATATACTCTCATATCAAAATTAAAGAAACAGATAAAAAATATATATTTTAGATTTCTATTAATCATAATAACAGTAGAAACAACAAGTAAGTGTTATGTATATATATATGATCATTGATCAAAACGAGTTTTACGTTTTTCACCACTTATATCAGAATTATTCGATGAACCAACACCAAGTTGATCAACTTTTTTAACACCTGGAGTAAATCCAATCTATGAAAAAAATAAATAATATTAAAGATAACATTTCGAAATTTATTAATTTACTTTTGGACGTTCTCGTCGTTCTTTTTCTCTACGATCCATTTCATCTTTTTGTGCTTTACCTAAAAATATCTTCTTATCAATTAAATTTATCTTAAAACAAATAACAACATGCATACTTAATGCTTCATAATATGATTCTTTACCCCACCAATGTGGATCGTATAGTTCCTATACATATACAAAAATAAAATAAATACAAAAAATATCAAATTTTGAAAAACATACTTGTGGAAAATTTGTTCCAATTTCATCAATTTCCAAATGAGAAATCATTTTTTCATACATACTGAAAAAATATTTTTAAATATTATTTCAATTAAAAAATGAAATTTTGTTTTTGCATTACCATGGATTTCGAAAATCTTTTAATTCTTGTATAGCAACATTTTGATCAATACCGGTTTTTTTAAATCGTTTATAATATTCTTCAAATTTTTTCTATTAAAATATAATTAAATAAATAAAATCATTTCGTATAAAAAAATTGATTACCTCTAATTTAGCTGAACAATTTTTTGCGGGTTCTGGTGGTATACGAATTTCAGCATCTTCAGGAAATATTAATGGATAATCTAATAGAAAAAAATTAAAATTATTTATCAAATAAACTCTTACGAGATGATAGTGATGCATCGTCTGGTTTAAACTATAAATACAAAAAATATAAAATAAATAAATTATAATTTTAAATCGATTGTATATATAAGTGTAACGATTAAAAGATCTGATGTAATAATTGTTTGTTCAGTATATGTAGTAGATTCCATTTGAATAGCATCTGATTCTCTAGTACTATGTAATACACTAGCACTATTTGATTTTGATTGATCATCTTCACCATTTTGTTCTTCATTATTATTGTCTTCTTTGTTTTCTTCATCTGTATGTTTATTGTCATCTGAATCACGTTCATAATTAGTTAATGGAGATTTATCTAAAAATACAATAATATTGTTTTTTTTCGATGACAAATATATATATTTATTAAAAATACAAACTTTTTATTAATGGCTATTTATGAGCTGTTAAAGATATTTTAGTAATTGGAATCGAATTATTGTTGTATCTGGTGTTGAACTTTTTGTTGTTAATCGTTTATGGAGATCTTCATCATCTGAATCAGATATATATTTATTATCAATATCAATATCAAGTATAAAAGTTGTTAATGGTGGTACAGGAGAAGAAATAGATTTTTTTGAGGCTATATCGATATCCACAGAATTATTTCTTGTTATTTCTTTATCAGACAGTTTTTCTTTACATCGAATGAATCATTATATCTTTACTTTTCTCTATTCATTCATTCATTCTATTTCTTACGAATACTCTCCAATCAAATATAATAAAAGTAACATCTAGTGTATATTTTGTTTAGAGGTAATTCTAAGTAACAAATGTATACACTGCATTCTTATAGTTTCTTATCTATTTATCCGTTTAATCCATAAGGTATATCTTTAAAAAAAACAAAAAAAAAAAAATGGCTCAACGTAAAATGCAAATGAAACGTTATGAAACTTATGAAAATTTAATAAGTAGTTTAGACACAGAAAATGATCTTAACGATATAATACTTGGAAATTAACAAATCCAATAGATGATCGTTAGTAGTATTTAAACTTTTATTATTAATGAATTAAAAAAGCTAAAATCTTTCGTTTTTCTTATTTAAAGAAATCAATCAAAAAGATTTAAAAATATATATAAATCGACAATTCGAAGTTATAACAAGTAAAAAATAAATTCATTAAATAAATTTTTCTTTCTGTTCTATAAACTTGTCTGATTTTAGTCTTACATATGAATCAGTTTCACGCAATCTTCAACGTCCATCTCAAACATCATTAATTAGTGAACAATTACGTAATTTACGTCGAAAATTTAGTGATCGAACTGATGCTATTAAAGAAATCATTGATCAATCACCAGATTTTGATCATGATAAAGGCAGTTAATATATCTATAAAACATCTCAAATTAATTTTTTATTCAACTTTTGCTAAGGTACTAGTGTTACTGTATGTGAAGAATTACAACAAAAACAATTTCCTCATCGATCAATATTTTCATCTGAAAGTATAAGTCATGCTTCAACACCTAGTTTAGCTCCAGAAGTTAATGGAATAAAACAACGTTTACAAAGAATTCTTTTACGTTGTATACGTAAATCTGATATTTGTAAACCAATTGATACAGATAGTAAGTTGAAAATAAAATAAATTTTTAATATTTATTTTACTTGAAAAAAAATAGGTAGTTCACATTTAACTTGGTTACTATTTGTTGCAATGGGATATTTATATAATTTTATATCGATTCCATTACGTATAGCATTTCCAGTATGGAAAAAAGGAGAAACAAATATTTGGTTATGGATGATAATCGATTACTCATGTGATGTACTATATGTAATTGATACATATTTTGTTCAAACAAGAATTAAATATTTAGAAAATGGATTATGGGTTGTAAGTAATCAGTACTTAAGATTTACTAATATATATATGTTTATTTTATTCTAGACAGCATTTCGTTTAACAGCAAAGAAATATTTACATTCATTACGATTTCTATTTGATTGTTTATCACTTGTACCATTAGATTTTTTTTATTTTCTATTTGGTTTTCAAGCGATATTTCGTTTACCACGTTTACTTAAATTACAATCCTTAACAGATTTTTTTCGTTATTGTGATCGTTGGGTTCAATCATTTTTTTGCTAGTGTACGTCTTGTACGAATTCTTGCATTACTTTTCTATGTTATTTCATCTGTACATGTATATGTGTGTATTTATTTTGTTTTTTTCAAATTATGAACGTCGAAATAGTGTTGATAATGGTTGAGTTTATAAAATTGAAAGTCAACCACGTAGGAGTGCATATTCATATTCATTTTATTATTGTTTTAAAATTGCTTCAACAATTGGAAATATTCCAAGTCCAGAAACTGGACTTGAATATGTATTTGTTATAATTGGATATTTATTTGCATTATTTATATTTGCTTTATTAATTGGTCAAATAAGTGATGTATTTCAATCAATAAATCAAAGACGTTCAGAATATCAATATTAAGTTGAGCAAGTTATGCAGTATTTCAAAAATTTGAACTACTACAGACTGTACAAACTAGAGTTAGAAATTGATTCCAATATAATTGGGAAGATAGAAATACACTTGGTTTGTTTTATTTTATATAAAATTAAATTTTGAATTAAGTTTATAATAATTTATTGTGAGTAGAAGATGATGATACAACATTCTCATTTTTACCTACAACTCTTTAAACTGAACTTGCGATTAGTATTCGATATGATACATTGTCAAAAATACATTTCAGGTAAGGCTTGTTTTTTTTTGAATATTTTTCAATGTTGTACATATCTATGTAAAGATTTAATATTTTCTGGGACGTATATAACAAAGCTTAAATTTTGTTTTCGTACATTAGGTGGATTTCATGGTCACGAACAACCAATTGCTACGCAAACGACAACTGGCCCAACAGCTCAACCACTGTATCAGGATCGTGCTGACAAATATAGTATTAATTGATGTAATTTACATCAAAAAGAATTTCTTAAATGTCTTGATAATGCAAATGGAGTTTCTAAGCAATGTCAAGAATTTTGGGAAGTTTTAAAAGTAAAATCTTATTATATACGTATATTCTTACTAGTAATTCATTTATGCATTTCTCTTGTAGGAATGTCAGCGATATCACAGTTCTGGTAGGTTTTTAATTTATATAATTTATTATTGTTATTCTCTGTTGAAATTTTATTTTAGCTACAATTTAAATATCAACGATTTGAAGATTTTAAAATTATTGTACATTTTTTTTTATTTGTTCAATATGAAAAATTCTTTTTTTAAATATATAATTGACGTATACAAAATTCTATTACGGAATTCATTTAGAAAGTGATAAACCAATTGGATAATGTTGGATTATAAATTATCAGGTTTTATAACGCAAAGACTTTTTTATGCTTGATTTTATAGTGTTGATGTAAATACAACAACAGTTAAAAATAAATATTTTATCTTGTCTCTTATATAACAGTTTCGTTTTTGAAATATAGAAAGAAGGTCACTATAAGTCCTACGATCTTTCATGCCATATGAAAAGAAGTATCCTTTAGGAGCAATTTTTTAATAAAACGTCAGTTGGTAAATCTTCTTTTCATCTGTCATTCAATTTTTAATTTAATTCAACAACAAAAAAAAAGAATAAATCTTCTTTAGGATAAACTTATTCAATATTATTAACAGAAAATGCTCTCAGAAAAGTAGTAGTTTATACTTTCTATTTAATAATATTACAATATGCATTTCATTATCTTTGAATATTCTCTTTAAATAAACTTAAGTTACAATTATTATTTTCATTTTATTCTTTTCTTTTAAGCACATTATTTATCGATCTTATAAATTACAGTAAATGTCAGTTTCAAATATATCTTCGCTTAATTTTATTGCTCAACAGATGACTATTTATTTGCTTATACCAATTCTTATTGGTAGTTTAATCAATGTGATTGTTTTTCTTAGTCTACAAAAATTTCATCAAAATTCTGGTGCATTTTATTCAGTTGCTGTAAAAAGAGAAAAAAATCTGAAATTAAAAATTTCGAACTTTGAAATACCAAAAAAATAAAATTCCGAACGATTACCAGTTCAAAAATCGAATCTCGAAAGACATTCTCTCATTCTATCGCTCACAAGATAGTTTCATACAGACAATTCTATGATTCGAAGATTTTTCTTTCTTTTCCATTCATTTGAGGATAGGTGTGGGTGTTGGCTTGGTTAAATGAAATACCCACACCCACACCCACACCCACCCTCAAGATGTAATGTATCTAAATAAATCGATTAAATTCATATAGAGAATATTTGATTTTTACTGTATGGATTGAAATGAGGACCAGCAGCTGTACAATTAAGTTGATCTTGACCTAATGCATCTCGATGTACATGAAATCCCTAAATGAAATGTTAAATTTAGTTCTTTTTTTCGTAGAAAACTTACATGAACAGTATTACTTTTGAGACCATCGATAAGGCCAACAATACGCACTGGGGAATTAGCATCTCGTTGATGAAATAATAGAGTACCAATACCGATTGCAGCAGAATCTACGTGTAGATTAGCTGTAGCTATTAAAGAACTTTGTCCATTATAAATAAACAATAAAATACAAAAAGTAACGAGTAATAGTTTCATGTTTTAAACCACAAAGAATTTATCTGTTTCTATATAAGTAGAACAGGCATATTTAAACTAAAATCTTATCAGTATACTTTCTATTTAAAGTTAAAGGGGTGCCTTCTTTATCTATAACTCTTTAACTCTTTTCATGTATATTTTATTACGAATAGACTTTTATATTAATTTATAAGAAATAATAAACGAAATATGTAATTGACTATCGTTGTGAAAAAGAAAATAAATAGAATTGATCGATTGTTAAATCCAGCTAAACGTGAACCAGTTGATTTTGCTACTGTTGTTATATCATACGGAATTCGAACACCAGCATTTCTGTTCAGACAAAACTACATATTAGTTTTATCTGCATTTTTTATTCATACTGTTGTATTACTATCAATAAATTCATCTTATCCACCATCACCACGAAGAAGATGAACAACAATAGTTCAATCCAAAATACTTTGTGTAATATGATACAATCGAATCTTTCATATCAACATTAACTAATTCAATGATAATTATATTATTCTCAATAAGGTCATCGGTAATTTCGTAATAGAAATCTTAGTATCATATATTTCAAAATAGACATGTGGATTACAAAATCCTTCAAACTTTCTGTACATAATAAAACATTAATCAGTCTTCTTAGATCAATGTTCAGTTACAGTCTAATTCGTTGTCTACTGAATTATTTTAGAATTTATTTCCGTTATTCAGTAGTCCTCTTGAACAGTACAAAAATATTATTATCTCTTATTCTTGGTAATGTAATTTTTAATTCTTCTCCATAAATCTCTCACCTCCTTTATTAATTGTTAAACTAGAAAATTGCGTATTACCATTATTCTCTCATTACTCATTCAACAACTTTTTCATATCAATTATTTACTACATTTTCTTAATTTAACCATTCAGTAGTTTCATTCTATCTACTAATTTAGTACACATGAATAGACAACCGAATAATATACTAGATCAAACACGTTTTATAATATTATTTTCGTACCACAGTATTTATTTAAGAATATATATAAAGACCTTAAATTATATTAAAGATATTCTAGGCTAAACTTAGTTTTCATATATTATCCAGGAAAACAGTGTCATTCACCAATTAAAATAACTTCATTATGACAATAAACATAGCCATAAATATAACAAACATAGTTGGTTTAATATCAAATGCACTTGATTTGATGATTAGTCCACAAAGAATACGAGCACCAGCATTTCTATACAAACATAAGTACATATTACTTTTATCTACATTCTTTCCTCATACCCTGTTGTATTACTATCAGCATGTCCACCTTGTCCGCCATCATCACGAAAAAGATGAACAACAATAGTTCGATCCGCAATACTTCGGTTATTATAACCCAATTGAATAATCGAATCTTGTATGTTAACATTAACTGTACCGCTAGCATCAGTTGTTAGATTTCCAAGATCACCAACATGTCGATTCATTATACTTGCTGTAGGTGGACCATGAAGAGTATCTACAAATCGAATATTATTTATTTAGCTATTGTATCCCTAAACCTATACGAAATAGGTGTCTACTACTCACTATATGGATTGAAATGTGGTCCAGCAGCTGTACAATTTGGTGAACCATCTGATACAGGATTAACATGAACATGAAAACCCTAAAATAGATATATATTTAACAATGATTTGTTTTATTCTTGTATGATACATACATGTGAACTAGTAGCATTTAGGCCTGAAAGTGTTCCAGTGATGTGAACAACTGAATTTTCATCATTTTGCGTGAATATCAAAGCTCCATGAGATGTTGATGAATGATCACCATAAAGAACAGCTGAAGCTGTTATGGCACATTGTGCATGATTAAAAATGGTAAAAAATAAAATAGCAATAGTAAATGTGAACATTGTATATAATCTAAAGATAAAACAAAATAATGTAGAAGTATTTTCTGAAATAGTATTAATTCTTTTGTTAGAAGGATATATTCATAAATGAATTTAATGTAAAAAAAAGCGACGAAGATTGTTACTGAAGAGATAAAAAAAATAATGCATTTAGGAAGGTACAGGTGAGTTTTGTTTGATAAAAAAAACAGAATAAGGCAATAACAACACGATAATGTAATAAATTTCATCAATAAAAGCGTCCAGTCATAGCAACATAAAAAGTAAACTATCGAATAATGTGCAAAATGACGATTAAATCTTCAATAATTATGTCAAGTTGTGAAACAAACTATGAATATAATGTCTATTTATAATTTGTTATATCGATATGATATAAACTTTACATTTAGTTTTTGTTTTCATGTACTTTTATAGTTTATGATATGTGATATCCTATAAGCAAATATCAAAGTTTCTCTCCATCTTTGGTTTTATCCTTGTCAAGTATACACACTTGTAGAAATAAAAGATCGATAAAGATATCAGTAGTGTCTACAGATTATTTTTTTCTAATTCAGGCAATAAAGAATATTTTCTGTGAAAATTAAAGTGAAAGTTACTGATAAACTATGAAATAATCATTGAAAATATTTTCAAAATAATTAAATAAAAAATTAGAATATGTGATGACTTGTTCGAACAATATGAGTTGCAGTCCTTTAGATCTGCATTTTCATATATTAGATTTATTTTCAAGTAACATCGACTCAAGGATATCTGTATGGATTTTTCTGAGTTACATTACCGTAATCAGAAAACTGTGACTCAATTCCAGTTTCTTGCTTATAAGAATATATAAAGTTTATTTCTAATTCTCTAAGAGATGCATAAAACTGCATCATTCTACAAACTATAGAATTTAAAGTAATTATGATTGGATCTGCGACATCCTGTATCGTATTCATTCAATTTCTTTTAAAGTTTTAGTGAACTAATACCGATTTTTGAAAAAAACAGGCTTGAGAAAAATGCTTAGAAATTTCGAATCATCAGAGATAATGATCTATATCCTGACTAGAATTGTAGATCATGTTATTAACAATTGATTTAGTTATTTTAAAGTTATAGTTCGTTATATATTGTAGGAATGGCAGCCTTGTTCAATTTGCAAATAGAAATCTACAATGATAAATCTTATCGTGATGCCTGATTATTCTATAGTATCACGTGTTGTATTGCACTCTATTCAATGGTGAAAACTGTAGATTTTCATTAACTTCTCTTCAAAAGTTATATGTATTTTTCTCAAAAGCCCTGTTTTTCAAAAATCGATATAGGTAGTTCATAATAAGAGAAGAAAAGATAAATTGAGTTGATCTTCACTTAATAGTTAAAGAAAATCTAATTTCGATAAAATCTTGAACTATCATCACAGAGGAATTATATTTTTTTTGAATAAGAATGAATGTTTTTGAATTTATCGACGTTGAGTACCAATGTTTCCATTTTCACCTTCAGCCACGTAACGATAAACTTCATTGAAAACTAAATTATGGTCTAATTTATTTTTGCCTTCCAGTAATTCTTTTAAACACTGCAACAACACTTACTTATTAGTCTTTGTCTATAAATTTCTCATCTCCTTTATTAATTGTTAAACTATAAAATTGCGTATTACCATTATTCATCCATCAACTTTTTTATATCAATTATTTACTGCATTTTCTTAATTTAATCATTTATTAGTTTCATTAAGACAACTCGATGATGTGTACTTTCATTTTATCTACTGATTTAGTACACATGAATAGACAACAAAATAATATACTTCAAAATAAAAAATACTGGATTAAACACGTTGTATAATAATGTTTTCGTACGACACTATTTATTTAAGAATACGTAAACACTTTAAAATTACATGAAAACTATGCTAGATTAAATTAAATTTTGATATATCATCCAGGAAAAGAACGTTATTCACCAATTAAAATAACTTCATTATGACAATAAACATAGCCATAAATATAACAAACATAGTTGGTTTAATATCAAATGCACTTGATTTGAGGATTAGTCCACAAAGAATTCGAGCACCAGCATTTCTATTCAAATAAAATGACATATTACTTTTATCTACATTCTTTCTTCATACCCTGTGGTAGTACTATCACTGAAGCCACCCATCCCCCCATCATCACGAAGAAGATGAACAACAATAGTTCGATCCACAATACTTCGATTGTTATAACCCAATTGAATAATCGAATCTTGTATATCAACATTAACTTTACCACTAGCGTCAGTTGTTAGATTTCCAAGATCACCAACATGTCGATGCATTATATCTGCTGTACGTGGACCGTGAAGAGTATCTAAAAGTAGAATATTATTTATTTAGCTATTCTATCTTTAAATCTATATAAAATAAGTGTCTACTACTCACTATATGGATTAAAATGTAGTCCGGCAGCTGTACAATTTGGTGAACCATCTGATACAGGATTAAGATGAACATGAAAACCCTAAAATAGATATATATTTAACAATGATTTGTTTTATTCTTGTATGATACATACATGTGAACTAGTAGCATTTAGGCCTGAAAGTGTTCCAGTGATGTGAACAGCTGAATTTTCATCATTTTGCGTGAATATCAAAGCTCCATGAGATGTTGATGAATGATCACCATAAAGAACAGCTGAAGCTGTTATGGCACATTGTGCATGATTAAAAATGGTCAAAAATAAAATAGCAATAGTAAATGTGAACATTGTATATAATCTAATATAAACGAAAAATAAAATGTAAAGGTATTTCGTGTATGAGTCAAGTAACGGATTTTAATACGCGTGATTCCTTTTTTTATAATGTGTTATATTATGGGTTCACTCATCTATGTTAAAGAACAAGAAAAACACATAGTCACAGGTATCACCTTATTTTTTTCCTCTTATGTATTATTTATGCAATCCTTTTTAACCATTCGCTATAGTCACATAAATTATTTTTCTCATGAAGAAACACTACAAAAAGGAAGTAATTTAATGAATACAAGAAAAAATATTATTCTTTAAGAAGCTATCGATGAACTGCAAAAATTGTTGACTGAAAATATTATATACTGAATCAAAGAAACGAGGACATATTGAAATAAAATCCTTATTTTTTAAAAATAAAAGATTGATAAACTACGATAAAAATTCTTTTTTTTTTGAAATTTTTATACATTGACATTTAATTATCTTAGCCTTTTCTATATATCTTATCTAATACATAAATACCAAATATGTTCCTCATCTTTGTCATTTTTTGTTATTATATATATGTCTACAGAATTAAGAAATCGAAAAGAATAGAAGTGATTGTAGGTAACTATTACAAACTATAATCAACACAACGAAGAATAATCATGGTAATAATTACAAAAACTAAGGTGAGACAAAAAAAGTAATAATTGACTACTAAACAGTCGAATATTTTTCTTCATAAAAATACAAAACGAAGCAATATGATAAAAAAAAGAAATCGATCAAAGTTGAGTAATCCTTTTAATATTTGACATAGAAGGCTAGCCGTATTAAGCAAATAAGAATACGTGTTATATTAATATTAAAAATTTCATAAACAATTTTTAATAATTTAGATATTAATTTCAATAATTTTTATCTTAATATTATATACCCAAAATGCTTCTTGTGCCATGGAACAATATAAATGGATGTATTTTAAACCATATGGAAGTACAGTTAATCTTGAACCACTTTTTAATAATACACAATGTATTAGTGAATCGGAATGTTATTGGCTTTTACCAGATAAACACACTCGAGTGAATTATCCAGTTAATAAAACTCTAACAACAAAATATTCGATAGCATCAAATGGAATATTAACAATCGTTGATATTCAAGCAAATGATAATGGAATTTATCATTTTTTTAAAATGAATAATAGTAACTGGATTGTATCGAAAGCATTATTAAATTTACATGGAGCACCATTTGATTCAGTTTGGTTGGAATATTGGCCCAATGTAAGAGATTTATTATATCATTAATTTTTTTATGTTATTCTTAATATAGGTTGTCGGCGGTCTCGTTGCAATGGCAGGTAAAACATGGCATTTGAATTCTTTGTGTATAGTATATCAATGAATTTTTTGTAGCTGTTCTTATTACATTTGGCCTCATCCTATTAGCTAATAAATATCGATATCGTACACCTTCAACCTTATCAACACGTCGTACATCTGATCGGCCTCGTGCAACTGGATCGATTATCAGTTCACGAGCAAATCCAAGTATTTTTAATCAATTAAAATTCTTAATTTTACTCTATTTTAGTATTTCTCAACGATGATAATAATACAATAACAAGTCAACCACGTACAAATAGTCGACGTTCATCATCAACAAGTAACGCAACTAATCTACATGTTGAACAATTTTAAATACAAAAAAAAACATTTCACTTTTTAATACATATATTCTAGAAATTCCATTAGTAATAAACAATCATCAATAAATGTATTTACTTACTCACTGCTTTTTTTCAAAAGAAAAATCTTTCATTCCGATCGACCACCAAGTTCATTTATATAAACGGTGACAAAAAAAAACAAAGCGAAAATAACCCATCAAAATATATAGTATAGAACACAGATAGAAAAAGAAAATAAGGCTGCCTCTAAAAATACTTCATCAAAAAGAGAACATGCAATATTTATTAGTATGGCATCGTGGATCGACGAACTAGATGTATGTATGATATTTCATCTTGCTCTACTAGAGCAATGGAAGAAAGAAAAGAAATGTGCAAGCCATATTATCGAGTACACTACAATCAATTGTAGAATTACAATGCAATAAACATATTTACGAATACTTCATTTCTTTAATCATACATAATATGAACTTATGTAATTTTTGGATAAAAATTCTTCTCGTATAGAATTTCTTTTTATTTTATATCTATAAATATATTATCAACGAAAACCCAAAAAGAATATATCGAGAAAAATTTTAATTTTAAATACAAAAATATGTGAATTGTTTTAATTTTTATTTAATGATGGCATTACTTCAAGCATTTTTGCATCGAATACACGATCACATTTAAAGATTTTTAAATCGCATTTATAATGACTTGGACAACAATGTATATGATCTGCACAACAAACTCCTTGTTCAATTGGACAACATGAATAATCTCCATCAGTTGAAACACAACAAGTACTATTCGCTGGACATACTGAGATAGCGTCAGGACAAATAATATCCTTGTTTGGTTCGGATTTTTCTTCAATAGTCATAGTAAATAACATCATAAATAATGTGCTAAATAAGATAATAATAAATGTCTTCATTATTATGAATTTTAATTTCTATTAATGAGATCTACAAAATATATTGTTTTGAAAAGAAAATAATGTATTTATACAAATAAAAAGGTCAACATACGAAATAAAGAAAATAGTTTTTTACTTTTTCTCATGTACCATTTCGTTGTTGTGATTTTGATAGGGAATATAATTTCGAGCTAGAAATCATTTCAATAAGAAAACCATCTGGAAAAAATTCACATAGAAGCATCATAGTCTAATTTAAAACCAAATATGATAAGAAAAAAACAATCACGCATAAATAAAGTGACCTAAAAATCAGTGAATAGCTTATTTTTTCTTTAAGCTATGAAGTGGAATTTGATCTGTAGTTTAGATTGCGTAGACTCATTTTTATCATTACGAACTATACATAAAGGAGTAATAGATAAAAGAGAAGGGATAATTTCGATAAATTAGAGACAGAGAAAATTATAATTATTCCTAGACTTGAACTCTGGTCGATATATTATCGTCAAATTTGTATAAGATTATGAAATAAAAATCAATATCATCAATCACTAAAATGTTGTAAAGTGACCAGTATTAATAAGCATATCTTTGTAATAACAGAAGAGGGAAAAGAAATTGAACGATTCATAGATATTTTTTCGCTAGCAATCAAGTATGATAAATTATTCATGAGTAAAGTATATTTCGCCTTTTCTTGTACGACGTTTATCATATCTCTCATTAATCAAACGTTATTTAGTAGAATTAATTTTACTAAAAAAATATATTTTTAAAACGAGTTTTTTGGAAAATTTCGATAGGTCTTCTTGTATTCATACTATATTTGTTGGGTGGTTAGAAAAACAGAAGTAACATATGTTGACATATTAATTCTAGATGCTTACGAGAAAACATACAAATATTTATCCCACGTACTTCTTCTATGATAATCATAGTTCGATATTTTTCTGTAACATTTAATTTCAATTATTGATCAATTGATTATGAAAAGTCAACGATAGAATCGAATAAAAAATGATTAAAGAAATCTCTGGATAAGAAAAAATAATCTCTTTTGAAAATGAAGAGACATACGATATATTTCACTAAAGAAAACAAAACGTCGTAATAACAACAAAAGTTTAATTTAAAATATTACGTAAATTAACAAAAGTTTTCTATGAATAAATTTTTAGTATAATTAAATGGCGACTTGAATAGTTGATTTGACATGTCGCATTTCTTAACGATATAATAATAAAGGGAAAAGAACATTTTGCCTTTTCTCAAATTTTACTAATGAATTTCTTTCTAAATTTTCAATTCAGTCCTCATTTAAATACAAAAACAAATTAAAAAGCCTATATAGACAAATCATAAGTATTCAAAATCGCGAAAGATATTTTTTTTCTAATCATTATAAATGTTTACTTTCCAGGCCATATGGTTTATGATAGGACAGTCATATGTAATTTTTTTATTATTTCGAAAAAGTAATTAGTTATATATCTTTCAATTTTAAGAAGTATATTGTATTTGAAAAAGAGTCAAACAGTCGGAAACGATGAGAACATATATATTTATTATATCGACGCTTAGAAATCTAATATATCTTAAGTTTTTACTTTGATATATTCCAATTGATTCCGATCATCGGAAATGAAAATGACAGTACTAATGTTTTATTATGCATGTGTAAATGTAAATGTTTTTGCTAGAATAAAATTATTAATAAGTATTGGCATAAACAATGAGCAATTCATGATAAAAAAAACAACACAAACAACAACAAAAACATTTCTCCTGTTTCTTTTGTTCCCTATCTAGTTATTATTCTACATTTAGTCCATTGTAAAAAGAAAAACTCGAGCTGTCATTATAGTTCTTTTTCTTCTCTCTCTCTCTATCTCTTTTGCATTGCTTTATATATATATTTCTACTTCTTTTTCCTTTTCTTCTTCTTCTTCTCATATTTTATTGTTTTTATTTGCTGTTAGATTAAATGAATATCTTCACACAGTTTGCAACACAATTTCTTATTAATAAAAATACATTGACACAATTATTAAAAACATTACGTTGTTCAAATGAATTTATTACTGAATTTCGTAATAATCATATTTATATTAATGAAGATGTTATTCGACAAAAAATTCGTATGTTATGTGTTATAACAGAAGATGAATCTTTTCAAGATTTACTTTGTCATGATAATGGTATACAATTAGTTTTTCATGCAACACCACATGAATATCGTTTTATGAGATTTCGTATTAGTTTTGATATTAAAATTATTACTGTTATTTTAAATAATGAACAACAAACTTTACAATTTTTAATTAGTAATATACAAATAAAATCACTCAATCAACTTTCAAAACCATTTCGATTTTGTATTCAGGTAATAGACATACAAATGTTAAATATGAATAAAGGGCAACTTATTTCTATTGATATACTTCAATTAATATAAGAGCATTCTTTAAAAATATATGAATAAAGCTGTTGTTAAAAATTTAAAAATACTGACATATTCTATTCAAAATGAACATATGACTCGTGCTATTAATATCTAAACTCTCCTATCCGACAAATAATTGTTATTTTTCCAGAGTACGATAATATTATTCTTATATCAATATGTTTATCCATTACGTGAATACTAAAAAATATTTGAATAGTTATAAAAAGTGCAAAATATCGTCTCTAGTTACAATACTGAAGATGTAAGTCGAAAAAATATTTTTGCCTATGTCATTCTTTAATTGAAAATATGTTATGCTTGAAATAATTAACTAACAATATTTGCTTTAAGCATGAATATTTTTTTTCTTCACTACAGATAGCAAACTCTAGGCTTTACCATGTTTTCATAATTGCTATTACATAAAAAGGTTTTATCTAAATAGATTGCGATTTATTATAGATGGAATATGTTGTTATTCGAGACATAAAAGACGGAGAAGAAAAAAGAATAAATATCTTATATATTTACATATTCTAATTTTCTTTCCAATAATTTAAATACATATTCATTTGTTGATTGAACTATTCTTTCAGTATATTAGAAGAGATGATGTTATTCGATCTTTTATTATTCTATTTCTTTTTTTTTTCTTGTTTTAGTCCAAAGCTCGAACATTGGTAATTGATGAATTTGAACGTATATGTACAGAACAAAAAATTCCATTTGAACGATTATTTAAAAATATGAAACATCCTATAGTTTATCGAATAAGTTTATCACATATGAAAGAATTAGATCATTTACGTGAACGTTATTTACTTATTGGTAATCGATCTATACTTGATTTAATACAAATAACATGTATTGAACATCGTGAACAAGCAATTGTATTAGATTATTGTTTGAAAACAACAATAGATGATGGAAAATTTTCTTCTTCTTCTGTACAGCAATTATCTCTATCGAAACGTTCAATGTTGTCATAACAAATTAAAATAAAACAAATATATTTCTAGATATGATTAGTTAAAAATAATGTACTTTGCGTTTTACCTAAACCTTGAGATATATCATTAACTAGGTGAGACATATATGAAATAGAAAGTATAAAATTAGATAGTAGTTACTTTGTTTCATATGCATTAAGTAGAAGAAATAACTAAGACCTCAAGAGTTAATAGAATATTGATGAATGTTAAGAAAAACTAGAACTATAAAAAGAATAAGTCTTCACTTTTGCTTCATGTTGATTAGTGCATCTCGATTATAAAATATTGTAGTGGAATGTACGCCCGTAAGCGAGTTCAACTTGAATATAATCGAGTCGGAAGCCAGTTAAGATTTCAAGAATGAGCATTTTTTTCTAATTCAACTAACTACTTTTTATTTCCTTTTTTTTTGAAATTATTCATTTCAATTATTGTTATATATATCATACCGGTTATTTCATCAACTCAGAAACTATTGTCCTTTAATATAATATGTCAGCATTCATAATAACATATAACACATAAACTAACTGTAAAATGTCAAGTAATATATTTTTTAATAAGACCATGATAAATTAATAGCATTTTTCGGTTTCTTTATTATAGATTTTTTTGGAAATATTAACCAATAATATTTGATATAATAATGATGAAAAAATTATTGATCATCTATAATATGAGAATAACAAACTATCTATGTTTTAATCATGTGCATCTGTTAAAAGATGAATAATGTTTATTCGCTTTTAGATCATGTGTCTTTTACAGAAGAATTCTAGAATGTAGATCTAGTTTTTTTGGTCAAGTTTAATTCATAGACACTAATTTTTTATTCATATGTTTATTTCACAATATCCATTCTCTGTCGAACGATCGTATTCAGACAAAATATAAACGTTAAATATATATTCACAGATTCCATTCTTTGTATTAGCATATTGATCGATAATCCTTAAATTCGTTTTTCTGTAAAATAGTCTAACGATGATAATCTGCTTTGTTAAATCTTATGGGAAAAAGAAACAATAGTCAATTATAACGAACAATATTTGTTGTTGTTATCTGCAATTTCCTGTAGAATGATATTTCAGTAAAATGTGACTTTCTGGGAAGGAAAAATTTTATCATGATTTTGATAACAACAAATCTTGTTGATAGATACAAAAAAACTCACATTACGATCATTAGTGAAATATCAACACAATATCTAATGTATCAGACTTTCGTAGCAACTAAGTGTGTTTCTTTATAGAATTCTATGGATTTTGCCGTTTAGAACTTGAAGTTGAACTGTGTATATAACCAAATAGTTTCATAACTTGTACTACAGCTAGAGTGTATCCAAACGAATCAAGTTTCTTCGGTAACAAATAATCTTCTACGCAAGCGCTTATTACAAATAAAAATGAAAATAACTCTTAACGATAATTGAAAGGTCGATGCACTATGACATACCAAACTATTTTTATGCAAATATATTTCGCTAGATGGATTGCCTACGGGTTATCTATTCAATGCATATTTATAAGCTGAACTGAACGAACGCTCAACAAATCATAAGTCAGTTTTCATTAATTCATCTTGATCCATCTGAACCTCTGCTATAAATATTATTGAACAACACCAAGAGATATTTTATCAATAACAGGTACAGACTTACATAGAATAAGCAATTGGATATCTAAATGTTCTAAACTTTTAAAATAAAAGCTCTGATAATCTGAAAGTTAATCTGATAACTGGATCTATATAATTTCATCAAGATTCAAAAATCTATGAATCAATCTTTCTTTTCAGTTTCCATGAAATATTCTTAGTAGATCATATTTTACGAGATACAACTGATTCTATTCGCCTAGATAATGCTAAACATCATGATAAATATTACTAGAAAAATATAGATTCACGGTTCGATGGAATTCGAATAATAATGCAATCGACTTATCATAGAAATTTAAGAGAGCTTGCTTTATGTCTGAAAACGCATGCAATTCTAATTGGATTTGATCATATCACACAAATATTCTATAAAAGTTTATTGTCACCTTGATATCAATTTCTTTAAAACAGAATATTCTCATCATCGTCGTTTTTGGTAACGAAATATGATATGTTTTGATCTGAATGTAGATCATTTTTATTTAATACTCAATCAACATGAAAATGAATAACAAAGACAATTATTTACTAATCTAAATGAGTCCAAAGTGAAATTTTATTTCAATTAAATAATAACAGAAAAGGCTTTGCAAAGCTTTCATTCATCCTATATATAATACACAAAAAAAAGTATATAAAATACTCATTTATTCTATTTAAATTTTTACTCTAGAATTATCATGTTTAAACTTTATTCATTCGTATTTTTACTTACTGTTCTCAATGCAGAACAATTTCAACCTAATTGGGAACTTAATTATTTGTTTCCATCCATGGTTTTTGAACCAGCTTTTAAATTAACACCACCATATAAACATGGTATTTATTCTTATACAATGACTGTTCCTTCTCCAAGTAAACTTTATGGACCAAACACAGCTTTCTATCTTTTTGCTGCTCAATCAAGTAGTGAAACAGGTGGAATTATTATTAAACAAGATGGCAATATTTTTCAAACATTAACTATTAAACAATACTGGCAATCTAATAAAATACCAATTTCATTAGACATGCAAGAAACAACAATTGAATTATATATTCAAGATGGTGATAAAGTTGGTCCAACCTATACTATTCATGTCAAACGACAAAGTTCATAAGTTTGTTATGAAAAAAAAAAGTCATCTTAACATAGTACAGAGAATATTTAATCAATAAATCTATTTTGTTGTATTATGATTAAAAATGTTTTTATAGAGAAGCTCTGTTCTATTTCACATTACTTCAGTTAAAAGAGAACTTAATAAATTTTATAATCGTCTCCTTGAACTACAGTTGATTTTGTAAACTTTTACGAATAATGTTTGAAAAATATAGTGATATACCACCAAATGAAATCGTAAAAATATTTATTAAAACATACTAATTCAATAATATTATCATAATCTATAACAAATAACACGTATTAACTAATACTACTTTTTTTTTATTCTTTTTAACAAGCTATTTTGCGTCCGTGTTTAATAAAAAATATAAACTTAAATTCCCATATGAATCATCTTGCAAAAGCAACATTCTATGTCGCAAAAATAACTATTTTACTCGACATTTCGAATAAATAGAACAGAAAGACAAACATTATTGACGAATCAAAATTTTTCTGCTGTGTCATGCTGATAATGTAGATCAGCAACTATATATAAAATCATTTGACTAAAACTAACTTCACTATTACTATTCATAATGCAATCATCACATTTAACATATGTGAATTATGTTCTTGAAAATAGTCAACCAGGTAATATACAAAGTGTCATTGATGCTGTTGATAAATATGGATGGACAAAACAATGGTTAATGAGTATTGGTGATCGAAAAGGAGTGATTATTGATAAAGCTATTCAATCGAGAAAACCAAAAACTATTTTAGAACTTGGTATGATCTCTTTCTTTTTGTTTAATCAAAGATAATGTGCGTTTTTTTTCTCAGGTACTTTTCTTGGTTATAGTTCATTAAGAATGGCAGCTCAAATACCAAATGATACATTGATATTTTCAATTGAAATAGATCCTGAATTAGCAAAAATAGCTCATGCTATTCATGAACATGCAGGTGTAGGAGATCGAATTAAGATTTTAATTGGTTCATCAGAAAATGTTATTCCTCAATTAAGTAAACAATATCATATTAATTCATTTGATTTTATTTTCATTGATCATGGCGATTCAATTTATTTACGCGATTTGAAATTATTAGAACGTCTTGGCTTAATTCAACCTGGAACAATGATTGTAGCTGATAATGTTATTACTCCTGGTGCACCTGATTATTTATATTATATTCAAAATAATCCAAATTATCAAACAAGAACACAGGAAACAGTTGTGCAATATCAAGAGGAGGAACGTGATGGAATTGAAATAACAATACGAAATTAACTTTTTTAAACTATTTTATTAATTGTATAAAAATAATAAAATCCAAAAAAAATCGATCTTTTCTTGTGTTATAAAAAGTCATCAATGTGACATATAAATACTTTTATCGATATGTAGGACAGAAAAAGTCTACTTCATTTTCTATCATGATCAAAAGTGTCATACTTGTATAAAACTTTAATTTAATTACATATTTATATGATATAGATCCTTTACAGTTATTATATATATATCTAGTTGCTTGATAAACGAAATACTTGTATCAATGATGAAATCAACAACATTTAAAAAATAACTAATAATATAAAGATTTCGTAAATAGATAGTTCATGATTATTTTTATAGATTGATTTAACATTGATAATTACGTAGATATTTTAATGAATTATATGTAATACATTGATTAAGTATCTTGAAAAAATTAAGAAATGTATTTCAAGACAGTATACTATATAAAAAAGAAACGTAATAATTAATCATTTATAGCATAGCTTGAAAGAAAAACAATAGCTTCTTTTTCATATAACAAAAAAACTCTAAAAATATGTGTTGTTATAGTTTTAATCAATAATTAATTTCAAGTAAAAGACATTCAAAAAGTAACGACGCAAAAAAAGGCTCGCTAAATTCATGGCCATTTACTATGTGGGAGGTTTGAGCGTGAACTATTGATACACCACGATAAAGTACAGTTAAAGTACGACCGAAGTATGATAAAATACATAAGTTTACCTTTTTTTGCTCGAAATGTAATCAAATTGAATCAATATTGTATAGTTATAATGTATGACTAAAAAGGAAAAAGAATCATGTAAGACGTTTCACATCACATGATGAGAAAAATGACGTCCGTATAAAAGAAACCTTGAAAAAAGAATAAACAAATTAATGAAAAAATGAAACAAGTATTTGAATAATGATTCAAGTTAAATTAAAGCGTAATTTTTTCATTATCATTAATATTATCTTTTGCCTATGTAAAATCATTCAATAAAACATATGACAAATATTAAAAAGAAAGTTATTATTGTTATATGACCACATTATCTTTGATTGTACTTCGTTAAATCAAAGGTATGTTTTTTATTAGAAGAAAAGTGGATATTAAATTAGCACATAAATACAACACCTGGAAGTTGAGTGATATACAAACTTAACTAGTGTATCAAGAAATCAAACATTAGTGCGTCTAATGAATTTTAATGATCGCTATGTGTTCTTTTCAACTATATAACTTTACTAGTAACTTTGTCAATATTTTCTTTCATTTCGTTAAGATCAAAATGATAATTTTCAATTAAATTACACATTAAATTAAAATTTTTATTCGATATATACATATAACATGAAATGAAAATGTAACAGTTCATGGTCAAAAAAATATATTTTCGTTTCGTATGTTATATTAGTAATGCTAATTAGTTTTGATTTTATAAACTAACTTGTCAATAACATCATTGCTAGTATTCTTACTTTTCAGAAAAAAATATGCAGTCAGAATATGCATCATTGATGAATTATGTTCTTCCAAGAACTCGTCACGGTGATATACATGGTATCATTAATGCTATTGATAGATACGGATGGACAAAAGGATGGCTTATGAATATTGGTGATCGAAAAGGAGAAATTCTAGATAGTGCTATTCAATCACGAAGACCAAGAACGGTTTTAGAACTTGGTATGATCTTTTTCTTTTTGTTTAATCAAAGATAATGTGTGTTTTTTTTCTCAGGTACTTTTCTTGGCTATAGTTCATTAAGAATGGCAGCTCAAGTACCAAGAGGTACAAGAATTATCTCAATTGAGAGAGATCCAGAAGCAGCACAAGTAGCTCATATTATTCATAAACATGCAGGTGTTGAAAATCAAATAAAAATTATAGTTGATACAACAGAGAATGCTATTCCTCGATTAAAAAGAAGATTTCATATTCGTTCATTTGATTTTATTTTCATTGATCATGCTGGTTCACTTTATTTACCTGATTTTAAACTATTAGAACGTCATGGTTTAATTAAATCTGGAACAATGATTGTAGCTGATAATGTTATTACTCCTGGTGCACCTGGTTATTTACGTTATGTTCGAAATAATCGAAATTATACAACACAAACAATTGATTCAACTATTGAATATAACGATGATATACCTGATGCCGTTGAAATAACAGTACGAAGATAATAAACTTTCAATTGACTATATATTATTAAAAATAATTAATAAATTCAGTGATCTTTTATATTTATAAAAAACAAAATAAATTTTAAAATAAAAATTTTATTTTTTTAAAATTGGATAAAAAAACAATCTTTTCTTGTATCATAAAAAGTCATTGTCACACATGAATGATCTTTTCGGTTTGTAAAACAAGCGTAAAATGTTTTACCTATATACGTATATCGATATGGATATGTCACGCGACGACATTACTATCATTCAATGCATATTGTCACATTAGCCTTTTTCCTCGCAACCTTGTTCAATACTTATTAAAAAGGTAAAACAAGTTTTGTAAAAAGATTTTTCTTCTACTCGATATTTTATATTTCGATAGAAAATCATGTCCGAAGAAATAATAAATACAACACCCGATCAATTACCTAATATACCTGAAACACAAGTCATTGAACCAGTTGTTCAATGTGGTGTTTTATACTTAGGTACAGCACCACCAACTCCTGGTCGTCGTGGTCTTGATTCAATTCAAGAACCATTTGCACATCGTTATCCTGTTGATGGTACAAATACAGCTCGCGGTAATCTTATTCTTTTTTTTTTGTTATTGATAAACAAAATCCTATTTATGATTCATTTTCAAGGTATTGATGCTGTTCTTTCTATTTATGATAATGGTATTCAATTAACATTTGCACGTCAACCACATACAGTCATCTTTTTTCCAATATCATCATTAATATATTGTGCAAGTCTTCGTTTTTCTGTTGTTGAAAATGATCAAACATCATCAATTGATTGGCGTTTTGTTACATTAGATTCAACATTAAATGATCCAAGTAAACATCCACCATTATTTTGTGCGGTTGTACAACGTACACAAATATTACAAGGTGATGAATGTCATTGTTTTATAACAAAAAGTAATGAAACAGCACTTGCACTTGTTCGAACAATATCAGAAGTATATGCAAATCTATCAGCAAATATCAAATCTTTTAAATCACCCATTTTCTATCAGGTTACAAAAAAAGAATATTTTTTCATATTTGTTAAATTAAATTTTTATATATTTAATAGTTAGATCGTTATGGACGAAAAATAAGTGAAACAAGTGGAGTTATTTATATATCACCAGCAACGGATGATGAATCACAATTAAATCGAATAACTGATCGTAGTAGTTCTATACCAGCAATAAATCGTAATTGTTTATTAGATCCATCATTGGATGGATTTTTTTATCGTACTGATGGGAATATTATTGAACAATGGCAACTATGGGATGATGATGATTTAACAGGTTCTCGGCCACGTCCACCACCATCACCATTCGGGCAAAATCAAGCTCTTTATCATGATGATTTAACACAAGAAATACATCATTATTTACGTCGTATGGAAGATGAAGAAGCATCAAGTACTTGTAGTTGTTCAAGTTCATCAGTTTCATCAAGAGAATATAATCGACATCATCGTCGACGACATAAATCGAAATATGATCAAACAGATCAAATAAATATATCAGCTTTACAATCACAAACAAGTGCATTTGAGCCTACAAATATGCAAAATAATACAGATTCGAAGAAAACACAAGGACCAATTATTATCGAAAAAGTTGTACCGAATCAAATGACAACAATATCACAAAAACAACCGACATATATGCTACAACAACCACAATCACCATATATACAACAACAACCTCAATCACCCTATATGATACAACAACCTCAATCACCATATATGATAGAACAACCACCAGCACCATTCAATCATTCTATTCCTATACAAGAAACGAGTGTTAACTATGCTCCATATTCTGAAGATTATCAGGTAAATGAACGTGGTGAAAAGATTACAAATGAAGGAAATCGTATTTTATATATGGATGTTATTCAACCGAATATGATGATGAATAATAATAATAATATTGAACCTATACCTTATATAGCACAACCAGTTATGTCACGACCACGTCGTCGCCGACGACGACCAAAATCAATTCCAATTATTGATCTTCAATCTGTTGAGAAAATTTTTAGTGAAAAAAAACCTAAACAACGACGACGAACTAGCATTATTAATGATCAACATAATATTCCTGATGAACAATTATCAACATCAGATATGTTAGAAATTGTTGAAGGATATTTCGAAGATTATAAAGGTAGAAAAATTAAATTAGATGGACATGATGCACAAAAAATGCTTAGTCAGTTAGAATCATCAAGTAAAAGAGATCGACGACGATCAAAAAGTTCAAATAATAAAACATCTCGTCGTCGTCAAAGTTATTCAACGATGAATGTTGGTCCATCAGTTAGTTATGTTGAACGTTCAATTATTAAATCTCCTCCTAAACATGGATCGATCGAACAACTACAACAACAACCACCCGCATTTAATAATGAGCAAGTTAATGAATATGTATCGAATATATATGGTACATGTGAAAAAACAAGTCAATCAATGCGATCAACAGCAACTCCTCATCATGAACCTGAACCATCGAATCAGATCAATACTGTTAATCCAACAGAGCAAGATTTTATTTCACCATTTCGATATATGCAAAGTAGTATTAATCCTTTATTATTACGTGAATATCGTCATACATTTGGTGGAATTTAATCATAGGAACATTTTTTCTAGAAATCATTTTTTCTTCTTCTTTCATGTCAATAAAAGAAAAACTTCTATATTAAAGTAATTCAAATTCTTCGGATGGTTTTAAATATAAAGATATTTTTTTTCTTGAACATTCATTCATTGGAATAATATAAATATCATTTGTAGTTAAAGGTAAATTCGGTTTTTGAGAAATTGTTGATGGTTTATTCCAAGAATGAATTTCTTGTTCTTGTGTTGCTATACGATGACGAAAAGCTCGATTACGTGCCCATTGTTTCATACTTGATGAATCTTGTTGATCAATATGAGAACGAAATAATTTTTTTACAATTCTATCACGTTGTTTTTTAAGTGATACTGTTGAAAGTATATTAGAATTTTTTGCTTGTTGTTCAATATTTTCTTCTTTAGATGATAATTTTATTTTATTATTTTCATGTTTATTGTCTATTTGTTTACTTTTTAACCATTGAACGATAAGACCAAGAAGAAGAAAAAGTATTATACCAGTAATTAATGCAATAAATAATTGTATTGAACTTTGTTTAAATGATCGATGTAATAATTTACCTATACGAATTGATATACAACCATTACGTGGTGAATATATGTACGTTGTTAAATTTGATTGAAAATCTAAACATATTTCATATTGACCTGAATTAAGATTAAATACACGTAAACTATTATTTAAATCAATAAGTTCCGTAAAATTAGTTAATAGATGAATATTATTTGTTGTTAATGATATATCATCGATTGTTCGTAATATAAAACGATAAAAATGAAAAAGATTAAAAAGAATATTATCGATTTTAAACCAAATAAGTATTGAATGATCTTGATTATTATTTATATAACATACATGTAAATTATTTGTTGATATTGAACGAAAATGATTTTTAACACAAATTTCTTCATTATATTTTGTACGTTGAGTATGAATGATTAGACATGTTGTGGAATATAATAAATGATAACTAAGGAAAATAATAAATAGATGATTGAACATAAAGATTTTTACTTTGATCGAATGCAGAGAGAGAGAAAACGAATGATAAATATGATCCGATTATGTCTTCATGTTGATATTTAACTCGTACGTATTAACATATCAATGAGAAGAAGAATAATAGAAGTTTGAGTTATATTAGACTTTTTATCCTTGAACTCAATATGTTATAATTGAGGATTTTATGTAAGAACTTGATTCTTGTTTGAAATAAAGATAAACATAATTTCTTTTCAGTTATATTATGCAATACATCTCGAAAAAAAATCAACAATTGTCACTCTTTAATAATACGAAAAACGATAATAGTTTTTAATTTATTATACAAGTCTATTAAATGGTTAATGCATTGAACCATCTTTATATTCTATGATATATGATTCTTCTATCATACATCTTGAGGATGGATGTGGATAACGAGTTTAAAACTCTCAGCCTGATTGAATAAGAGGGTATCTTCTGAAGTTTTTTTTTGAAAATTCAATACGTTAAAATTCGATTCTACATTTTATTCGTTCGGAATTTCATCTTTCGATTTTCTTTCCTAAGAATATATTTATTAGAATCACAATAGTTTGATTGAACATCGCAAATCTATATAGAAAGTTTGTATTTCCCTAAGTAAACTTTAAATAAAAAATAAACCTTATACTAGCAATCTCTGTTAATTGCTACATTTATGAATTTACTCAAGAAAACTTTATGTATAATGATTAACAAACATATCATTTAAATATATTCTTGCTGATTAACAAACTACTCTTTTTTTGAAGAATTATTTAAAAAATATCGAAGATTCTTGACCACAATCACATGATGATTATATGTAACTTTCGATATGTTTTGTATGAAAAATTCTATTCGAAATTATTTTAATATAATATCCTTTTTTTGATTAAATTATAAATGATTGCGTGCTGTATTTGTCCTTTTCTCATATGTTTTGTTCATGTAGCATAACGTACGTGCCTAATTATTCTATATAACAATATTCGTTCATATTAAATCAATGATAAAAAATTATTGGTTATGTTCACAAGAATTAATATTACATTTGTGCAATCATGCATACAATAAAGTTCAATAATCGATTAAAAAGAAATCGGTTGGTCTACATGGTAAAATAAAAAAAAACGAAGGAAAATTTTCTTAGGTTTATTTCAGTCTTCAAGTGTTTGGTGATTAATATGTGAAGAAGACATGTGTCATATTGAATTAAGATAAGAAGCTCACTTTAGTAAATCACTGATTATATTCAATGCGTTTGATCTAAATAAAGAAAATTATTTCGGACGTTTAATTTTTTATGAAAAGTATCAAAATCGTTTAATTATCTGATTTAATTTTATTTTAAAACTCTTCTTCTTTGAATAATAAAATAACTCATAATATTCTAATAGAAAATATATGAACAATTGTTTTGATATTTTTGTCTAAAGAAAATAATTGATTAATTCAATAAAATTCTCACATAGCAAATATAATTACTTATCACAAGGATTAAATATTGATGATTTAAACACCGTAAAGAAATTGTTGTGGGAATACATGAAGTATTATTTCATTTAACAATTATATGAATATCCGAAAAGAATATTTTATTATTTGTCAGCGAGATCTGACCTAGACTTCTCAAATGATCGGCCTTGTTTTGTCCTACATTTAACGACTAAAACATCCCATAATTAGATGAAACGATTACGTTCTGTAATTACTAGTTGTATTTATAAACAAAGTTTTCATTTTCTTTACTTGAAATTTATAAAAATCTCTTCTATCATTGAACAAAATTCAATAATATTATTTCAAGTAGGTATATATATGATCTATAAAAATCATCCAATGATACAATTTTTTATTTTGTTAAAGTTATTTTTTTCTCTAAGAAATCTAGAATGTCATATCTACGAACTATAAAAAAAGGAGAAAGCGATAGAGAGAGAGAGGGAAAATCTATTTTTTCTTTTCTATCTTTCCAACCAATCCATCTTGGTTTAACAATACTTATAATGACTAGTTGATAGCTAACATCATAAGAATAATTTTTACTCATTGCCTTCTTTTATTCTTTTTTTGGGAGAAGGTCGGATGTTTTTATTTTGCTCTTAACATACAAAAAAAAGATTATCAATATAATACTAGCTTCTTTTCTCTTCTCATCTATCTTCACATTAAGACGATGAGAAAAAAATTACTAGATTGATTTTTTTCGCTCTAACACTCAGTCATATATATATATATATATGTAACAGAAATGGAATAAACAGTATTTGTATCTTTTTTTGTTTCGAAGAAATTGAACTATTTCATTTTTAGATTTAAACTTATTTACAAAAGATTATACTCACATGTCGGCAGCATTTGCATCGAACAAAATTTCATGTGTCATGGTTCAAATTACTTTCCTTCTATTAGGCACGCTTGGTATGTATAAAATACAGATTTGTCATATTTCATTAACGAATAAGATTTATTCTGAACGGTTAAGAGGTTATTTCCGTATGAAAACATTTCATTGAAATTTAATCACATTCATATTCATTTACCGCATCGATTAATTCATTCATTTGCAATTGTTATAGGACTATTTTGAAAATTACTGTACGTCTCGAACAATGGGAATAAAATTCTCTTGAGAAAAGATCATTATTATTGACATCGACGATCGGAAAAAGAAAAGACATTTTACATTTATCTTTTACATTCGGCTTTCTTTTTCATCTTCAATAAGTATATGTATTCATTTTCTTTTCATAAACTTCATTGCAAAAAAAAAAGAAATTTTTCTAAAGATATATATATACACAATAATTTGTGTACTCAAAACTTAATAAGATTCATTGGTTTGTATAATTATAATAAATTCAATTATTGCCATTTATTGAATTTTTTCTTATTTGCATACGATATCGAAAATCTTTGTATAATATCTTTTTTTTAGCGTACTGAGTTTTTATTTAATTAGTTGATATCACAGAAATAATCTAGTCTAATGTGTGAAAAATATAATACTATTGATTTAATCATATTTGTTTCAATGACTTTTCATTAGCAGAAAAAAATAAGTTTTATTAAATTTATATGTTAGTTTGAAATTCTATTCTTAGAATGAAAATGTCTCTATCCTAATGAATAGTTGTTATCTGATGTAAAGATGCTAATCTTTTCTTCCCGAAAAGGATGAAGAAAACACATCCGTTCGGAAGGAAAAGAGGTTGGATAAAACTCTATCTATCATTTAAATTTTAATAATTTTTGTATTTATTAGTTATTAGCAGTTGGGCAGCACCATCAGCTGAAGAACGTCATGAAATCTATCTTGACACATGTCAAATGAGTTGTGGTTTAGTAAACAATGATGAACAAGCACAAGAATGTCGTGAAAAATTTTGTCCTAATTATGTTACTTATTTATTAACAGGTGTTTCTGATCCAGATGCAAAACCTAGCCTTGTATCAACACATCGTAAAGAAGTAGCAAATTTTTGTGCTACATGGATTCTTCATTTAATTGAACAATTTGGTTGGCAATATCGTTTTCAATTAAATCAAAAAGAATGTCTCTGTGCTGCTGGCAAAGAATGTCTTGTCAAATAAAAAAAAAAATCATATTTCAAGCAAATTATTTCACATAATAATAATAAAAAAACACCTTTTATTCTCGTCATTTATCCTAATAAATATATATATATATGAGTTTTGTCTATGCTATAAAAGTTTATTTAAATAAATGAAAAAAATATATCTCATAATCATATGACGACATCTGGAAAAGTTACTTTGTCGTATATTGTTCTTGTGCCTCTGCATTACCAATTAACGATTGATCTGTTGTTAAGGTGATTCATCGATTATCTTTGCCATTCATTTATTCATTATTAAGTAAACTATTAAATAGTAACAAACATGAAAATTGAAGAAGTTAAAAGCACAACTAAATCACAACGTATATCAGCTCATAGTCATGTTAAAGGTTTGGGTTTAGATGCAGAACAACGAGCTATTCGGAATGCTAGCGGTCTTGTTGGTCAAGAACAAGCACGTGAAGTCTGTTTTTGTTAAAATTATTTTATCATTTTTACATAATATATTATTATGTTAATAGGCCGCTGGTATTATTGTTGAATTAATTCGTCGAAAAAAAATGGCTGGTAGAGCTGTTCTACTTGCTGGACCACCAGGAACAGGAAAAAGTAATTAAACCTACAGCTTCTCTTTTGGAACAACTTGTTTATTTTAAGTTTTATTCAGCAAATTTGCATGTATAGCACAACTATAATATTCCCACAAGAAAAATCTGATTGAGAATAGAAATCAAATTTACTTTTGCAGTACTCATGAACTTGATAAATCTCCTTCTTGCAATTTGATGAAATAATTATCATTTATCTATTTAGCTGCACTTGCATTAGCCGTAGCTCATGAACTTGGTTCACGTGTTCCATTTTGTCCAATGGTTGGTAGTGAAGTTTATTCAACCGAAATAAAAAAAACTGAAGTATTAATGGAAAATTTTCGTCGTGCGATTGGATTACGAATAAAAGAAGTTAAAGAAGTTTATGAAGGTGAATTAACAGAAATGACACCAACAGAAACTGAAAATAGTTATGGCGGTAAGATTTATCAAAACTAAAAAATTTCGTTTTTTTAATATAGTTTAAATATTATAGGTTATGGTAAAACTGTTAGTCATGTTGTGATTGGTTTACGTACAGTTAAAGGTGCTAAACAACTTAAATTAGATCCATCAATATATGAAACATTACAAAAAGAAAAAGTTGAAATTGGTGATGTTATTTATATTGAAGCAAATTCCGGAGCTGTTAAAGTATAATTTCAAAAAAATAATTTCTATAAAAAACGTTATAATTTCTATTAGAGACAAGGTCGTTGTGATACATATGCAACTGAATATGATCTTGAAACAGAAGAATATGTTCCATTACCAAAAGGTGATGTACATAAGAAGAAAGAAGTTGTACAAGATGTGACATTACATGATTTGGATGTTGCTAATGCACGACCACAAGGTGGACAAGATATTTTATCTATTATGGGTTCATTAATTAAACCTAAAAAAACTGAAATTACAGGTAAAATACAAAAAAAACATATTTTATCATTTTTTATATATACGAAATTTCTAATATTTAAGATAAACTTCGTCGAGAAATAAATAAAGTTGTTAATAAATATATTGATCAAGGTGTTGCAGAACTTGTACCCGGTGTTTTATTTATTGATGAAGTTCATATGTTAGATATTGAATGTTTCACTTATTTACATCGTGCATTAGAAAGTCCACTTGCACCCATTGTTATTTTTGCAACAAATCGAGGACGATGTCTGATACGGTATATATAACTATATATATCGATTGATTAAATTATATTTTTTCATATTTTATTAGTGGTACAGAAATTCTTTCTCCACACGGTATGCCACTTGATTTACTTGATAGAATTATGATTATTCGAACTCTTCCTTATGGCATGGAAGAAATGATTGAAGTAAATTCTACAAAACTTTTTCTCTTCTCTATTCAAATATTATTTTTTAATTAGATTCTTCGAATACGTGCAAAAGTTGAACATATTGATGTAGCTGATGATTCATTACAAGCACTTGCTGAAATTGGAAATGTTTCAACATTGAGGTAAGAATTATTTTCATTTTCTTTATTAAATTATTCGTTATATATATATTTAAGATATGCTGTACAATTAATGACACCAGCAAATATTCTTGCTCGTATTAATGGTAAAGAACAAATTGAAAAAGAAGAAATTGATGAAGTACGAGACTTATTTCTTGATGCCAAATCATCAGCACTTTTACTTAAACAAGAAGATGCAAAATATATGAAATAAATATGTTAAAGATTTATTATTTTTTTTTATAAAAAAGAATTTTGTGAAAACAATGATACACAATATTTTGATAGAAGAATAGCAATTGTTGATGAAAGAAAAGATATTAATGATGAAAATAATTGAGAAGCTAAATAACAGAAGACAAAAAAAGAATATTTGCATATATAATTAAAAAAATTCAATTTACCAATTAATGCTTGAGTATGACAAAAAATTGTAAAAATAAAACATATCAATAGACCATAATAATCACGATGATCAGGACTCCATATAAGTAATGGTAATACAAATAATTGACCGATACTTGATAGAACAAGTGCACGAAAGAGAAGAATTGATCTATAGAGTTACAGAAAAATATGAGACATGATCAATGATGTGTTATATATATTCGTATGAAATAAATATAAAGATCGATGACAACGAAATCCGCAGATTTTATATATGCTGATGCTACAGTCGTTCTTGTAATTTACTAATCTGTATAAGACAGTGGATACTTTTGCTTTGGTTTGATATATTATTACTTTTGTCCGATCTAGAAACAAATCGGACAACGTTATTCTGCTTTGAATCTATACACAAATGCTCTTTACACTACTTTATCAATTAAAAGTGATTATCTATCAGTAAATTACTAAAGGTTGTAATTCAGAGTAAAATCGAGTTCTGAGGTCAAGTTAAGTGAGCTCAAAATTTCAAGTTTTTCGATAAATTGTAGCTTGTAACTGTGTGCTTTTTTTCTCGAGTATCATCAGTCGACTCAGCATAGTCTAGAGTAGGGAACTGCAAAATCAATTTTCTTTGGTCCCGGTCTCGATAAGAGCTTAAGAATAATTCCGGTGCTGTCTTCATCTATGCAAAAAAATATGAAGTTCACGAAAATTCTCGCTTTTCGATTGTAAATTCAATCTATACGGTTTTTCTTAAACTATAAAATAACACATTTGTCAATTCTTAATTAAAGAAATAAGAAAATGTTTAGCCTCATACTTGATAAAAGCACTGAGGAATTAGCTGACAATTTTAGTCTTGGTCTCTAAGTCTAGAGTATCTATTAGAGCAATCAAAAACAGATGATTACAGTTTTCGCGAAAACTTAGATATCCGTAAACTTCAAATTTGGAGCACACTTAACTTGATCTAATTCTGATTGCTTTTCATGTAGGATGAGTATATTAATTTTATTATTAAACAACATACTTTTCTCTAGTCCATGTTTGTCTATATTGAACTATTGCAATCATAAATATAAATCCAAATCTTATTGTATATTCTAGAATAACAGATTAAAAGAAATTTGTTTTATGAAATATTCTTACCAAAAAATGATTCTAATAATTTTGAATAAAATCCATATTCAAGAGCATAGAAAATATGATGATCATGATTAATAATCGATTGATATTGATCATTTTTAAGATGAAACCATTTAATGTATGCATTAACAAGAATTAATGCACATGATAATTTTAATATATGCTAAAATAATTAATTCAATTTTTGGTTTTGTTCAAAAAAAGGATATTTCATACGTTATATTTTATTTTATCGATATTGAATAAAACATGTCGATGAGCACGTAATTTAAGTAAAACAAAATCAATAAATACAAGTAAATCATCTAATTCAATATAAGGATCAACTGGATTTTGGCATTGTTTCTAAATTTTGAATTATCAAAAAATAAAATTTTAATTTTTGAAATTTTCTCTCATACACAGTGAATAATTTTAATAACGCCTTCTTTATAATGATGCGAAAGTTCATTAGCATATGTACCACATGTAACACAACAATATTTTTCCTGCATTTTATCTATAATATATATTTAAAATTCTTTCTTTTTTGTCAAACGAGTAATGAGTAAGAGTATATGTATGAATATAACGAATGCATATCATTTTCACGATAGATGGCTCTATTCATTGGTTAATATACGATATAAATGTCATTTATTAAGATTCAAAAGTTCAAGACATATATGAAGAATGATAGGCTAGTTTGAATTGAAAAGAAAAGCTGAAGGTAGACGATATGTACGAGAATTTTGCAACGGATAATTAGGCTCCTATCGGTTAGAGTTTTTAAATTCAGTGCGGTGTAGAATCTACCGGATAAAATTTGGATTTAATCAGGTTTTAATTCAAGTAAAAGTACGAAAATTTCAGAGTATTATTGTGCCAATGAGATTTATTGTTAAAGAAGTTTCAGACGAAAATTATTTGTTATAAGTTCCACAGTAAAACGAATTCTTTTGAAATCTTAACCTATATTTATAAACTCATGACGATCAAGTGTGTATAGATTTTCTTATCAAATAAATCTCGAGTATACTAATCATAGATACGAATAAGCGAAAACAGAGAATCTCGTATTCATCAAGTGGTTATCAGATTCAAATTGAAAATAATTCCTTCAAAGTCCTCACAATACCTGTCAGATAAGACCCATCGCTGTAAAATTAAATGAGAAATTATAGAAAAATATTTGCTTTATAACTCTGAAGTTTTGATAATAAATCATCATGTTCTACATTGTAAGTATGGGAAAGTAGTCAAACGTTGACAAGGTAAAACCTCGACATCATGAAATACAAAGAAAAAAAGTGTGTGGGTGTAGATGTGTGGGTGTGGAGTGGGTATGGGTGCGGGTATAAAACAGGTATACCCACACCCGCACTCTATACGCCGGCATTTATTTTCGACATTTGGCTACCAAATCGTATGTATTACATTGTAGATAATATAACAGAAGATGAATTGCGTATCACTTTCATTTCAAGCTAAGAACTTCTGAATAGTAACCATCGAGTATTTATTGTTTCTATCAGAAAATGTATATTCAAATCCTTTAGTTCAAAAATATCTCTTTATAACCATCAGCGTAGAATAAAGAATGATAGGTAAATTTAAGTCACATGTTTATTATTGATAGAATATGTATATCATATTTAAATTTTTTTCGAAAAACTGATATTGGTTTACTTTGTATCGATTACAAAAAAAGAAAATAAATGACTTTTATTTTTGAAATATTATCATATAACCTTCATTATCAATTATTTTGTTTTCGATCAAATTCAAATATTCGAGAACGTGTGCTGTTTTTTGTTTCATAATAAATATTAAAATTATTCATTTATCTACATGTTCGATTTCAAGAGAAAAACAGGTTTATAGTTACACCCTCATATCAAAAGTAAACTTTTTATGAGTAATAAAATTCTTTATATAAGATGTCGCAGTCATAGAATAAATAAATATTCTAGAACCAGGATCAAACAGCTGTTAATGTATTACAAGTTGTTTGATTGCCTTGAATAAATAATTATAAACTAAAGAAAAAGTCCTTACGGTGTTATACTTTCCCTTTTCTTTTTTTTTTTCTTTCTTTTTTTTTTCTTCTTAAAGAATTTTCTTTTCCTTCTACGTTGTTATATTAAAACTAAAACAATGTTCAAAAGTACGCGCTGTTTGTTAGCTGTCGTTGAGTATGTTGACTGAGAAATAGAAATGGTAGCCAATCACTCAACATTTGTCATGACAACTTGAATAAGCTTGGATGTTCGTCGTGAACAACATTGAAGGGAGTATAAAGCAGAAAAAGAAAGAAAAGAAGAAAGAAGAGAAAAAAAAATATATATATATTTATGATTTCAGTTGTCGCCATTTTATGACTCTAGCCATATTCTCTCTCTCTCTCTCGTTCTGTACTTGTCGATTGTATCAGGTAAGAGAGAGTTGTATTAGTAAGAGCGAGAATTATCAAGAAAAAAAGAAAAAAAGAGAAGAAAGAACAAGGAGTGGTAATAATGACAAACGATGATACTAGTGACTTATATATGTCAATTTGATTTCTGATTCATTCTATGTATATTTTTATCTATGAGTAATATCTAGATCATTTCGCTTGCTAGTATTGTCTACAATATAGGCCGTCATTATATCGTTCTACGATATATATAAAATAATTAATCTCTCTTCTTACTAGTGTTTTATTATTTTTGTGTAGTAAAAACTTATTCAGATGTCTCGATCTTTGTATACTAACAGATTTATGCAAGAAGAGCAGATATAAAGCCCATATACATTCTCAAACATTGTATAAATGTTAATGTGATGTATAAAGTACTTTCTTTTTTTTTTTTTTTGAAAGGCGATTCTATCCGAAAAAAGACATGGTTTACTGAGCTGTTTTGCAGGAAAGAAAAAAAAAACGCATAGCGATGCCAATGTTTTATATTTTACATCTTTTATTAAAAAAAAACAGAACGACGTAATAATAACAAAGAAGCTATCGAACCCTTCTCATTGAGAAATAAAATTTTCTCGTTTTTTTTTCTTTTATAAAAATAACATCTTTCCTTTAATCCTTGCATACGCACTGTTGCTAGATAAACAATATTCAATCTTTTTTTAATTCATCGTTAGAATTTTGTTTAAATACTCTTCTATTAGAGTTCGCTGAGCTCATTCACTATAGAAATAATGCACTTTTTCTTTTCTAGTCTCGAATGTTGACTGACGTCAGATTATTGTTTTATTTTAAAATTCTCGAAAGAAACATTGATTTGTTATAGAAATGACATACGCATAGAAGGTAGTAACAAGCGTAGGGGGTTAGAATTATCATGAATCTTAGCATAAAATGAATCAGAGAAATCATATAAATACTCGTAGAATAAATTAATATATTTAGAATTTATTTTTCAGGTGTACTCACATATATTTAGAAATCTAGTGACTATCATGGGAGCTCGTCTTTCCCGCTCTGATTTTCAATGGGTTTACACTGATGAACCACATACAACACGACGAAAAGAGATGTTGCGTATGTATAAAAAAGAAGAAGAAGATTTGTTTGATAATTCAAACAAATCTTTTTATTTTCATTTAGAAAAATATCCTCAAATCAAACAACTCATGGGCCATGATTGGCGTATTGCTGCTCAAGTTATTCTTACTGTTATTATACAAATAGTCATGGCTATTCTAGTTCAGGATGTTTCATGGAAATATGTTTGGTTCTTTACATATATTATTAGTGGTACACTTAATCATTCATTATCAATTAGTTTTCATGAAAGTATGAAAAATAAGAATTTCAATGATAATATTTATTAAATAAATGAATATCTGAATTTTAGTTGGACATAATTTAGCTTTCGGAAATCTTAGACCTACAGCTAATCGAATACTTGGTTTTATTGCAAATTTGCCATTATGTATACCATCATCTGTTACATTTAAGAAATATCATATTGATCATCATAAGTAAGATGATGCTTGTTGCTATAAATATAATATAAAATTATCTTGATTTAGATTTCAAGGCGATGATATGTTGGATCCTGATCTGCCAACATATTTTGAAGCATGGCTATTTCAATCACGTATTGGAAAATTTTTTTATATTGTTGCACAACCATTACTTTATGCTGTTCGACCACTCTTACGTGTACCAAAACCTGTGACACAATTGGAAGTGATTAATCTTTTCATTGAAATAGTTTTTGATGCGATTATTATGTATTTTCTGGGAACAAAATCATTCGTTTATCTACTTTTTGGTACATTACTTGGTCTTGGTCTTCATCCAATATCTGGACATTTTATATCTGGTTAGAATTATTATAATAATAGTTCTTATTTTGAATTTATTTATTTTTAGAGCATTATATATTTGTTGAAGGTTATGAAACGTATTCATATTATGGACCATTAAATTATTTAACATTTAATGTTGGTTATCATAATGAACGTAAGAAACTTGCCTTTTCGTCTTTTATTTGTATTAAATTGTTTTAGATCATGATTTTCCAAATGTTCCCGGTTACGCTTTACCTCAAGTAAGAATTAATTACTTTAAAAATTATTAATTTATATTCTTGTTTTTTTTTCTATTATAAATAGTTAAAAAAGATCGCTCCAGATTATTATGATAACCTTCCATGCCATTATTCTTGGTCGAAAGTACTTATTGATTTTATTCGTGATCCACATTTAGGACCACAATCTCGTATTCGTCGTACAATTCGTTCAAGTGCATTAAAATCTAATAATGCAATTGATATGAAAAATAAACATCAAGTCAATGAAATTCTCCATGAAGTTGTCGACAATAACAACAATACGCATCCACATATATCTAAGCATGATAGAAAAATAATCAATATGAAGAAACATTCCAGTAAAAATCCATCAGCTATAAATACAAATGAACATCATACAAAAACAGAATAACAGTATCAATAAGGGCAAGACATGTGTATTTTTATGTTTTGTTTTTGTATGTGTTTATTTCAAAACATTTTTTTATCTATTGACGCCGTCGATGTTTTTCATTAGTAATGATGAAATTTCAGAGATTATGTAAGTTACTCAATTGAAGCTATTTTATTTCTCCACTATGTCGTCTCCATATTAGTCAATTAGTATTATTTATAAGGTTTTTCTCAAATTGAAATTATATCCTATCGTTTTGAGTCATCGTTAAACAAATTTATTTTTTTAAATCATCATAAATATGTATGTGTATTTTATGATTAATAATACGAACAAATACTTTTTTAAAGATTACTAATTCTTAAGTCCATCTCTTACCAGATGGACATGAGCGAAAATTTTCTTTTTCGTAATAACAATGATTCATTCTTCTTTTTCTCTGAAATATCTGAAGAAAAACTTCCAACGGTGTCGATTTTATGTTCCATTAATTTTTAAAAAAAAATGCTCAGAAATGAAAACCCTATTTATGTTTTCTTTTGTGTTAATCTGTCGTTTTGTCATATTTTTCTTTTGCCGTCCATATAAGTGAGTTTACTTTGACATTTTTCTCATTTCGCTGGAATTACTTCTGTTTATATCAATAAATCTTTGTGCACAAATATGATTTTTCACATATTTTTATCGATTCTAATTTGTTTTCTATATAAAAACTGTTTATAATACGATTGACAAAAACAAACACTGGAAGACTTATACTCGAAAGCACATAATACATAAAATATTAAAGATAAATAAACAGAGAATAACATGTAATTATATTGTGTTAATTAAGGATTTGAATAAGGAGAATATTTTCGCGAAGATAGAAATTAAGTTAAGATGATACAAATAGAATCTGACAAAGAATTTTTAAAACAAAAAACATAAATCACCTTTTTTCGCCAAAAATTAGAACATTTAAATTATACCGAAAATGAAAGTAGATGATTATACTTTTTCTGACTATCAGTTCATTAGAAAATAAGAAGACTTTTGATTATTAATCACTTTTTTGAGCTGAATTAACAGTTGATTTCAATTGTTGTTCATACTCTTGTTGACTTACTACAGGAACACGCCCACTTTTAGTTGGACGAGTTATGCGTGACCATGGACCAACATTATCCTTCATGACAAAATCATAGAGTACTTTTGTCCAACTAAAGAGAAAAACAAATAAATATTGTAAATGATTACTAGTAGAAATAGAAAAAGTAATGAATAATTCTTCATATTGCCGTTGATTAGATGTATTCAGTCTCTAATTGCAACAATCTATTCTTACATGATCCGTTATCTATCCTTGATTGTAAATGACCGTGATGCTCTTTTAATCACTTTTTCTTCTAAATGTCTTTCTCTTTGTATGTGTACTTTGGAACAGTAAAAAAGTCATATTGCTACTACTCTGTCTTATCCAAAATAAGTCTCCGGATACCACTGATGCACAAATTATTCCGTAGATTTTTATAGGATGATCCAAGAGTTTTTGAACTACAATATATGTTCATTCTCGTCACTCACTCATAAGATATCCTTTGAAAATAAATAGTTGATATTGAATTGATCTCATCGATTATGACTTCTAATGAATTATTACAGCTAATGATTATTTAATTTATTTTTAAAACATTTTAACAATTGATAGACTAATAATTTAGTGAGAGCCGAGTGTACTTGACAAACGTTAACTACTATAGAATGTACTATATAATGAATAATAGTCTAGCAGATATCAAGAAGAGTTAACATATATTGTTGTTTCCGATATAGTTAATAATAGATTTTGCTTGAAAAACGAATTTCTTTAGATCTTCTATATTTTGAGAATGATAAAAAGAATATCTTAAGGATGAAACTATCTTAATTCTCTCATCTCAAGAAATGCAAGGATATGCCAAAGTCCCAGAATTAATCTTAGTTGAGCATTTGATTGAATAAATGTATTTAAAAAATTAAAGAATGGAAACAGATGGGGAAACCGCCAAATTTGGCAATACATCGCCCATTTCTATTTTAAAATCGCATGATGAGTTTGTCCTTCTGTCACATATGCGTCATTGTCGTATGGCGTGATCTAATCTTTGTTCTCTTTCGAGTTTGTCCTTACAGTCCGTACGTCTCTACTATTTTACTAATTGTCGTTTCTCGTAGTATATAAGATTCATCTAAGTTACCTACATTATAGAATCGAGAAGAGTCTATTGTATAATTATACGAACTTGAGACTTTGATATTGACTATTTTACAATCAAAGAGAACAAATATTTTCGTTTCGACAGACGTCAAACATTTAATTAATTCTTTTACTAAAAGTAAATTTTACCTTGTATAATGTGGTAGATTGTCATAATATTCAGGAGCAATTTTTCTTAATTTTGGTAAATTTCGACCCGGTATATATGGAAAATCATGATCTAAAACATCTTCCATTAAAATCAGAAAAAAATCCTTTTTTTCTCCAATTCTCTTACGTTCATTATGATATCCGACATTGTATGTAATAGCATTCAATGGTCCATAATAAGAATACGTTTCTTGTCCTTCTGTAAAAACATAATGTTCCGCAATAAAATGTCCCGAAATAGGATGAAGTGAAAGACCAAGTGCTGTACTTAGAAAAAAATATACTAAAGCTTGACCACCCAATAAATACCATATGGTTCCATCAAATGCTAATACAATAATTAAATTAACAACTTCTAAAGTATGTATTGGTTTTGGAAAAATAAACATCGGTCGAAAAGAATAAAGAAGTGGCATAATAACTAGAAAAATAAATTTTCCGATACGTGATGAAAATAAAAATACTTCAAGACGTGTTGGAACATCTGTATCATAAATTGCATCACCTTGAAATCTAAAATAGATATTATAAATAATTTTTTTATTTAGCTTTTTTTTTCGTTTTGTTACCGATGATGATCAAGATGATATTTTTTAAATGTAATTGATGCTGGAACACCTAATGGTAAGTTAGCTAAAAAGCCTAATAAACGATTAGACATTGGTCGAGAATGACCAAATGCTAAATTATGTGTTAATTCATGTAAAGCTAATGATAAACTATGATTTACTGTTCCACCGATAACATAAGCAGTAAGAAATAGTGTGAACCACGAAGAATTTCGTACAAGTATAGAAACAATTATTTGTATTAGAACAGATATAACTACTTGAATTGCTGTACGCCAATCATGACCCATTAATTGTTTTATTTCAGGATATTTTTCTAATTAAAAGTGTTTAAAATTAGTAATCATGCAAAGTTAGAGAAGAAGAAAAAAGAAATTATCTAACATATATCCTTCACCTTATAACTAAAAAACGGTAAGTGATGTATTTTTTTGATTAATTAACTTACTGAGCATTTCTTTTCGACGTGTAGCATGTGGTTCATCTGTATATGAATGATAGAAATCATGTGTTGTTATATATTGCCCCATGATTTTGATGTTAACAAGTATCTAAACACGAAATATTAAAGTGCATCTTTTATTTCGTATATAATATATTGCAAAAAAAAGATAATGAAACCACCCCCGAACTCATCATTTATATATATATAACAATAATATCTAGTTCCAATAGCATACAAGCTATTCAAATATACTTTTAGTAAATTTGTATAACTAATAATTATTAACAAATATTTTCTCTTTAGGACAACAATCAGATTTGTCTGAAGATCAAATTACATATATGGAATAATTAATTACTGTAGAGACATCTAAATAGATATTCTTCAAAAAGGCAATCACAAAGTTTTTCATTGGTCGTTTTTTCTGCCATATAGGAATTAACTCAAACTAAGTGACATGTACATGAAGAGAAAAACAAATTATTTTGAACATGCCAGCGAACTCAGTTCTTGAAGAAGAACAAGTACAAAATGGTAATGAAGTTTCTGATGATGATGAAGTAGATGAAACTGGTAAAATAGATGATACATCAGACGGAAAAGCAAAAAAGAAACGAAAGAAAAAGAAGAAGAATAAAAGTAAAATCGATTAATTAATAATAAAATATAGATTATATCTCATTTAATCATTATTTAGCTCAAACTACAACAAATGATGATCAAACTGATCCAGTTGCTAGTACGACAGAAGCAGTAGCTACAATATCTATTCAACAAGATGGTATGTTGTTGATAAAGTTGATTGGGAAAATATGATGTGAATTTTGATTTAGATGAAGAAGAAGCAGAAGAAGGAGGTGACGAAACAAAATCAATAACCAAGAAGAAAAACAAAAAGAAGAAAAAACGTATGTCTAATTTGTCTGGACAGAAATTAGAAATTTTTACAGAAAACAATTTCAAATTATTCGTGCATATGTAAAAGTACATTGTTCTTTTTACTTTTAAAGCAGCAAGTACTGTACAACCTGTTGTCACGAATGGCAAATCATCTCTTCAGCAAACAAATCCTCCATCAATACCCATTTCTGATTTGTATCCAGATGGAAACTTTCCTGAAGGAGAAATTCTTGAACATCCAACACCAAAACATCCACCAACAGATGGGTAACAAAAAAACTATCAACTCAATAACCATTAACTGATAATTTGTATACTTTTTAATAGATCACTTGCTATAAATCGTATGACAAGCGAAGAAAAACGTATGCGAGATATGGCTCAAACAGAAATCTATCAAGAACTACGTCAAGCTGCTGAATGTCATAGACAAACAAGAAAGTGGGTGATGAGTTGGATAGAACCTGGCATGAAGATGATTGATATTTGGTAAGATTATTAAAATGGTTTCATATTTTCATGATAGATCTGATTTATTCTAGTGAACGACTAGAAAATATGAATAGAAAACTTATTAAAGAGAAAGGACTTGAAGCTGGTTTGGGTTTCCCAACAGGTTGTTCATTAAATCACTGTGCCGCTCATTATACACCAAATAATGGTGATAACACAGTACTTCAACGTGATGATGTCTGTAAAATTGATTTTGGTACACATATCAATGGTCGAATCATTGATAGTGCATGGACAGTTGCATTTAATCCAAAATATGATGAACTCCTGAAAGCTGTTCGAGAAGCAACCAACACTGGAATAAAAGTAATAGAAAAAGAAGATTTTTTAAAAGTGTGTGATTGTTTTTTTTATAGACTGCTGGTATTGATGTTCGTTTATGTGATATTGGTGAAGCTATTCAAGAAGTAATGGAAAGTCATGAAGTTGAAATTGATGGAAAAGTGTTTCCAGGTATGTGAAAAGAAATGTTACGCTTTTGTTAAAGTTTCGATTGTATATTGTGAAATAAATAAGGAAAACTAAGTGTAGTAATATTATCAATGAAATATAAAGTTCTGCATTAAAGCTGTGTTATAATTAGAGTATTATAAAATATCTTCGCTGAATAATTTGATATTTTTGTTCACATTTTACTAAGTCTGTGTAATAATACATCTGAGATAAGATTATGAAGATGCGCTCTTTCATTATCGAAATCATAGCTATTTTTAATTAGTTTTTTTTACAAAAATAAGTGACAAGGAAATTTTCAATCTTCTTTGATTCTTGTTAAGTAGTATCATTGTGAGAGTAAACAGCTGAAGTTTTTATCGTATGGGAGATTTACTTTTATCTCTACCAAAATAGATTAGGAATTATCCTGTTTTACATGACATAGATGAGCATAGTATAATTCTGATTTGATTCATAGGAGAAACTATCTATTGTGAACACCATCAAGACTATTTTATACAGTGAATTTTTACATTAATAATCATTGATAAAAGCTTAGTTATTTATTTGACTAGAATCAAAAGACGTTTCGACCACAATACAAAACTTGATGTTTCTTTATTTTTAGCTTTAGAATTAATAGAACTATCAATTAATCTAAATTCAAATTTCTATTCAACAATTTCACTGGTTTATTTCATAATCATTTTTGTGTATGTAACATAGAATAAAGTGATATATCATTACTATTTATATTATCATTAGTTCATTGTTCTTATTTTTATAGAATAAGCTGATGTTTTATTTATGACAGTTGGATCGTATAAGGGAAAGTGATAAAAAAGCATGTTTATATATGAGAGTTTATAATAGCAAAAGAAGTTGCAAAAATGTATTCTAGTAAACATCTTTCTTCAATATCATTTCTACTACTTTTATTTATTCTTTAGTTAAAGCCATTCGAAACCTGCAAGGTCATTTAATTGGACAATATCATATTCATGCTGGAAAGTCAGTTCCCATAGTTAAAGGTGGTGAAGGAACTCGAATGGAGGTAAACCTTATAACTCACATTCTTTTCTTAATTTTATTTCTATTGTTTACGATTTAGGAAGGTGAAATATATGCAATTGAAACATTTGGTAGTACAGGCAAAGGTTATGTTCATCATGATATGGAAGTATCACATTATATGAAAAACTATGATGTCGAACAAGCAAATGTTAGGTAATTCTTAGTAGAAAAAAAAGTCATTGATTTTTGATTTTATATTAAATATTGATTAGAAATGCTAAATCAAAACAATTATATAATACAATCACAAAGAACTTTGGTACATTAGCTTTTTGTCGTCGGTGGTTAGATCGTTTAGGTGAAAGTAAATATTTACTTGCACTAAAAGGTCTTGTTGATGCTGGAATTATTGATCCATGTCCACCATTGTGTGACATTAAAGGAAGTTATACAGCTCAATTTGAACATACAATTATACTACGACCAACATGTAAAGAAGTTGTTAGTCGCGGCGAAGACTATTAGTCACACTTATTATCTATTTTTTTAGCCCCTGTAAGGATTTGTATAATCAAGAGATTAAAAAATACCAGTGCGAGAGACAGTTTTGACAATTTTTTGTTGTTGTATTTTTAAAAAAAAAACAAATTATAAATAGTTGACTGTAAATTATTTAACTAAAATGGACAGTGTTTATTCTATCAAAAATGGCTATGAAGAAAGAAATAATCAATATGACACAATTATTCACATTACAAAATCGATTTTTTGTATTGAAAACTAGTGAAGCAAATTATTTTGTTGATCATTTTTTACATCCATAACCATATGAAGTTTCGTCAATTTTTGTAGAACTCAATAACTGAAGTGATGAACATCTTTACTTAAATTTTCATCTAATTGAATGAATTGTTCAATGGATTCAAGATCAAAATCTTACTCCTTTAGTAATGCTTCACGAATTTTTTACTTTTAATTGCAATGACGTATACTTCGGTTACAGGTTTCTGATAGCACTAGTAAGAATCATATACTGATGTCATAATATGAACCTAATAACTGAATTAGATCCATAAATTTTGTATTGTTACTAGTTAAATCCTCGACTGGTCATGGACAGAGTGCTTCTCTGTTATAATCTTCATGGATTCAGTTTACCTTAAAGTATGTATTTGGGATGTTGTTGATGTAGACTTTAATATAGCTGAATATATGTGTTGTGAATTCGTTTATTAAACAATACGAAAAATAGATACGAAATGAAAGAGAAATATGCAAGTATAAATATATATAATCGTACACAAGGAGAAAAGCACAAAACCAATATGTGATGGAATACTATACATGGACCAAATCCATAACATTAATATTTTTGAATGACAAATGTTCTTTTTTTCTTTTTCAGTATTATCTTAACATCAGTGTAAAACTCTATACTTCTTTTCTATCATTCATTTTCGTACTTTTACTTTGCTTTTTTATTATTGTACTCAATTTTTTAATAAAATAGCAAAGAAAATCTATTATATTAGTTTTGTATTAGTGCCAAACATAAAACACAAAAGTGTTGCTGTATTACTAATAAGTAAATAGAAGTAACACTCGCACAAGAAAAACCTAATCAACAATGATAATACATGTGATATATTAAGAAAACTATATTCATTAGAATTTTACTTTTCTACCATCATGTATAACTAAATGATAGAGGGTGTTATCAAGCAAGAGAGTTTAGATCAATATTTAAAGCAACACAGTATGTCTGTTTACCATCAAAACTTTAGATCTCTCTCATTTATTCCATTTGAGCCATGGATATATATCACCTTTCTAGATGATATAAGAGAAAAGTAGAAAACTGCTCATTAATTTTCCACAAAAAGTCATGAACATAAACTCTTTTATGTTTTTTATTATCTCGTTATAATCTAGGAAGAAATATTATCAATTAATTCAAATGAAATGTAATATTCGAAGTTGTTTCCTCACAACCATTCAACTACTTATATTACTCTATGCAACAGCTAATCGACACGATAGAGACATCTAAGTGCATTTTCTGTCGCAAGGCAATCATCAATTTTTTCATTGGTCTTTTTTACGCGATACATGACTCAAGAAAGACACACACAGTGTGGAGTCGAAGAAATAATAAACAAATAAATAAATTTATAACATAATCTGAACATGCCATCGACTTCAGCTCTTGAAGAAGAACAAGTACAAAATGGTAATGAAGTTTCTGAAGATGATGAAGTAGATGAAACTGGTAAAATAGATGATACATCAGACGGAAAAGCAAAAAAGAAACGAAAGAAAAAGAAGAAGAATAAAAGTAAAATCGATTAATTAATAATAAAATTTAGATTCTATCTCACTTAATCATTATTTAGCTCCAATCACAGCAGATGGTGATCAAACTGATCCAGTTGCTAGTACGACAGAAGCAGTAGCTACAATATCTATTCAACAAGATGGTATGTTATGAATAAATTTGACTGGCAAAATATGAATACTATGATGTAAATTTTGATTTAGATGAAGAAGAAGTAGAAGAAGGAGGTGACGAAACAAAATCAACAACAAAAAAGAAAAACAAAAAGAAGAAAAAACGTATGTCTAATTTGTCTGGACAGAAATTAGAAATTTCACAGAAAACAATTTCAAATTATTCGCATATGTAAAAGTACATTGTTCTTTTTACTTTTTACTTTAAAGCTGCAAGTACTGCACAACCTGTTGTCACGAATGGAAAATCATCTCTTCAACAAACAAATCCTCCATCAATACCTATTTCTGATTTGTATCCAGATGGAAACTTTCCTGAAGGAGAGATTCTTGAACATCCAACACCAAAACATCCACCAACAGATGGGTAACAAAAAAACTATCAACTCAATAACCATTAACTGATAATTTGTATACTTCTAAATAGATCACTTGCTATTAATCGTATGACAAGCGAAGAAAAGCGTATGCGTGATATGGCTCAGACTGAACTCTATCGAGAATTACGCGAGGCAGCTGAATGTCATAGACAAACAAGAAAGTGGGTGATGAGTTGGATAGAACCTGGCATGAAGATGATTGATATTTGGTAAGACTATTGAAATGATTTCATTTTTTTATGAAAGACCTGATTTATTATAGTGAACGACTAGAAAATATGAACAGAACATTAATTAAAGAAAAGGGTCTTGAAGCTGGTTTAGCCTTTCCAACAGGTAAAAATTCTTTGTATTTCCTAATATTTATTTTTTTTTGTATAATAATACAAAAAAACAGGTTGTTCACTGAATAATTGTGCTGCTCACTATACACCAAATAATGGTGATAACACAGTACTTCAACGTGATGATGTCTGTAAAATTGATTTTGGTACACATATCAATGGTCGAATTATCGATTGTGCATGGACAGTTGCATTTAATCCAAAATATGATGAACTGCTAAAAGCTGTTCGAGAAGCAACTAACACTGGAATAAAAGTAATAGAAAAGAAAATTTGTTTATTAAAGTGTATGATTGTTTTTTTTATAGACTGCTGGTATTGATGTTCGTTTATGTGATATTGGAGAAGCCATTCAAGAAGTAATGGAAAGTCATGAAATTGAACTTGATGGAAAACTGTATCCAAGTATGTTAAATGAAGATTGAAAGCTGAATGTAGTAATATTATTAACGAAATATAGCTAAGAAAGCAGTAAAAAACTAAGCTCCGATCAATAGAGCATAGACATGAGCAGTAGCGTCAGGAAGCATGGTATAATTTTATCGATCTCTGATTAGTATTTTAGAAGAGATTGTTTGACCATTTTATTACGTTGATTTAATGACGAAATATTTAAAAAAAAAATGTATTTGTTAGATGATTGCGTATACTACCGAATTTATAAAACAATTTTAATAAAACAGTTCTTATAGACTAACGATAAGATGTGTCAGTTCTCTTGTCAGTCTCAATTCAAGTGATCTTTCATGTTAAGTTTGATCCATTATTATTTTGAGTTCTGCTTATCGACTAATATACACGAAATATACATCCTTCAACTACAATCTCATTTGTAATATTTTCTTTTTATTTATTTTCTAGTTAAAGCTATTCGTAATCTTCAAGGTCATTTAATTGGACAATATCATATTCATGCTGGTAAATCAGTTCCCATTGTCAAAGGTGGTGAAGGAACTCGAATGGAGGTAAACCTTATAACTCACATTCTTTTCTTAATTTTATTTCTATTGTTTACGATTTAGGAAGGTGAAATATATGCAATTGAAACATTTGGTAGTACAGGCAAAGGTGTTGTACATGACGATATGGAAGTATCACATTATATGAAAAACTTCGATGTTGAACACGCAAATGTTAGGTAAGTCTTAGCAATAAAACAAGTCATTGATTTTTGATTTTATATTAAATATTAATTAGAAATGCTAAATCAAAACAACTATACAATACAATCACAAAGAACTTTGGTACATTAGCTTTTTGTCGTCGATGGATAGATCGCTTAGGTGAAAGTAAATATTTACTTGCACTAAAAGGTCTTGTTGATGCTGAAGTTATCAATCCATATCCACCACTCTGTGACATCAAAGGATGTTATACAGCACAATTTGAACATACAATTATATTACGACCAACATGTAAAGAAGTTGTTAGCCGTGGCGAAGACTATTAGTCATGTTTATTATGTTTTCTTTATATCTTGAAACGTTTATATGACTGTAACTTTCTAATAAATAAGCTAGAGAGAAAGAGACTGTGGATCTTTCTTTTTTTTTTGTTGTTGTTCTTTTAAAGAAAAAGAAACATTTTAGATGGTTGTTTATAATTTATATATTTTTAATCGAAATGGACAATGTTTATTTTATCGAGAATGGTTACGAAGAAGACCAGGAACTATGACACAAGAAGAAGTAAGTTATTACTATGAAACATATGATGCTGAGAGAGAATTTTAACATTGTTGACTTTCGCTAGGAGCCTATCGAATCGAGAACATTTAGGTGCAAATCTGAATAGAATTCTTACTCATGATAGCCTTCCTATTTAGTTGTTTGGATCCCTATTTTTTTTGTTACGAAACTGAAAATTGTTTATAAGGAATGTTTAAGGATGATTTGTATTATTAAGAAACTGCATTCGATGTTAAACAAGTCCCAGGATACGAGATCATGGATGTTACTATAAAAAACAACGGATAATATTTAATATACACATGTAATAGTATCGAATAGAGAGAAGAAATGTACTTGCATGATATCAACTAGTGAATGATAAAAAGTGTGTCGATAATACGTTTGTTTGGTGACTGTATTAGAACATATTTATACGCTGCGGACAGCTAAAGAGTTAATAAACAAATCAGAGTGTATCTATTAAGTTTATTGAGTATGTAAAAATCATAGTGAAGAATGTTTTGATTGTAAATACAGTTAAGATTGAATAAACATCGACTTTTTGCTGTATTCATTTTTACTTGTCTACTAAAAATATTTCTTATTTCTTTATAGGAATTTAAATTAATGAATGGTTTTATGCATTCAATTAAATCTTTTGTGCAACGTCTATCACCTCAAGATTTGTATGTATATATAAGTTTTATTCCTATTTCAATAAAAACTTATGATTATTTTATTTTCTATAGAAAAGATGGTTTTGTAAGTTTTAAGACCAATTGTTATAAACTAAATTATTATGAAACGGCAACAGGACTAAAATTTGTCTTAAATACAGATAATAATGTTGGCAATATTCGTGATATTTTACATCAATTATACAGTACAGTAAGTTTATCGAAATAATTAAATTTTAAAAAATATTCTTGATTGTTTTTTTCTAGATATTCGTCAATTATATTGTAAAAAATCCTAGTTGTTCAGCAACAGATATAATAAATACTGAACAAGAAATATTTATTGAAAAACTAGATGAATTTATAAGTAATTTATCGATTTTTGCCCAAACAAATAAAGCATGATTTTCTTTTTTTTTGCATACGTATTCACTTCCTTTTTTAATGTTAAAACAATAAATAAACAAATAAAACAAATCGTATTTTTTTTTCAGATGTCAAATAATTCTATTCGTGAAGCATCACATGCTGGAAGTTGGTATGAATCTGACGGAAATTATCTTGATCAACAATTAGCAACATGGCTTCAAGAAGCAAATAATAGTACCAATGGACAATTAAAAGCACGAGCAATTATTGCACCACATGCTGGATATAGTTATAGTGGACCAACAGCAGCATATGCATATAAATATATTGATCCAACGGATATTGATCGTGTTTTTCTTCTTGGCCCGTCACATCATTATAGTTTAACGACTTGTGCATTAACAAATCATACATTATATCAAACACCATTATATAATATTCAAATTGATACACAAATATCAAGTGAACTTCATAAAACAGGTCTTTTCTCACTTATGAATAAACAACAAGATTCCGATGAACATTCATTAGAAATGCATTTACCATATATAGCAAAAATTTTTGAAAAGTAAGATTTTATTTTATTGAAAATAATTCAATTTGTTAAGGATAGAAAGAAAACATTTATTAAAATTTCTCACGTTTTATTGTGCTTTTACGAAAAACTTGATAAAGACTAAAGTCGATACTTCCGAATACCATCGGCCGCGGCTCAACCGTGCAGCTTACACCTGTATTTTCAGCTGAAAGAAAATCGTCAAAATGGATTGTCATGTACTGTTTTATATAGAATCCGAGTTAGAGCTCGTCGGGTCCGAGTATCGATGCTTTTACTGACCGGATCCGGATCGGAAGAAATGTGTTATCAACATAATATTTCTTTTTAAATTTTTATTCGTTTTATTCAAAAAATCTTCAATTTACTTATGAAAATAATAGAAAAAATAAAAGTAAAACTATTTTCGAAGCAACTATCACATTTCAAGTAGAAAAATTTACTGAGAATCTAAAAGTACAGTTCGAGTTCAGCTTAGTGCTCATCAGGATCGGATTTCACTTGGATCCAGACGTGGCCTCGGGTCCGGACCCGAGTCTAAAAAAAGTTTATTGAACGGGTCCGGGTCCAAAAAATTGTGGACTCGACGGGCTCTAATGCGAGTAATCACTATTCCATAAGAATGATTTTTGATTTTTATACCATTTTTATTAAAACAAATCTTTATTTTTAGAAAACGCAAAGATTTTAAATTAATTCCAATTCTTGTTGGTTCACTTGATTCATCGAAATTAGAAAAATATGGACAATTATTAGCGCCTTATTTATGTAATCCAAGAAATTTATTTGTTATTTCATCAGATTTTTGCCATTGGGGTAAGGGAGTTTTATACGGAAAAAAAGAGAGTTTTTTTTATTAATTTACTTTTTTTTAGGTCGAAGATTTTCTTATAATCCACATGATCCTGCCGATGGTGAAATTTGGCAATTTATTGAAAAATTAGATCATAAAGGAATGGAATTAATTGAAAAGATGAGTTTACCAGATTTTCATAATTATCTTCGTTCAACTGATAATACAATTTGTGGTCGATATCCGATTAGTCTTTTACTTGCTGTATGTTTCTAAAGATTATCTATTAAATTAAAATCATTGTTTTTTCTAGACAATTGATCAAGCTAAAAAAGTTATTCCGTCAAATCAATTGCCAAAATTTCATATGCAATTTGTCAAATATGCTCAATCAAGTCAAGTGAAAAAATCTAATGATTCCAGTGTGAGTTATGCATCTGCTGTTCTAACGGTTGTTGGATAAAATTGATAACAACTAAACGAAAACAACATTTTTTGTTCATACACTTTTTTTCTTCTATATAAATATCTTTAAAAAACGATTTTAATACTTTCTCATTATTGTGTTATTTTACTATCAACTTATTCATCATTTCAAAATAAAACTAAAAGTTCTTTGATAGAAAAAGTAAAGGTAGTAATATTTTCAAAGCAATAGTTCAATTGTTGTATGATTAAGTACTATTTCCTAAAGCAGGTACGTATATCTATGAATGAAAAAATGCAACAAGAATTTTTATAGAGCAGGAATAACGATGATTTTTAGATTTCTTTAAGTCTCAATAATGGACCTTCTTGAAAATGTGACAGTTGATCTCAAAAGATAAATAGTACTGAAAGTGTACTAGTTAAACCGATGAGAATCTCTATTTTCAAATAATATGTTTTATTGAGATTCATTTGTAAATGAAAAGAGACATCAATTTTATCCCAGTCATTTGCACTGACTAAAGAAAATGAAAAAGCTAATGATAAGTCATGAACTGTACCTAATTCGTTGATGCAAATTTATACAACAACATTCTGGTTTAAAAAGTAGGTTTCATATATATATATATTCTGTTAATCTAGATACAATACTCAAAAATATATTGCTAAGTAAGTTCATGTTCCTTCTTCTACAATTTTCTCCTGACTATTTTTGTTTTGTTCGATAATCATTGCAAGTAACCGATTCAAAACTGTTGTACATGTATAATCTTCTGTTTTGAGGACATTCATTTTGAAATTCAAAGTAAATCCTGTTTAGAGAAGTATGAATATTAATAAATTCAAGTTCATATCTAGATTTAATAATAGATATGACTTGTTTTTAAGAGTATACGACACATAATTTCTATCGTTATTATTAATTTAGTTATGTAACTACTAATAAGAAGAACTCAGACGCAGATTCAAAGATTTATAATGTGATCATGAACTTACATATATTTTCATTTTAATTAGAAACTGAAGAGAAAATAGATTGGTATTGTTCACCTCCAACTAAACAGAACTATTGTTTCGAAGTCATGTAACTTACATTTATATGACTGATTGGTTCTATTCAAGTATTGTTATGATAAATCAATCATGACAATACATATAATGAGACAAATAAAGCGGTAAATGTTTCATCTAAACACACCGGATGTCAATACTTGTAGGATTAGGTATTCTTTTTGTTCTTGTGCGTATATTATCTATTCGATAGTCAGAAGTGATGAAATTTTCGTAGGTATAAGACAATATTTCGTGTTCATTTTGATTAAAACTGATATTTAAATGTCTTTTCCAGTCAACTTAGTTTTTATAAAAGAAAAATTCGAATATATGGTTTCAATAACATTGACAATGATGGTAAGATTTTATTTAGATTGAACGCATAATAAACAGTAAAGAAATTTTAGCTTCAACAGAAGTAAAAATTTGACTATTCAGTTTTCGAAAAGCTTACTCTTCATGATTAATATACTTTCCTTCCATGAAATCAGTTCCATTCTAGGATACATGTGCTGTAGAATTTGATTAAACTTCTTAGATTCCACGAATAAGTAAAAATTGTACTTCTCCATTGTTCACTGAATAAGAACAAAAAGAATATCATTATAGAGTTTTATTATACAATAACTGATGATCACTCGAAATTTTTTTCCTTACTAAAAGTTAGTCAGAACAAAGAACGTGACAATATGATTGTTTTTTCATGTTCCGGATTAATAAACTATGAACTTACTTGCATTTGATTATGCCCTAACATTTTCGATACGACTAGTTTTTTGTTAGAAATAAACGCAAAGTATATCTTCAAAATTCAGTTGTGACTAGAATAGATGTTCAATAGATCGAATCCAGCAATAGACATAGACCAAGTCGACTTTTTATTATTGTTAAATAGTATATATACGTGACCCATGTAAACTATTGGATTAAATAGATCTTATAGTAAAGAGTCCGTAGTGAGTTTTAAATCATTCCCAACTTGTAATTTCGAAATATTATCAGAAAAAATAGAAATGAGAAAGATACGTCAGACTAGTAACATATCCAACTATCTTTATTCAATACTAGCCGTATTACTAGATCCATAAATCGTAAGAAGTTATTTACATGCATCATATTCTTGATCCTATTCGATCAGCCAATGTACATTCGATTCACTAATCAAAACACAGTTTTTTCAATCAATAATCAATTATTTTTGTTCTTCTTCTTCTCATTAAAATTCCTTTCTATTGGTTAAACAAAAGCAAATTTTAATTCACTTCATCATCATCTTAATAATATATATATATGTATATTCATTTTTTTCTTTTTCTATCATAGAAATAATATTCATCGACGAAGAAAAAAAAGGCATTATAATGAAATAAAAAATAGAATAAAGTAAATGAAAAAAAGAAAACCAGAAAACAAACAAACGCGTGACAACGAAAGACAACGCTCTTAAAACAGACATATTCACAAATAAAAACAATATTGTTATTTTGTATGATGACTTCCACCATTCATATGTATTCTCATATGTCGATTAAGATTTCCTGATTGAGAAAAACGAAGACGACATAATGAACATTCATAAGGTTTTTCTAAAAAAAAGAAAATTATTTTTGTTCAGTTAAAAAGAAAGATCTTATTTTGACTTTACCTCCACTATGTACTCGCATATGTTTTGTTAATGTTGAACTATCCGAAAACGCTTTTCGACAATATTTACATTGATACGGTCGTTCACCAGAATGTGTTCTCATATGTGTTGTTACTGATGAACTTTGAGAAAATTTTCTTGCACATATATCACATGAAAATGGTTTTTCACCTGAATGTGTACGTAAATGTGCAGTCAAATTTGCAGCTTGTGTAAATGCTTTTGAACATTTATCACACTTATATGGCTAAAAAAAAAGAATTAACTAGAATTTTGTCTTTCTATATTTTTGTCTTTTGTTTCATTACTTTTTCACCCGAATGTGTACGTAAATGAGTTTTGAGAGTACTTGGTCTTGCATAGATTTTTCCACATATCCGACAACGATTTATCCGTCCTTCGTTATTTTTTAGATTTGTTGATGATTTAGGTGTGGACCAATGGCTGTTCATAGAAAGAAGAAGAAGAAAAACTTTCTCTCACGCTTTTTTGTAAATATTAATAAAATAATCATACGTTCGTTTTTCATTAGAATTCATTGGTGTTGATGTTGGAAAAAAATCACATAATTTTGATAGATCTTTATAATCGTAATTAGCAGCTGCTGATAAAAGCATAGCTTGTTTGGTTGCAACAGGATCGGATTGTAAATAAGATGATGAACGATTTGATTTGATTTCAGGTGAATGATTAGTAAATGGATAATGTGTTGGACCTGATGGATTATAAAATGTTTCGTAAGGTGAATTACTAAAATTTGTTGAAGAATTAACATTTGCACCATAACCAGAATTATATTGAACATTATGAGAATTAAAATTCATTGAAACATTAACATTCATTGGTGCTGATAGACTTAACGCTGATTGCAAAGCTGCAGCAGCAGCTGTTTCAGGTTTAACTAATGATGAATTAGTAGTTGATGGTGTTGCTGATGTTGTTGTGGCTGAAGGTGAATGGTGATGATGATGATGTACCATATAAGGTGAATAAGATGCAGTTGATTGTGTATAGGAATCGAGAGCTGCAGCTGCAGTAGCTGCATCAGAATAATAGGAAGATGTTGGATCATAATGATGATGAGGATCAGAAAAACGAAAATGTGTATATTCATGAGGATGTGGATGATCCCGCCATGATGAGATAAAACTTCTATTAAAATAAGAATGAATGAATGAATTGATAAAAAATGGGTGTGGAAGAAGTCTTATTTTTCTATTATCTTATTTCTTTGAAGTTTTTATAATGATTTCTTTTTTTTTCTTCTTTAACTTACCCATCGAATGATGAAGTATCGGCAGCACGCCATAATGATGATGAAACATCGGCTGTGGTCGAATCCATGCCGATGCGATTTACTGCTGTCATTATGTTTTAGAGATTCAAAGAAACTACTACTACTACTACTTTTGCTTATGTTGTCGTTGCAATTATTGCATGAAAACACAAATTTTCTCGCTCTCTCTCTCTTTTTCTGTTTGTATATTTCTTTTTTTTTCTCTCTCTGTCTCCCTCTCTTTCCCTTCTTGTGCAAGAAGAAACCTATAAGTTATTCGTTCGAATACGATGCATAATCAAGAAAGAAGAAAAAAAAGGAGATTAAAATCTTTCTTTCTCTTTCTCCTTTCGGATGAACCGAACCTATTAGAAACGAGCAATGCTTTTAATGATGTTGTTCGACACACCAGTCAAACATGATGATGATGGTGTAGTTATGTTATTCTTTTCTTATTTGCTTTTCGCAATTGGTTGACGAGAAAAATATACAATAACGAATCAGAATAGTCAAAAAAAAACACATCAAGATATGTACGTGTCCATGAATTCGTTTTTCTTTTTTTTTTCATTCAAGTGCAACTGACACTTGAATTACTAACAAATTTTGTTTCTTAGGTTCCTTCCAATTTTATATTTACCAATATCATTTATCTAATACTCTAAGAGTATTTGTTTGTATAGTTAAAGTTTTTTTAAAAGATTTTATTCGTCTAAAGTCAATAGTATGATCAATTCTATTTTAAGTAGTTTACATATGTACTGATGATGTTAATAATAACAATAATATAGCTGATTTTTCACGACGAAAGACATTGATTAGCCGCACAAAATATCTAATGATTGATTAATTTTTGAAAATATTTCAAAAAGAAGAAAAATCATGCTTAATTAATTGAATACAAATGTTATTCTACTCGATTTACATCATTTTAAAAACAAAAGGTTTCTTACATATTGATAGAATAATTATCATGATCAGTTAGATATAACACTAACGGTACTATTTGTTTTAATGTATATGCGCTTTTAATTCGTTATTAAAAGTTGATTGTTGAGATTTCATCAAAAATTCATCATCTAACTCTTTCATTCTTTTTTTTTCAAGAGTATTTGCTCTTCTTCAATACATTTGACAATGTCTTTTGTTTAAAATGCACTCTGTCAAGCACAACACACAATAGTATTGCTCTGTTTTTGTTTCTCTTCATTTTATATACGAATCCCTAATGCATGCGCTTTGACTTTGAACATGAAAAAGAAGAAAAAAAAGTGAGACGTGCCGTTTCCATCTTCACTATTGATTATCGATTGCGATCAATGTATAAAACTAAGAATAATATACATATATTGATCTGAGAATAATCATCAAATAATATAAGAAAAAAAAAGGGGACATTCAATTAGACTGTACGTGTGTGTATGTTCGAATAAGAACAGATATCATTGATATTGTATAAATAAACAATAATCGATCAACGCGATGTTATTTTAAGAGTATAAAATAGCACCTGTATTAGTATTTTTGAAATACTTACCGAGTTGATGGTTCGCGTAAATGATAGGTTAAATCCGTATCAAGATATAATTTTGGTTGAAAATAACTTGTCATTTCGTTTTCTTTTTTTGTTATTATACACTCGAGAGTAGAATATTTTTTGATCAAATGATGTTGAAGAACTTCTTGTGTAATTTTTCAAATTTTATTGAAACCTTAGTCTATTCGAAAGAGGATGGATGATACCATTCAAGTTCATCTCATCCGCGTTTAAAAAGTAATTGGCCGAACAGAATATACAAAAAGAAAAAAAAAGGTAGATGATTATTTCTAATAACTTGACGATTCGATACAATCTTTCGTTCTTAATTCTCTTATTTCAACGTCAATCCATTTGTAGAGTAAACAACTCTGTCTCTCTCTCCGTATATATATATATATTGTAAGGTGCTATTGACAAAGCATACATGAAGATTTGGCATTATCGTCAACAGAAGCCACTAATAACAACTAAAAAAAGAATATAGCACAGACTACCAGACACCTTATCATAAGTGTAGTATTACGCATGCAATAAAGAGAGAGAGAGAAAAAAAAAGAAAGCAGTCATTGCAAGTCTTCTTCAACTCAATTTGATGTACGTCTTCGAGAACACAAGTACATTTGACTAGAAGAAAAATGATTACTTCGACTCGTGCTTCATTCTATTGTCTTCTGTAAACGATAAAATCATGATTAATAACGAACAGAAATAGCAAAAATATGTCAACATTATCGTATATATATATATTTGAATTGTTTTTCTTATTGATTAACGTTTTTTTTTCTACAAATAAAAATAACATTATGATTAAGCTATATGTTTTCATTTGTATTTTATAGTGATATGGTCATCTAACTTTCAAGATATGTATATTATATTGACAATATGTTCTCTAGTATATGCAATGCAAATATGCATTGTATTTTCTATTATACTATACTATAAAAACATATTCGCATTAGAGATTTGTAGATCGATTAATTAAATATGTTGTTAGTTTTATTGAGAAGAAGAAAAAAAGTAAGATGCTATAGTTAACTTTGAAGAAAAGAATTCTAGATAAAAAAAACTACTTCTATAACAAGCTTGAAATATAAGACATCTGTCGTAGGTCTCTCTTCTGTGTTTAGTACAACATACTGTACTGTTATGTTTCTTTGTGATATACTTATTTAAATAAATAGCTTTGAATTTAAAGAAAAAAATTAATCGAAATAGAGTGAAGTTGTTTAGACTTTCTGCATTGTCATTAATTGATAAATCACTTTATCGAAGATAAACAATCTGAAAAAGAATTAAAAGTTTGATAATCTATTCAAAATAATTTCGGTTACAATAGAGAATTACTTAGTATAATTTGGTTTATATCTTCACTTATAAAAGAATTAAACTTTTAGTGTAACAAATGCTATGACCTCACTTTTTTGTTTTAACAGATAACTGAATAGTTCCAATCGATGACTTTATATATAGAATTTAAAATATTTCAGGTAAAACGAAAGAGTCAATTTGTTTAGAGTCAAATAAATCAATTATAAGCAATAACTGAAGCACAACATGATCTATTTGAACTTTAGGTAGAGAAATTTATTGATCTTTAATTGTATTCATTTATTTATTTACTTCAATTTATTCATGATGAACATATTATCTATTATGTACCGAAATATAATATTTTCTAATAAATAAAGATAATAGTATGACAACTTTGAAAAAGAATAAGTTTATGGGTATCAAAATCGATGAATCATTCAAATTATAATTTCGAGGAATATCATACATTCTCAGGAACCAGCAGGGGCGTAGCGAGGTCTCCAAGAGAAGGGGCGCAAACCTTCAATACTTCCAGTTCTAAAAGCAGGGGAAGCGCAACACCCTTTTTGCTTAAATCTAATACGTGAAAACCCTTGTTTTTGATTTTATTGACCAAAAAAAACTAAAATTTTCCAAAACAAGGGGAGCGTGACACCCCTGGCAACCAGATATAGATTCATTTTAAAACTCATGCGATCATCCATGTATTATATTCATCATCTTCTCTACTACGAGAAAATTTGCATTTTTCCACTATTCGTATTACAGCGTCATCTGTAAAATTTATTTATATTTAAATAAAAATAAAATGATATTTATTCATAAATATTCCTTAATCAAACTGAAATTAAAAATTCCCTGAAATATATTTTTTTTATATTTGCCTATATACTATTCGATAGAATGAATCATGCAATTGACAAACTAAAAGATTTTTTTTTCGTCTTTCTTCTTGTTTTTTTTCTTCATCACATTTTAGAATAAACGAATTGATCAATCCTTTCTAAAAGACTAAAATGGTAATAATAGATCAAAATATTAAACTTTTATTTATATCGATTTATTTTTACTCTGTTTAGTTTCGTAATCAATATGATCATGATGTTAGCATATGGAGTCCTCAAGTATGATCAAAAATCTCTTTTTTTATTATTTAATTCGTATATATTTCTAGGGAAGACTTTATCAAATTGAATATGCAATGGAAGCCGTTAAACAAGGTGCAGCTACCGTAGCAGTTAAATCTAAAACACATGTGGTTCTTTGTGCTTTGAAAGTAATTTTTGTTTATGAAATTTAAATTTCATGCTCGATTTGTATTTATTTTTAGCGTGCACCATCGGAATTATCAGCTCATCAAAAGAAAATTATGTTTATTGATGATCATATTGGCGTTTCCATTGCTGGATTAGCATCAGATGCTCGTATTCTTTGGTAAAAAACTTGGAAATAATTGATTATTTGAAATAATATTTTCATTTTCTAGTCGTTTTATGCGCACAGAATGTATTAATCATCAATATGGATTTGATAAACCAATGCCAGTAACAAGATTAATGGATCATGTTAGCAACAGTAAGAAGAAAACACAAATTTCTATTTATTCATTGGAATCTCTTCTTTTTTAGAATGTCAAGTTCCAACTCAACGTTACGGACGTCGTCCATTTGGTGTTGGTTTTCTCATGGCTGGTTTCGATGTATAAGAAATTAATTTTTCGAAAAAAAAACAAATCATACGTCTATTATATTTTTTTTTCGTAGGAAAAAGGTACTCATTTATATCAGTTATGTCCATCAGCTAATTATTATTCATGCAAATCAATGGCTATTGGTGCTCGATCCCAATCAGCTCGAACATATCTTGAAAAAAATTTAGATAAATTTGCTGATAGTAATCAAGATGAACTTATTAAACATTGTATGAGAGCATTACGTGATACATTACCCAATGAAGTTGAATTAACTGTTAAAGTAAATTATGACTTATATCTTTTCGTGTTCTTTTATTCAATATATTTTAATTTAGAATTGTGCAGTCGCTGTTGTTGGAAAAGATACACCATTTGCGTTATTAAATGATGCTCGTGTTGGTACATATTTAGCAGCAATTGAAGGTGATGAACGTGCACCTCAAGCTCAAGATGATACATTAGTATGTTAAATATTTTATTCATTTTTCAGAATTTAAAATATTTATTTAATTTTTTTTAGATTACTGGTGACGATGATCTTCCTCCACCACCACCTGGTGGAAATACTGAACCACGAGTTATTGTTGCTACAGAACGCATGGAATCATAGACTAATTAAAATATTCTATTTGAATTTTTATCATTAAAAACATATAAAATCATATTGTCTGTTAAACAGGAACAAGATTCTTTTTTCTCTTCTTTTTAGATTGATTTATATTATTATAAGATATGCTAAATAAAAATCTTGGATTTGAAAAATAATATGGAAAAATTTCCGTTAGATAATATTGTTGAATGTAAATTGCAAATGAAGCATTTAAACGTAAAAAAGATAAACAATTTGTTTCAAATGTATTGGATTATCTTGAAATAGTATGTTCAAAATATTCCGTAAACTAGTTGGATATATACACAAGTCTTTGTTTGATGTAGAAGATCTATGAAAAATAATACGAAGTTTTAATTAGATACTGTGAATAGTACTTTAGATTTTTGTACTAGTATTTTTCAGGTCAGAGTTTGATATGGATAAGCATGGATTATGAAATTTTAGATTCAAGTATTGCAGTACTATCATAGGAATTTTTTATATTTCGGCTTGGCAGAAAAATAATGGTTTATATTCAGTAGTGATGAAATTGATCTACTAGTTTGAACTCTGAATAGTGACTGTTGATAGAATTCACTACTATCAAAATTGCTAATCATACTACAATTGAGCAAGAAACTGTACATTTATCATTCTTATATAAAATAATAGTTTTAATAGCATAATCAAGCAGTACAAATACCTATGTATCTGATTGATTAGCTCTATATTATAACGTTTAGTAAAATGTGGGAGTTTTTGAAGTTCATTGATAGTGTCTTAGCTGTTTTTTTGCATCAATTTGGAATATTTATTACTTTTGTTTTGCGGTTTTTCTTATATATATTTCTTTTTCTTTCAATTTAGACAAAACGAAACAATTCAGATGATGATATCATCAAATCAATGATAACTGGTCAAGCAACTATATGAAGAATTAATAACTCTTTTAAACAATTACGTTTATTTATGAGAAAACATTATGCTGCCGGTGGATTATCTGATGTCGTTTCTGTATTTGGGTCAGTCAAAAGATGATGTATAAATTCACAAAAATCAATATTAATACTTAAATCTTATATTTTTACTTTCTTACATTAGATAAAACTCCTAAAAGTCGAGCAATTGCAATTTTTCGTGATTTAAAATCTAGTTCTAGTACACAATAAACACAACCTGGTATGCAATAAACATATTTAGTATATCTACTTATACCATTCTTTTAGCTGCTAGTCATACTAACACTATTTCATTGCCAAACTCCGGTATATCGATGTCCGATCAAAGTGACACTACTAAAGGTAAAATAATTAAACTCGAACAAAGAAATTACAATAGTTTTTTTTATAGATATTCCACTGGATATTCTATCTCAAGCACAGAAAATTTGCCGCTATGCAAATTCCGCTCTTGAACATGAAGATATTATACATTAATAGTCGTCTAATATTTTTCTCGTTTTTGCTAGAACCGTTTTTTTCTTGTGTTCTCTTTCTATCTGCAAATAAATATACGTCTATATCTTCCACGTCATGAATGATTCATCTTTATTTACTCACTAAGTGTGACTCATCATTATTTTTACGTAGTATTTATACTTCATAGATTTATTTTCTATATATCATATAATATTTCTACATCGATTAAATATGGAAGACAGTCAACAATTATTAGAAGAAATTGTTTTACCCGATGAAATTCAACGTTATCGAACTGTTTATGAAAAAGCTCGAGAAGCTAATCAAATAACAGACCAAAATAAATTTTCATTTGCTTATTGTCTTGTACGAAGTAAAGCTAAAGCTGATGTACGTCATGGCTTACAGTTATTAAAAGAACTCTATGATTCAACAACGAAAGATAGTGATAAACGAGATTATTTATATTATTTAGCACTTGGTAAAAAATCTTATTTTTTAGTTGTATTTTATTAATTAAATTCTATTTAGGTAATGCTCGATTAAATGATTATGAAACAGCATTAAAATTTCTTGATGCTATTCTACATGTTCAACCTGGTAATCATCAAGCAAAAAATCTTAAAGATGAAGTTAACCGACGAATGACACGCGAAGGATGTATGTTTATATTGAAAATTTCAAAAAAAAACAAATAAAAATATTTATTTATATAGATATCGGTGCTGGAATTGCTGTAGGTGCAGGCGCACTTGTTATTGGAGGTAAGAAAATGAAAAATAATTATTTCAGCTGAGATTTATTGTTTTTCTTTTTATTTAGGTATTGCTGCTGCTGCCATTGCTCTTCTTAAGAAATAAACCATTATATTCAATCATAAATTGTATTATACTATAAAACAAAAAATAGCTGTCGACCGTAATCCAACAAAACTTTTCTTTTTCTTGTTATTTATTATTTAATAAAAAAAATCTAATATGACTAAAGTTCTATTAAATAACTTAAAAAAATCGATATATGTTGCGAAAAGATAGTTTTATGTATTATTAGTGTATGGATCAAAAATATATTAATACGAGTCATCTTATATAAACAATAATCTATTTATTGTTGTAATATAAGGACTCAAAGTTAAAAGGTAAATTATTTATTCATCTTAGTATGTTAGTACTTTTCATTCTTATAAGACAGTCAATTATCAACGGAAGGAAGAAGAACGTGGTAAAACAACAAAAACAATATAGAGTAATAGAATGGACATTGATTACTAAAGAAAAAAATTCATTTCCTTGTAAATACCGCATTATGCAATATTTTTCTCTTAGAATTTTATGTTACAATCAGTGCAGAGAAAAAACCTGAAGAAAGATTTTCTTTAGTTCTATTAAAGAACAAAACATATTTATTCGTTAATGGAATGTTTTTTTAAGTTCTTTGAATTAATGTGTATTAAATCTCTGGTAGACAATTTACAATCTGTTGATTTAATATTAACATCGTATTAATTATTGAAATTAGTGTTACATCAGACTTGATTTCATAGTAGAATCTATTATAATGATAGGGTGTCTGTAAGTATATATAGATTCTGTTTTAATTAAGCTAAAAGTTCGTTTTTCTAGTTAAAAACTAGCAGAATCTGAATACTAGTGTTCTTATCATAGAAACATTAATACTCGTTGAATATTTACAAATGCATTTGCACTTAGAAACATCAGAACAATAAAATTTTGGTAAAATGAATATTTATGAGAACTTTTCATCAAGTTGACCTATTCTATTAGTGATGTTATGTAATGCGTACGATATTAATACAAATACAAAAATACTAGCATTGTCTACACCAATATTAAATTAGCATGTCTCATTAAAAAAACTTGAATTGATTTATAAAGATTTTATTTCTTAAAATAAACTTCAATTTCACTATATATAAAACTCTTTACTATATACTCACATATGACTCAATGAATGTCCTTTAAATGATTGCATTCATTATAGTCTTCAAAGAAGGAATATTTATGTCAGAATTTTCATTTCTATTCCATATAGAATAGACACATAGAGAAAGGAAAGTGCGATGAGTCAAGCAATGACATTTGATGGTTATATAACGAGTTCAAAGTACTAGTGCCGACACAAATATCTTCTGATCAAGTTAGTGTTTTATTACTACAATTAATGTTGATATTAATACGTTCGTATTCTAATACTAATGAAAAATGATGAGAATAATCTAGGGGTTTAAATTTATTATGTAATATGAAAAGTTCTTGATTATCTCTTTCTTTCCTAGATGAAAAGAAAACAGAGTAACTTTAATTTGCTTGAATTGAGGACTTGGTATGAACTATATTCAAACATTAGTTCGTAAAGTTCAAAATGTAGTTGCATAACTCTTTTTACTAACTTATACCTAAGCATTATATCATCACAAGATCTTTTAACCTCTCATTCAAATTGCAATATTTATAGTAAGTAGTAGAAATCTGACATTATAATTTTTTTTGAATAATGTTGATGATTATAAATTAAAATATAAGATTCATTGAAACAGAATGCCGACATTCTAATTGCAGAAACTACGCAAAGAGAATCTCTCGTTTTTTAAATTCTATGATATAACAGCCTTACCTAGTATATATATACGTTATTTTATTCAGAGTGAACATCAGCAATGTCGTTTAATTATTCTACAATTTTTGATGAAGATCTTTCTCCTGATGATCCATTATTTTGGAGTCTACCAACACCAGTCAATTGTGATTCAGTTCGTACTCTTGGTATATTCTTATGTATAGCTGCACTGGTTGGTATTGTTTGTAATGGAGCTTTGGTTTATAGTTTTGCACGATACAAAGCACTTCGTACACCATCGAATATATTTGTCATGTTTATTGCTGGAATTGGTCTTTTTGCTTCCTGTACAATTCTTCCATTGACAGGTACATCTTCAATTTATTGTCAATGGTTATATCAACGTGCAGGTTGTCAATTCAGTGCTATTGTTGCATTTTTATATGGATGTGCAAGTTCTTATTTACTCTGTGGAGTAAGTCTAAGTCGATGTTATATGATTGTTCGACCATTTAAAGCTAAAGATGTTACTGTAAGTAACTAAAATTATTCTCAAAAAAAATCAAAGAATGATAATATAATAAATTTAGGTGAATAAATGTATTATCATCTCTATTATTTCAATATTGATTGCTTTTATTTGGACTATGTTACCTTTAATGGGATGGAATGAATATACGATGGATGTATGTAAAGATTTGTTTATTTTTTTAAAGATAAATTTTTTTTGTTATTTGTTTAGGGAGCTCGTACTTCTTGTTGTATCAATTGGTATGATCGACGTGCTTCTTACGTTTCATATCTTTTTTTTCTATTCATCGTTGTTTATTGTATTCCACTGATTATTCTTGTTATTGCAAATAGAATAACTTTGGAAGGGCTTAAACGAATGCATAAAAATATTGAAAATGGTATTCAAACAGGACTTAATCGAAAACGAATTGAAATGGAACGACGCATTGTCAGAAGTAAGATTTTATCATATTTATCTTTTTTCTTACATAATCTTCTATATTTTTTAACTAGGTATAATAATTACAACTTGTGGTTTTATTGTAACATGGACACCCTATGCTGTAACATTTTTTGCTTCAGCATTTCGAGGAAAAGAATATGCATTACCACCAATGGTTACTTTTTCTTGTGCTTGTATTGCTAAATCATCTGTTATATGGATTCCAATGCTTTACATCGGCACATCAACTCATTTTCAATTACAATTTGTCAATCAAGATGCACTAAATGAAGGAATACCAAACAATCGCGGCAATACAGTGTTACCTAATATACCCAGATTATCTCGAAAAATTGATGATATACCAATGAATCCCATTCCTCACAATACTGCTGACAATTAATTGATTGTTCTTAAAGAACATTAATATTTCTGTTGTATTTTATTCTTCAATATTTTATATTGTCAAGTATAAAAGCCGACGGTCAAGTTAAGTGAGCTCCAAATTTCAAGTTTTTCGACAAATTGTAGCTTGTAACTGTGCACTTTTTTTCTTGAGTATCACCAGTCGACTCAGCACAGTCCAGAGTATCTATGAGAGCAAGCAAAAACAGATGGTTACAGGTTTCAGGTAGAGTTTTTCTCGCGAAAATTTGGAGTACACTTAACTTGATCTAATATATGTAACTAAATTTTTTCAATTGTAAAATATTTATTTTATTCATAAGAAATAATCAAAGACAGATCTAACTTGATACATGTCTATTTTAAAAAAAAACATATTAATTGATTTAGTGAACAAAAAAAGAAAAGAAGCTTTTTATACATGAGATATATGATCGCGCTTAGAACCACGAAAAATAACATCTGTTTGTTCATTATAACCATTTGATTCTCCATATTTTAATGTATCAAATGTGCTATTTATTGTTGCTGTACGTTCTTTTGTTTGATGATGAATATTTGGTTGTGGCGATTGTTGTGCTTGTTGTAATGGCCAATAATCAAGTGTTTGTTGTTTTTCATCAAAATCAATACCTGTTATTGATATTCTTAAATTTCTACGCATTACATCACGTATATTTTGATTTAATCGTGTTGAATCAAGTTTAGCTTTAAGTAAAAATTCTAAGAATGCAATAACCATAGCTGCACCAAGACCAACAATTAAAACATAAAACATTCCAGCAACATTAGCTAAATTAAGTTCTGTACTTTGTTTCGAATCTTTATTATTAATATTTGTACATTCACTTCTTTCATAATACCATTTTTGTTTTAAACGTTCAAGAAATCCGCTTTCCGTTAATTCTAATACAGCTATATTTATTGCTTCACGTAAATCTGAACCAAGTGGTGTTCCTATTCCATAACCTTTTGCATCAATATTTTCACCAACACGCATTGTATTACATTGTAAACGTTCATTAACATATTCGTTTAATGTTGATTCAAGAAGAAAAGCAAATTTACCTTTTGATTGTCGAACTTTTTCAATTCCTTCACGATTTGATGAAACAAAAACATCATCTTTATGTTGTTGCATAAAATCCCACATACGTTTAAATGTTGTTAATGTTGATTTATTAAAAAATGCCATTGTTGAACCACCTTTTAATGTTCCATAACGAATTTCTGTTTGTTTAGCAAGATCTTCAACACTTTCAATTGGTGTAACTAACTTTTCAACGGTTAAAAAAGCAGCAAGATTAGCTGTATAAGATGAAACAAGAATTAAACTAAAAAACCACCATGCACTAGTTACCACTCGACCTAGAACAGAAAAATTAAATGATACAAAAATTTCTATTTTCATTCGCGGAAACATAATTTAAAGAAATACATCATTTTTTACGTTTAAGTATTACAAGTAACACTCGTCTGGAGACTCGCTCAGCTCTTTCTCATAGAACCAATATGCCTTCGCTACGAATAAACTATTTATTCAAATAATCTCAAAAACTGACTTCAGATTTGAATTCTACGATCTTGATAACCGTTCGGTGAACCCTTATAAAAAAATTTTCTAAAAACTAACGTCAGATTCGAAGTGCCTGCATCGAAATATCTCTAGAAATGTCTTTTTCGAAAAATCGGTCTTCGATGTTTTTTTGACCTTTCTCCCCTCTTCACCATTGTCACCCAATAGGCCTCAAATTCGAAGTCTCTGCTTTGAGATACTTCAAGAAATGCCCGTTTCGGAAAATTAGTCTTTGATGTTTTTTCTGACCCTGCGGACACACAAGCAAACTATTTATTTCTGCTAGACTCTTCTCTACGAGAAAGAGAAGAAACATCTTTGAAGAGTGAAGATATTTTGCAAAATAGAATATCCAGGGAAAAGTTTAAGAACTTGTTAACTTTTTATGGAATATTATTAATTATCATGGAACATAAATATATAGGTCAAATAAACTGATTCTGTTAGAGGACGTCTGCACGATAGTAGTTATGATAAACAAATGTCCCATGTGAGTGGAAATGAATGTTTAATGTAATTTTTGAAGTAGAGTACATGACTTATATCGTGGATAAGCTTTTCTATATACTAGAGGTATTAGTTCATTCTAATAGATATTCAATAATCTGTATGATTCATACAGAAGACTGGATAGAGTAAGTTGGAGATGCAAATATGAATTCTCTTATGATCTGCATATATCCAATTAGTATTATATTATAGCAAAGGAATTCGATCATATTAAAAGATGTAAATTCTAATGATATTCATATAATGAATATTTATTGGATTTCGATGAGTTCTAATAAAATCTTATTGGAGATCATAGAAATAAGATTCATAACTTGTCTGTATCATATACAATATCTAATGATCACTTGTAAACAAAATCAGAGAAACTTTCTCATATTTTATGAATATGATAAAATTCAGTGGACTAGACATTTTTTATCAATTCATCTAAACAAGTCGTATATGATATATTGTCTACAATCATTCACGTCCTATATTTTATTAATTTCAGAAATTTTCTTAAAATTCTTTGAATACTAAAAGTATAGAATAATCATTATATCTCCTAACTGACTTAGCAAAATCTCGTGTATACTATCAATATTTCGAATAAAAAAAATGACTCTACAAACCTGAAAATGATCTTGGTAAAAGATCAACACCTTGATGCATAAAAGCTGCAAATGCAAAAAATAATGCATTTTGCATGGAGAACTTATTTCGTGGTACATCATCTGATTCATTTTCAAAATACCATTCATAAGATGAAGTTCGACTAACAAAAAATAGAATAGCACTAACAAGTAAATAGGAAACAATAACACAAATCCAAATTTCTTTTGATAATGGTGCCATAAATGAAAATACACCAGGTTTTTGTTTTTCAGGTTTACGTATCATTATTGATATACCTAAATCAATAAATGGTTTAGAAAAATCCACCGCTTTTTCTCGTGCACCATTGATTGTTAATGATGCTATTGATAAGTCAGCAGCACGATTAACTAATGCACCAATCATTCCGTCCCAAACACCTTTTTCAATTTCATTCCCATATTTTGTTTCAATAAGAAATTTATATGGAATTTTTAATTTATCATTACATATTGCTTCAGCTAAATCAACACAAAAACCTTCAACAGCTGATGGATCAAGTATAGTACCACGTGGAATACTTTTTTCATTTACTGACTCATTACGAGTCTTTTTTAACATCATGAATGGTTCATCAAATATAGTTACAATTAAACGTGTTCGATTATCATAAGATGAACGAAAACGATTTGATGAATCATCAGCAATCTAAATAGAAATTTTGAATTATTACTTTGTCTTTACATAACAAATTTCGAAGTATCTTCTAGTCTGTTTATATCCTGTTACTTTAAAATAATTAAAACGGGATTTGAAAAAATATAAATTACAATTTTTTTTATAACAATTAGAAGTGTAATTATTTATTATTGAAATTTACAAGTAACGATCGCACTTTCTCGTAGAAATGGTATTTCTAATAGAGCTAAAGACTGCTCTTCGTCTTCAGAATGATTCTAAAAAAAATCCTAAAAAACTAAAATCAGATTCATGTTCCACGATCTCGATTACCCTTCGTTGAAGTTTATGGGAACGAATCGTTTTTACATCCAGATTAGTCTTTGACCAATCAAGCAGACAGTGCATGTTTGCTAGACTCCTCCCTACGAGAAAGAGAATTAAAATGCTCTGTACCAAGACGGAAACGGCTAACTTCAGTCCCTTGGAGTCCGCCGTTTCTCAATTGCTCTGTGCTCTTCCTATTTCACATGAGAATAGTCAACCCATGCAAAATTGAACATCTCTCGTTCGGAAAAAAAAGAAATATACTAAAACCTTACAAGCGAAAGACGGTCGTATACTTGATAGAGGTCAAAAAGCATTGTTTACGTTAATAAATACAGTAGGGAATAATACAACAAAACACATCTTGAAACTTCAGTATGAATCTAACTAACAAATCGACTATTATTCAAAAGTCAATAATTCTCTATAACTCTGAAAATTTTCACCAACTGTATTATTATATATTTATTTGCTTTTCAAAATATTTTTTGTTATTCTATTCTCAATTCAAAATCTATCTAATAAAATTATATAGTTAAATTTTTCTTTACAATTAATTAAATTATCGAAACATTTTCTTCTACTCTTTGGGGAAATATTCATTCATTCAATTAATTAATAACATTTTCACATTTTTGTTACATGTGATATGAATATAAGATTATCAATCAATGTTTTCCTTCTATATATATCTATTCAATCTAAATAAATAATACCTCAAGTGTACTTGGTGCTCGAAAAAATCCAATATGTTTTGGCATATCATTTCTTGTAACACGATGTACATCAAATGTATAATTTATTCTTTGTCCACTATTAGAAAATTGTACATTGCCTGTTAAACCATCAAAATTTGTATTTAATAAATTATCTAAATAAATTTTTCCAGCTGACCATGCTTGTATATGATTATTTCGACAATCAATACCAGGTGTTAGACCATTATAAAATTTTCCTTGTCGAAATACTTTTAATTTATCACGTGTTTCATTAGCTGAACTTAACATACGATTTATTGTACGTAATAATGTTTCCCATGCATCAACAATTAATAATGATTCAACCGTTGGAAAGATTTTTGGATTTAAATTTTCGACTGAATTTATATAGTTTTCATAGAATGATAATGTTTGACTATCATTATTAATTGAATCGGATGGTAAAGAAAAAAATGTAACGTTAACACCACCATAACGAAAATAAGTCATATCTAATTGTTTCGCATTTAATGATAGTATAATATAATGATAATCAGCAGTTGTCATACCACGATGTTTGATTTTATCCATAACTATTCTATATGTTTCAAATGAATGAAAATCTAAAACAATATAACGTCCGGGAAGAATTGAACTTGAACTTGTAAATGATGATGTACGTAATACTGTTTGTGTTGCTATTTCAACATTTTGTAATAAATCATATGAATCTTCGGGATTTCCTAAATAACGACTTATGATATTTAAATTTTGTAATGTATTTGTTGTTTGCATTTCTATTAAATTTTTTAATCGATATGCACCAATTGTATCATCATAGATATAGACAATTTGATTTATATGATAACGACGTATAAATGCTACTAATGCTGGTAAAACATCGGGCATTAATGAAAGATAAAAATTATTTTCAATATTTATATGATTATTTAAACCAAGAAATGGTACTTGATAAATTGAACAAAAACCTGATAACCAATCATAATCTTCATGATTAACGTAACCAATTATTGACATAACGCCATATGATAATTGTGTACATAATGTTGACCATGTATCAGTATCTGAATTGTCAAAATGATGTGTATTAAGAAGTTCAGTTACATTATATTGAAAACGTCGTTCAAGTTTATTAAGTACATATTGACGAGCTAATGGATTGATACGAGAATAAAAATCTCGATAATATCCATCGAATAATAAACCTAGATAGAATATGAGGAAAGAAAATTAGAATATTTGTTAGTATGTTATATTTATAGATATAAATCTCGAAATGACTTTATAATAAGAGAGGAAAAGATATATGAAGTAAAAATATCTTTAATGATAACTTTCAAATGTTAAAGTATAAACTGGTATAAAATAAAAATGTCTATGTTAATAGGTCTATTGAGACATGAAAACGATTCAATAGAAAATTTTGTTTGAATTATATTTCGTCCTTTTTCTATACTCGTATCTGTTTATTAAGGTTCCAAAATACAACTGATTGCTATCGTTTTATTTAAGCAAAATCGATTGTTTCAATCTTTTGGTAGGTAATAGAGATTTTTTTAAATCTCAACTATTCGAAAATAAAACTTCATTAATTGAATCATATTTCAGTAAAATTCTAGTAACTATTTCGTTTGATTAATATCAACATCATTGAACTGTACTTATCTATTCTTTTATAATAATATTATTTGTAAAAGAAAATAAATCTTACCAACAGGTATATGTAAAATTGTTCTTACAGTTTGTATATTTACAAAGACAATAACAAATAAATAAATAACTAAATTCGTCGTCTTCATCGTATTAGTTTAAAAAATCTTCCATGTATATATACGCTTATGTTATAGTTTATTTGTTAATATATTGACGAGAATAAGAAATATGATTGTTGCATGTTTTTATTCCGCTCGATTAGTGATCATCGGTTGAGTATAGTTTTTTTTTCAATGACAGCATGACGCGACAAGGGGATTGAGTTGTAGTGTGCGTTCTCCTTCGTCAACCAATACATCACCATCATCATCAACATCATCATCATCAATAATATCATAAGGAGGAGGAGAAAAATCTTGTTGTTACTATTATGAATCTCATTGTTACTATCGCGTTCAACACGCAACATTTTCTTTTTCTTTTCTGTTTAATCCATTATCATTCTACCAGTACTCTCATCTTTCCTTAGGAGCGTTCATCCACTTTACTGATTGATTATCGAAGGGACAATATTTTTCTCTTTTCTTTCACGACGAAAAAAAAAGAAGAAACACAAGGGGAAAGATCGAGTATAAGTCATTTCTTTATCTATTTTTTTTTACTCTACACAAAAGAGCAATTTTCTTTCTGACATGCCATGGCCTATGAATAAATGATATTGAATCATTATGACACGAGATCAAAATTTAATTTTATATGACAACAAAAAAAAATCGCGATTCATTGTGTCCTCTTGAAATAGGAGATGATAGTACGAACATTATACCAATCGCTTTTATCAATGGATTATTTCCATCTATTGATTTTCTATTTTTCTATGTCGTTTGATAATTGAATATGAAAATATTGTTTAGGATGCAGCATCGGAAATTACACTAATAGAACTATATAGAACGTCAATGGAAATGATATAAAATAACGGTCTAGTGACTTGTGTTGATTTAAAGTTCAAATATGAAGATAGAATAATTAGATTTAATCGTAGAGAGAGAGAGATATTTGAAAGTAGATTATATAGAAAAATTTTCGCAATATATTTAATAAGTTTCAGCTGAATATTACTCTTGGTCCGATTATTTTTTGATGTACTTGAGAATGAATACATTTGATTATTTCTCTGTATATTCTAAATAAATATATTAAAGCAACAATATTGTTCAATAAATAAATTAGAAATATTTGTTTTTCTCTTTCGACTAATCAATTGTTTATGATATTATATTCAAGGAGTAAAACGATATAAACTTCAAGACATTATAGCTATATAGCCTTGTCTTTCATGTTACCATTCAACAATACAAACGAATTGCTATGTTACAATATTAATAATTAATATCATAGTTTTATTAACATTGAAAATTTCGTACTCGATGACATTTATATTATTAATAGTATTCAGACTATACGAAAATACTGTATTGTGTAGTTTTCTTTTGTCGCAAATGAAAAGCGACACAATCATTGTTACCTATACTTCGTTACTACTGACATCAGTTGAATTTAAGAGATTATTCATTTCACTATTTATTTACTTATTTATTTGTTGTTTCTTTTTTTATAAAACGAAATAATGCAACTCAAATGGGGTATTGTTGGAACAGGTCGAATAAGTCATGATTTTTGTCTTGCTTTATTAACATGCAATGCACACGAACATAAAATTGTTGCTGTTGGTTCTCGAGATAAATCTCAAGCTGAAAAACTTGTTCAAGAATTAAAACTTGGAGATGATATTTCTATATATGGTTCACAAGATGAAGTTCTTCAAGATACAAAAGTTGATATTGTTTATATTGGAACAATTGAACAGGTTCATCGAGATTTATGTATTAAAGCATTCAATCATAATAAACATGTTTTATGTGAAAAACCATTAGCAATGAATACAAGTGAAGTTCAAGAAATAATTGAAGCAGCTAAAAAAACAAATAAATTCATGATGGAAGCAATATGGTCAAGATTTTTTCCTATTTATAATTATTTCCGTGATGCTGTTAAACAAATTGGAATAGTTACATTTGTTGAATGTACATTTTGTGTACGTGGTCTTGCTACTGGTGGTTGTTGGAGTTTACTTATGGGTATTGGTTGTTATCCTGTTCAAGCAGCTTTAATTGCTTTTAATCATGAAGAACCAGAATCAATCATAGCCACAGGACATACAAGAGAACTTAACGGTGAGTTAACTGATCGGATGATTACTATAACATTATTATTTAAAAATAATCGTATGGCTGTTCTTAATTGTATTGGAGAAGATATTGAAGCAATTAATTCATTGAAAATTCATGGAACAGAAGGTAAGCAAAAGAAGAATTTTAAAAAAATTTAATTTCGTTTTATTGAAGGTGTTATTAGTATGCCGACACATTTTTGGTGTCCAACAAAAATGACATTACCAAATGATCATATTGTTGAACATCATTTACCACAAACAATCAAACCAACAAATTATACCAATTCTGCTGGTCTTCGTTATGAAGCAATTGCATGTCGAGATGAAATAATGAATGGAAAAACTGAACATCCATTTATGACACTTGAACATTCATTACAAATCGCTCGAATTATTGAAGAAGCTCGAAAACAAATGCTTACACCCAAACAATAGAATTTGTTTTTCATTTGATTCAACGATAATTTTCAAAGAAAGACTAAACATAGTTTCTAGTTTTTGCATTAAAAAATAAACGATTTTAGATGAAAAATACTATTTTTGTTTTTTTGCATTGACATGTAATTTTAATTTAGACTAAATCGATTTATGATCAAATGTTCTTCTTACAAATAGAACTTTATAGAATTTACAATGCAGTAGAACTTTTCTTAAACGGGCACCTATGGAACTTTTTTAAATCGCTCACTTGGTGGAGATGCTCTTGTTACTCATGATCTATTGTAGAGGAGTTTTCTTTTGATATACGAATTAGAACATCACATTCAATTAGAGCTCGTCAGGTCCACGGTTTTTTGGACCCGGACCCGTTCGATAAATGTGTTTTAGGCGCGGACCCGCTGCCAAGTCCGGACCCGATCTCAATGAGCACTAGCCTGAACTCAAACTGTACTTTTAGACTCTCAGTGAATTTTTCTACTTGAAAACTGATATTTGCTTCGAAAATAGTTTTGTTGTTATTTTTTCTATTATTTTTATAAATAAATTCAAAACTTTTTGAATGAAATGAATAAAAAATTAAAGAAATTCAAAAAAAATATTATGTTGATAACATATCTCCTTCGATCCGGACCCGACAGGCTCTGCATTTCAATTTATAATCAATTAGTACGTTGTACTGAAATTCCAACATCACATTTAAGGCTTTATTGATCTTATTAACATGAACTGCGCTGTTTGAATGATTCTCTTGAGTTAACAATAAATGTCGATGATAATGCATTGTCGTTTTATATTTTTTTTCTAATTAACCCTTTCAGGACTAGTTTTGCTTTCACGATCAGTGTATTATTCTTAAACTATTTTTTTTTTAAAAAGCCTGGACCCCCCTCCAGGGTAGGTGGTACATTTGTTGTACCACCGTCCTGAAAAGGTTAATTAACTTGATTTATTGAAAATATGGCTCCTATATGACTAATCAAAGTAATTTTTATTTCTCATTAATTTATAATACTTTAATAGAATTCAATATTAACATGATGAGAAAACACTAGTTCGATAAATATCTATGATTCATTCTCTATAGATTAAAAATTTAGAAAAAAAGCGCATTAAAATTAATTCTTTAATTAAAATATCTAATTTAAAAATAGAAAAAAAAAATAACATATATTTTTATTTATCGAAAGAACTTAATTACATCGAAATGCATTAATGCATTAATAATAACCGATAAAAATCTTCTCTGATTGGCTTATTTATATTTGTTCATCTGACCTTAAAATTGTTATTTTCTTTTTATTTAAATGTATCGTTTCTATATTAATTGTCATCATTGGAGACCGACACGTCAACAATGGATTTATGCAAATCGTTGTCTACCAATTGATGAACTTAAACGTATAGACCAATATGTTTATCAACGTGATGTTAAATTTACATTAATTGGACAATTATTAATTCGTTATCTTTTAAATCATGTATTTCATGAAAAAAGTTCATCATTTCGAATTCAACGTACAAAACTTAATCGTCCATTTAGTCAATTAAATCCATCATTTGATTTTAATCTTTCACATCATCATCAATTAGTATGTATAGCAGGTACATTTCATGGACAAATCGGTTGTGACACAATACTTTATCAAACAAATCAAATTCGTAAAGAAAATTATGAATTATTTCGTAAAAAATTTACATTAAATGAATATGAATTAATCAAAAAGAAATCATCAAATTTTTATCGTTTATGGTGTTTAAAAGAAAGTTATATTAAATGGTTAGGTATTGGTATGGGTTTTCAATTATTAAGATTAAATTTTCATATGGATGAAACAGAAGATTTGATTCCAAACAAAATTATTTCCAATACAATATTGAATATTGATAATCAATTAAATACAGATAATATTCGTTTTGATGAACAAATTATATTTTTAAACGATAATGAACAACAAATAATAACTTTATGTTTATCAAGAAATAATCATTGTCAATTATTTGTTGAATTAAATATTGATGATATTCTACATGGTTGTACACCATTTGATAAGAATAAAGAAGATGATTTGATATCCTGGGAGAGATTTCAAATGAAAAGACAAACAGATCTATTTTGATATGTATATATATTCAGATTTATAGATATTATGAAGAAGTAAGTGGAGAAATAGAAATAATACACATAAAATTAAGAAAAAACATCATGAATAAATCAGATATTGTTTTATTTCACTAGAGTGATCGAGATATATATATATTACTGTCTTTTTAAAGATATTTTGCAAGTAAACAGATGAATTTTCGGTGGTTTTGTTGATGAAAGTATTTTGCTTCATATTTTAAATATAGTAAGATTTTAATTTGATGCTAATAATAGATAAATTGCGTTGATAGTCATTGTTTTCTAAGATATCATTGATTGCATAAGACAGCTCTGATTTTATCTTCATATTCTATTCAATCGAATCTCATTAGCAAGACTTTATACGGCATTTTCTTATAAAGATTAAGCATATATCACATATATATATTTCATTTCGAAATATACACTTATTGTTTATTTATCAATAAATATGCGAGATCTACAATCTTACAGATAACAATAATCTTTTATTAGTTCGTTCTTTTTTTTCTCATTTTAATTAATAAAAATTTCTAACGTTTACAAATCTATATGGCATAGATATAATTCATGCAGAATTGTTGTTTAGAATTATGGTCATACTGATATGTTCAGCATTTGCAGACAATCAAATAATGGCGCTCTTTTCGTTTTCTCTTTTTTCATCATCTTGTTATTTATGTTTTTATGCTAATCATTCATTGAAAATATATATTTTCGATTTTCAAAAAAAAATAACAGATACCAAAGCTCAGATTGCAATGATCTAACTTTTTTCTTTCAGAACAGTGATTGTGTTTTTTTAATATAAGAAAAAGAATAAAGATATTCTATTTCATGGTGCTATTAATCATCGTTTAATAAGAGAGAAAAATCTATCGAGTTATGTCTACTGGTTCATCATCAAATATTATTATTCGTTTACAAAATTTACCTAATGAGGCACGTGCTATTGATATTGTAAGTTTAGGTTATTTATAAAAGATAACAAAAAAAATCAAAACCTTTTGCTTCTAGAGACGATTCTTTACCGGTTTGAGTATTCCAGATGGTGGCGTACATGTTGGTGAGTAGAGTCTAAAATTGATAGATGAATTAATTTTCGGAGAAAATTTTTTTTTGTTATTTTTAGTCGGTGGTGAAAAAGGTGATGCTTTTATTAACTTTAGTTCGGATGATGATGCTCGACAAGCTATGATGAAATCGGGTAATATTTGTGGTAATCCAATAAAACTGTTTTTAAGTAGTCGATCAGAAATGCAAACTGTTATTGCGCAAGCTCGTGCTACTCCATCAACAAAATCATCATCATCAAACGTTGTTGAGCAGAATTATTCACCAAATATTAGTGAACAACAAGATCAAAATCTACCAAAAATACCATCAGCAAATGCAATTTCATCAATTCTTGCTGAATTTCAAGCAAAAGCTGTTCAACAACAACAATTACATATGCAACAACAAACACCAACAATTGATCCAACACATGCAATATTATTAGCTGCAGCGCAAGGTGGAAATAATCCATTAGCAATTCAACAATTATTAGTAGCACTTAATGAAAAACATCAACAACAACAACAACAATTTCCATTTCAAATGCCAATGATTACAAATCCTATGAATCAATATCCTCAACAACCAAATGGATGGATGGCACAACAAGTAATTTTTTTTGCAAATAGATATACTTGAAACATTATTTCTGAGAATGATACTTTAAAAAAAATGTATTTCATGTGTTAATAATTTGTAATTAACATAAAAACATACATTTAGTTATGCATTACTTAGCTCTTCTAGAAAAAATCGTTCTAAAGTATACTTCCTATGCTCCATAACATAATTGAGCTATTATCCACAACCGAAAATCTATCCCAGATATAAAAATTTCTAATTTCCATATGCCTAAAAAGAATAGCATATACGACGTAAATAAAATCAAGAGCAAACATGAAATAGTCAGTTTTAAAATAAAAACTATCCTAGACCATCGATGAATATATTGTCTATCTACACATCATAAAAACATAAGTTCCGAAGTTTTGAGTAATTCTGTCAATACATGATGTTTAATTTTCTATTTTTTAGTATTCAAATGCTTTTCAACAGCAACAACGTGCAACAAATGCTGCTGCTCTCTTTCAACAACAATCTTTATATGGAAATCATAATCAAGATTCTTTAAATTCATTTCAAACAGCTGATGATCCTTATATACGTGTTCGAAATATTCCAATAGCTTATTCATATTATAATATCAAACTGTTATTTCCAAAATATAAATTAAACCTTGCCGATATAAAAATATTAAATGATCAAAATGGTCAACGAACAGGTGAAATTGTTCTTCGCCTACATACAAATAAAGATGTATCTGATATCTTATCACAAGATGGTCGTATGCAATGTTTTAATTCAATGTTAGATATAAAAAAAATTGATGAATATACATTTGCATCAGCTATTGATTCATTTATACCAGCTCATATTAAGAAAACACCTGGTGCAGCAATCAAAAATTGTATACGTGTTACAGGTTTACCTAAAACATATGAACGTAAAGATGTGAAACGTTTTTTTGCTGGTTGTAATGTAACAAATCGTCCCGGTGGAATATTTATTGAAACTGATACAATGAATGGACCAACATTTGTTGAATTTGAAACTGAAATTGATGCTGAAAAAGCATTTTTTTATAATGGAGAACAAATGGGTAACATTTTTATTTAATTAGTAATAGACAAAAAAAAACAAATTTCTTTGTTAAGGTTCATCAACAATTGATATGTATCGTATGACAAAATCTGATATGGAAAATGAAATTAATTCATTAAAACGTGCACCAGATCGACCACAACGTCGACCACCATTATTAAATTCTGAACCAACCATGGGAAATAATCGTAATGGTAATTCCACACATTTATTACCAACACCACAAGCAACATACCATCGTCAAATAGATACATCATTTCCAATTCAATCAAATACGAATCAAGATACAGCAATTATTTGTTTACGTTTAAGAAATATACCTTATTCAACAACAGAAAAACAAATTCATGATTTTTTTACAAATATGTCAATACAAGTTGATAGTTGTAAAATTTTACTTGATCGGTTTAATCGTGGTGCTGGTGAAGCTTTAGTTCGTTTTCATGATCCAAAATCATGTCAAATGGCATATGAAACGAAAAATCGACAAATTTTCTATGGACGAACATTAGATTTACGACCATTAACATTACATGAATTTCAAAATGCAGCATTAACACCAATGTTAACAGCAAATGATTTACAGTCACCAGCAGCAATAAATCAACATTTTCAACAACAACCAAATGTTAAACGATATCCACCTTTCTATGAAAGAGATGATGATAGACGAAATGATAAAAGACCACGATGGGATGGAACTCATAATAATAATAATAACAAAGGTATTTTTGTCTATAATTTAGAAATATCAACTCTGATTTTATTCGCGGAAATTCTTACGAGAGAACATATATATATGTTAGAAAATATCAATTGAGGATGACATTTGTAGGACATTCTAGTAACGATACGACATACCTATAGGTAAACTTCCGGTCAAAGAGGTGCCTAACCGTTTTGTCCACGGAAGTAGGTGATTCCGTCACCGTTGTTTGTAATGAATGAGAAGTTGCAGACAACTTTGGAGTGCTCCATTTTAAAAAGCATAATTCTTGATACTAAGTCGTTTATGCGTTATGAAACAAAGAAAGCGTGACGGAATCACGTTTTACGTGGACAGGCCGCTAATCTCACTTGTTGCAAGTGAAAAATTTCGTAACTTCGAATCAAAGGCGCGAGGATACGAATTCTTTTCAAGTTTCATTGAGGTCTACCTATTGCCAAACGATCGAGTCTAAACAGCTTCAACACTTAAGTATGTTTCCTCATGAGAAATTTATATTTGTATGATAATTTTATTAGAAAAATATGTACAATTATTTTGATTAACTTTTCATAGATGGATATGGAATTACACGTAATTCTCCACGAGTACTTAAAGATGAGCAAGGACAGGATATGAAATCAAATGATGATAAACAACCACTTAATGATCGACGTTCTTCAACACCACCTATTTCATCTCCAACAAATTTACCACCATTACCAAGTGAATTAAATGAATATATTGGTCGTATATTAGTTTTATCGAATGTTACTTATCGTGCAACACGTGAAGAAATACTTGATTTTCTTCGTCCATATTCTCCAATACCGGATACACTTAAAATACGTTGTGATATTAATGGTAAACCAACTGGTTTTGGTGTTGTTGCTTGTGAAACAAAAAATGATGCATTACGAGCTGTTACTGAACTTAATAATCAAACATTCATGTTTCGTAAAATCTATCTTCAACAAAGATAAATATATACTTACTTACTTAAGCTTATGTTACTGTTAGACTTTTGTTTTCTTCTTCTTCTTCTTTCGTGTTATTTGTTTTACAACGACAACATGTGTGTATAGAACAGTAATGTAGTAGGTCGGATTTTCCGTCCATTTGTCGTACAGCGCTTTCAGAAAAAAAAATATCAAGAAAAGAAATTGACTACATTCCAGAAAAAAAAAACTTTTCAACTGATACTTGTCTTTTGTTTTTCTTCTTGCTATGTTAATTTATTTCATCATGAAAAAAAAATAAATTTAACATTTTTTTTTTGTTTCAGTTGTTTTGTGCTTATGCGCAAAAACGTCTTGTGTGCTTTCTTTATTTCATTTCGTTTTTCTCTTTTTTCCTTTTTTTGTTCTTCGTGTTTTGTGTGCGCGAATAGGAACAATAATAAAACCAAGAGTTTGTGTGATAACAAAAAATTCAATTGATGTTCATTCTTTGAATTCATAACTTTTATTTATTTGAAAAAAAAGAAGAGATTTATGAATATATGGAATGTTGTTGATTTCGTATGTATGAACTTTACCGGTGGATATATAGATAGTGCTAAGGTTGTATGAATTACTCAGTGGTGGATCTGGAATTTTGGAAGGGAGGGGCGGTTTCTGAGTAGATAGGGGCGATACATGAGTATGGGGGGGGGGGGGGGGGCGATTTAGTGGCGTAACCAAGGCCTGGTCTCGCCCAGCCACCGCTCTTCTATGCCAGTCCACCGAAAAAAATTTTTATTATGTATTTCATCTCTTTATTATATGGTTCTTTCGTATATTTTATTCTCTTGTTCATAATGTAAGGCACCGCCAGGCCACCCACGAAATCCTGATTTACGCTACTAGGGCGATTCCAGCTAAAAACTAGTTTTGAGTTCTATCGAAGTAGTTCGAATCTATTGTTTCGTTCATTTTTGCTGTAAAAAATCAAAAACAATTTTTGAAGAGGAGTGACCACCCTCATTGTCTCCCACCTTCCCGTTAAATCTGCCACTGGAATTGCTGTGATTGCTTGCTTGTGTGACCGCACTACACTGATTCATCCAAAAACGAGGTAAAGATATAGAAGGAATTGTTTTTTATAAGGGTTGACCGAAGGATAATCGAGATCGAAGAATTCAAATCTAACTTTTGTTTTGTTTAATTATGTAAATCAATAGCTTGGTAGTTGTTTAGTAACATCCTTACGACAAGAATAATAACTAAATATTAATGAATCTTATGAACAATGGTTTATTTTATCAGAGCATGAATATAGGAATCCATTTCTTTTTCAATAATGATTCAATTCGATTGATTACGAAACATTTCAAAAGAATATGAACTGTTCATTAAATAGAAGATTTGAATAAAACATCTGTTCTTCTATAGTTTTATTAATCATCAAAAAGACATATAATGTCATAATCACTTTCATTTGTAAGTTGTCTCATCGGTAATTATAGAATGTTTCTCATAACATATATTTGATACTCGTCTGAAATGTTGAACTTTTTCTGTCGAATGTACTTAAAACAAGGTCTACTATTGAAAAATAGCTCGAAAAAAGAAAGATATATATTTGTTCTCTTTGTATATCGAATCGAAAAGAACACTTATAAAATAACCTTCATAGTATAATTCAATTTTTATAACGATATCTATAGATTAAACTACACTAGAATGACTTAAGAAACTATTCTCTTCTTGTTAAATCTATAGACTTTATTTCTTTACAATGAAAATATCCTTGAAGATACATTGAGTACTTTTCAATCGACAATGATCCTTTTCTTTTCAAAAAGAAAAAAAATCTACATATTAATCAAATTGCCGATAGGTTTTCTTGATTAATTCATTTGTTTCCTTCTTTTACATTCAAGTATTTATACAGGATATTCAATAGCTTATTAATTGAAAAGAAGATTAATTAATAAACATCACTATAATTGTATATATTATTAAACAATAAAAGACAAGCAAAAAAAATGCTGTACAAAAAAAAATGTAAAAAGAAGAAAGAGACAAAACTCACTGTAAAACAATTGCGAGATTTCAATATAACTGATTCTCATCACAGATGTGCAAACAGTGAATAACGATTTAATATTTCACAAACATTCTCATATTAAACTTCATCGGACATTTCAAGAATTCTAGTATGATGATCTTTTTTCGGTTGTTTTGTATGTGTATGCGCTTTTTTAGTTTTTGTTGTTTCATTATGTGATTTTTTTGTTGGATGCTGAGAATGATTTGCTGTTGTAGTTTTGGGTTTAGATCGAGATGTTGTTGAAGGTTCTGTTCGATGATGAGAATGTTTCTCATTTGGTGATTTTGTTCGAGATTGTTTTTGTTCGGTAGATGATGTATGAACTTTAGTTGGTCGTTTTTTTACAGGTTTAGCCGCAGATTCAATCATTTTAGCTGATGAGTGACTGGCATCTGAAAGTTCATCTTGCGAAGGTTGTGTTGCACGACGTTCAATTTTACGATGAGATGACGTTGAATGCTTTTGAGTTGATTTAGATGTAGTTGTAGGAGGTACTGATCGATGGGAAGTAGATTTTCCATTTGGCATTTGAATTTCTACGTTAGTATGATGAGATTTTTTCTTTGGAATTTTAATCATTTCTTCTTCTTCTTCCTCTTCTTCAACTTCAACTTTTTGACGTGGTTTTGATTTTGATTTTCTCGTAGTTTCCTCTTCTTTATCGATTTTTGGACGTGATTTTCGTTTAACAGGTTTTTGTTCTTCTTCTTCATTATCACTTTCCGGTTGTTTTGTTCGAGATTTTCGTCTAGTAGTTGTCTTAATTTCTTGCTCTTCTTCTTCTTCGTCATCACTAATATTTTTTGTTTTTCGAGGTTTTCGTTTTGTATCCTTTTCCTCCTCCTCCTCCTCCTCTTCATCATCAGTAACAGTTTCTTTTCGTATTATTTGAGATTTTCGTTTTGTAGTATGAGCTTGTACTGGTTCATCTTCATCTTCATCACTATCGACTACTTTCGTTTTTGATGTTCGTTTTTTAGTGTAAACTTTTTTGGTTTCATTTTCTTCATCATCACTTTGAACAATCTTTTTACTTGATTGTTTGGTTCGTTTAATAACAGGCTTTGCATCATCATCGTCATCATCATCATCACTTTCAGCTTGTACTTCATTTTCTCTTGTTATTGATGGCTTCTTCTTTGCTTTTCTAAATCCTCCGTCGTCATCATCATCATCATCATCATCGGGTTCAACTTCTATTACTTGTTCACGTTTCTTCTTAGTAGTTCTTTTCTTTTTTGTCGTTGTTTCACCATCATCATCGTCATCAACAGCTTTATTTGCACGTGCTCGATCAATAAATTTTTGAACTTCTGGATCTTTTGTGTACATAACATCATCATTATCTTCTGATACTTTAAATATTGGAAATTTTTTACATGTTCCATAATAAAATAATTTGCTTAATAAATCCCATGAATTTCTTTCAAAAATATAAAATGCTAAACATTCAAATATAATATTTGTTATACGTAATATAAAACATATTTTTAATATTATTGTAAATACATCTTTTGTTGAATCAATACGTGTTAATATACTATTAAACATTGATACAAAATAAAATGGAAATGAAAAAAATAAATTTAATAAAAGAAATATTGTAACTAATGTTGTTGTACGACGATCACCATGACTTTCAAGATCACGACGTTGTTTTTTACAACAATATGGTGTACATAAATTAAAACCAATTGAAAATATGATTGGTTTAACAATTAATATAACAAATAAAATAATAATTAATGTTTTAAATACAGATGATAAACGACCATCAATTGAACAATGATATCGACGTGATGCAAGTCTACTAACAACATCACCAAGAATAGGTGGAGCAAGACTATATGCTTTATCTTTTATTAAATTAAAACTAAATTGTTTTCTTATAAACATAAATGTAACAAGTAATGCAATAAGAACAATCCATATAACCCATAGAATAACTTGTATTAGATAAGGTTTCGTAAATATTCTTGCCCAGGTCATAGGAAGATTAAAATGTTTTGATAAACGTTCGAGCGAGAGAAAGAATAAAGCAAATTGCATGATTGGAATTGTTACATACATACCTAAAAATAGATATGTGTTTTTTAAGATTTTTTTATTTTAATTATTATTGTTAAGTAAAATCGAACAAATATGGTTCGTTTGAATTTTTTGTTCTACATGTTAATTTTTTTTACTTGAAAATGTGAATTATTCAAGTGTTTATTCTACTTCGATAGTTCGAAGAGTGAGTATGGTATTCATTCATTGAAAAAGCTTGAAGTGGATAAAAAAAAGGCAAATGTTTTAATCATTATGTACGAAACCATTGATTGTGACATTTACAAGAGGACTATGTCAACATAATATTCACCAGAACTAAGATAACTCATAATCATTTCTATCTACATTTATTGTTACATAAACACAATTTTTTTTACATTAAAAAAAAGAAAAATGATGTTATTATGGGTTCTATGACAAGTTTCTTATTTCATAAATATATGCAGCATGTTTACAAGTACGATTCTACCAAAAGTTTTCGATCAGACTTATGAAAAATGATAGCAATATCGAAGAAAAAAAACTTCTTTCTAGTAGTCTATCATCACTTATGGTTAGTATCTCTCATATGTATTTCTTTACAGAAAACAGCACGTTCTAAATATCTTTAAACACATGTAACCTTGTAATAATATCAAATAAACATGATATATACAAGTCATATTAACTAAAAATGATTGGCGGCTTCGAGAATTTTGTGAAACACAAATTTTATCAATTAAGCTATTGGGAACAAGAATATTATCGAATAAATTGAAGATATAGCATTTTCTTTCAACCTTATTAAAATCTATAGTATACCTAATTTATCCATTTATATTCGAAAGAAAAAAATATTCATAAACTTTTAATAAACTTATCTAATTTATGGTATATCTTATACATTTATCTTCTTGAAAGAAATTATGATGACAGATAATAATCATGTTTACAACTTTCTAGCATGATAAAAATAAGAAAATATCTTGATGATATGCATAAATAATGAGTTTGCTTGCCTGATGATATATAACATTGACCTATCATCAGTTTCTATCAAAGAAAATATTGAATCTTATTTTATTCTTTGTGATTGATTGAATAATGAATTCTCATTCATATTTACCTTCGATCTATCGAATGATCATCTACTTATCATATTTCTTAAATGAATATATAAATATTTACTCTCTGTCTCTCTATAAATATCATTTAACTATTTAAAATTCAAAAAAATATCGACATACCATAATTTGCAATATCACAAAAAAATGATGCCATATGAAACTCTTTTGCTACATTAATCATTGCCAATAAAATATACGTAAGATAACAAAGTTCACAAAGAAATATATGAAAAAAAATCATATTAGTACTTGTTGAACCACGTTTTTTCTTAGCTGGTAAAAATATAACGATAATTGTTGGTATAAGACATAAGAGAGCAATAACCCATAAACATATAAGAGCTGTTTGTAGATAAACATCATTCTCTGTTTCAGGACTAAATAATGAATCGTAAAAACCTTTGGGATAAGTTTTATTGTCATATAAATCAAGTTTGTCATCAATTTTATGTTTAACTTTATCTTTAATTGATTCATAATGTGTTTTATTTTTTAAAACATCTTTCATATGATGCATATGTTGACGAAAACCATGACGAGAATTATCATTATGATCTTCATGAGAATTATTTGTTGTTGTAGTTGTTGTTATATTTTGATGAATAAATAACGTAACATTATGTTTAATAGCTTTATCTTTAATTTTATCTTTTACTCGATCTTTTAAACGTGAAAATTTATCACGAAAACGAAATGATGGTCGATGTTGATCGGTATCTGCTGACATTTATGTAGAATTTGATTAATCTAAAATAGAGAGATGAATATCATCTACTGATTTTTATCGGGGGAAAAATTTCAGACAGAGTGCGATCACACCTACACGAAAAGATACATGAATAATATTATAAAAATCATCGCGATAGATTACAAATTTCTTAATAAAACGAATAAGAACTTCTTATAACCTTCAATTTTTTACGATCTAGACTTAATCGATCATAAAAAAGCATCAAGTCATTATTATATAATCTACATATACATGTAGATATGAAAGAAAAATAATAACTGTACTGTTCATATAATAGATTACTTTTTAATGTCAATATAAATTTAACTGACGTTTATAAGAAAAACGAAAAAAAAAGAAAAGTAAAAGATGTTGTATTTAAGTCAGGGTTATTTTTTTTCGATGTTCTTCCATTTCACATAATTTTATGTTATTTTATTTTACCTTGAATAATATTTTTGTTATGCATATCAAATATATGCAAGAAGAAAATAATATTAGTATTAAACAGCATGCGATTCAACTGAAAAAAGAAATAAATGTATATAACATGCTTTTTCGAGTCTTATATTTAAATAATTGCTTGATTGTTGAGAAATTATGAGTCATTCTGAATAATCCGCTTATTTATCCTCAAGGTACAAGTTTTGTATTCTACTTGATTTCTCATTAAGATCAATGCCCGCGTCTATTATATTCTTGCTAATAAAAAAAATGTCTTCCTTTGTAAAAAAAAAAGGTTACTGTACGTAACATATAGATCAAATGATTAATAAAGGATCAGTTTTCATTTTTGTGTACTTACGTAGTTATTTTGAAATGATGTATCAGCTCGAACTATATCTCTCTAGAACTGCTGTTGCCTCGTACCAAACTAATGACATTTAAATAACGGATACTATCGGACCCGGTTTTTTTTCTTCTTTCCTATATGTTGACTTATTCATTTAAGGAATTATCTGTCGGAATAGAAACACCAACGAATAGACATCTGACTTTCAACAGATATCAATTGACAAACGAGTACGTCCATTAATGACAAAAATAGTCGATGTGTCTGTTTGTTGTTATTAATTTTTGTAGATATTCCAAGGACAATTACAAAATAATTCGTACGCATCTATAATTTACCTTTATAATAAAATAACATCTATCGTGTTGTTTGTGGTTATAAATGTAGCCAATATAATCGTACGAGTAAGAAAGAATAGCTCATATGAGCATGTAGACATGAGATCATGCGTTGTGTGTTGTAGTAGTAGTAGTAGTAAGAGTACGACTAGCGTATACATCACTACTCCTTCTCTTCAACAAAAAATGAGAAAGAAAAACGAAGGAAAGAAAAAAGAGAAAGGGAGAAAGTTTCTTTTTTTGTCTTGACTATCCTTGACATGTTGTATAGGCATGCGGCACATGGAATATCGATTGACAAAAAGATATACATGGACAAAAAATAGAACGAGAAAGACCATAACATCAAATAAAGTACATATACTTCGTCCATTTATACAATCCTCTTATGAAAGATGCATAACAGACCACGAATGTACAATGATTTTTTTATGCATTTATTGTACAAAAGAAAATAAATGTAATAAAATGAAATACAAGAAAAAAACAAGTTAAATCCAATTAACTTTTTCAAGGACTTTTATGTAGATCTTTTAAAAAAGTATAAACAAAAAACATTGGAATAATGCCAAGGTTGCAAACAGACAACGACATCTATTATTAAATTATGTATAAAATTTATAATTAATTTGACTTTTATATAAGAATATTTTGTAAAAAGATTAAAATTTATAAAAAATCTTATGAAAAAAATTCTATTCAATATCGAGGTTGTATCTTAACAATTAAGAACCATTATGGTAAAGGGATATACGCGTAATACATAAAAGTTGAATAATTTTTCAAAAAAGACAATTTAAATTCTTCAGCTATTAGCACAATGTCAGTTATAACATCAAAACGTATTAAAACACCAATGAATGTAATATGAAATGAATATTTTGTTATTTATATTTATTAACTGTTTATGTTTAGCCGTTAGATAAACGGATACCACGTAATCCAAAGTATGAAAATGTTCAAACAACACTTGATACAGGTTTGTTCATAAATAAACTATTATAAAAAATTAATTAATTGAATTTTTCAGGAGATAGTATGACAAAATTTCTTAAACGCAATGAAGAATTACGTGCATGTAAGTCATTATAAAAAAAACCCGAAATATGATTTAGTAAATGTATATTTAGCGAGTAAACAACAAGTAGGTGAAATATTCAAACGGATGAAAATATCGACACTTGTTCAATTGGTTTGTACTATCGATTTTTTGTTTTATTTATCTAATGAAATTATTTCAGATCATACAAGTATCAGAAATAAATTCAGTTACAACTCCAAAACCTACTGATTTTGGTAAGAGAATAGAATTTAGGCTTAATTTTTGTAATGATTATTTGATTATAGATCCGATTGCATCAGATCGAACATTAACTGATCTTGATCGACCTCAAACAACAGATAGTCAGATGAGTGTTGCAACAACACGATCAACCTTGCAAAGGTAAAAGTCTTTTTTTTAATAAAAATATTTATTCTTCATTTTTTCTTTTAGTGTTATTCGTGGTGTTGGAGAAATGGATGTAAATAAGAATTCTCAAAATCGTTCATCAATAATAACACCTGTAACACCTAAAACTCCAATGAGTGAACACTTAAATTTAGAATACGATGAACGACCTTATTTAATCGTTGATCTTCGTGATAAAGATGAATTTCGAACCAATCATATTGTTTCGGGTAATTGAATTTTTCAAGAAAATTAAAATATTTTCATCCATATCTTTTCTTATTAGCTCATCATTATCCAGCTGCTATGCTTTCACGTTGTTCAAATAATGAATCAAGAGAATTACTTATCTATGTATGTTCCTTTTAGTGACACTGATCTTGTTCTACATAAAAATATGATACAGTTTATTGCTAAGAATCTAATATGAATATTCTTGTTTAGAAAAATCATAAAGGCAAAATTATTGTTTTATATGATGATGATGAACGTATTGCTCCACAGGCTGCAACAATCATGATGGAACGTGGTTATAATAATATTTTCTTACTTTCTGGAGGTAAAATTTTCTTAATTTTGCAAAAACATTTGAATAAAATAGTTTCTCGTTTTACACTTACAATAATTGTTTTGCTCATTTGTTTGTATTACATATTTTCTATCACCACCATTAAAATATATTATTGTATGAAGAAGAAGCTCTAGAGTAAGAATAAGATAAACATCTTATAGTGTCAATTTACAAATATTTCTATTTTGAGTATGCATAAGACATTCCAAAGAATATTATTTTATAACAGTCGTAGAAATTCTTCGTTTGATTTGATCGATTATCTGTTATACATGAATACATAATCTCCTATTGCGATTATTTTCAATAAATCTATTATAGGTTTAAAATATGCTGTTCACAAATTTCCTCGTGGACTTTTAACTGGTACATGTCCTTTATCTTGGACAACATCAAGTGCATCGCGAACATCATCATCGGCAAAAACTAAACGTCCACCATCGACTGCTACTAATCGTCAAGAAGCACCTGTTGGTCAATCACTTGCTAGTACAATACAACCGACTCAAGGTCCAGTGGTTACATTTGATACACGTGAACAATTTACTCGTGAAGATATTGAAGATTTAAATCAAGCACTTGAAAAAATTCTTTTACCACAAGATAATCGATCACGTTCATCACGTCCAAATACATCAGCATCAACAACAAGTTCACGTTTCTCAATGGTTTCTGAACGTTCTAATTTTAGTAATGTTTCAGACAAAGCATGGAAACCATAAACTGATTCATATTTCTTACACTTGTATGCGATTGTCTTTTTTCTCTCTTTCTTTTTTGTGTGTGATTACATTATGAAATAAACTTATACTTGAACCTCCTCAATGGTCATACACATGAACATTGGCAAAAGCATAAGGAGTTAAGTTCAAACATTCTGTAATGCGATACACATATTAGATTTACAAAATTTTAGCTAAATCAATACAAATAACAATTTAATAAGATAGAAAACTTCAGACTAACCTGATATTTATATTGAAAATAAGCAGAATGTTGATTTTGTATTCAGATGTTCATTGTATGTTCGAATTGTGTAATTCCAAAAAATTTTTATTAAGTCACGCTTAGTAGACTGTCTTAAAGGGAGTTATCATCGGCTCAAAACAAGTACTAACATTAAAGAAAGTGACGCTTTTATTAGACTTTTCAACATATAGTTTGCTAAGTTATAATTAGGGAGGTGACAGTTCAAGCTCGTGAACTATAGCTTCCCTTTCGAAAACATCAATCACATTTTTCTATTTTAAGCTACATCTATCATATAGTAGTTAATAAATTGTGTATCACAAACAATCATAGAGATTTATTTTTTTTGGTAGACTACGTATGCTTGAGAAATCTTATCCTTCTGCAACTCTATAATCTATATTGTGAGGTCATCAAAATTAGTTAATAAATCATATAAAATACGAATCAATACACTTTTTTATACTCAACAATTCTAGTAAGATATCATGTTTTTATGAGTTATATTTCGATTATAAACAGTTGATTTTTATTTATAGATTATTTTAATCATTGAATGATTATTTGATTAAAATATGAATTATTTCTCTAATGATCTAAGAGATATGAGACAAAGCTGACTTAGATTTTTGGTTGATGATTCGAAAGGATTAAAAATAAGAATATATATTTTGTAATTTCTAGTTGATAAGAAAAATATCGATCAAAATGTTTAAACAATCGAGTTATATATTGGAACTTTGATTTCAATATAGAATTCATCTTTATAATTCTTTCGATTTATTTAAATATTTTTCAAAGAAAAGATAAAAGATTATTTTTTGTAAATAAATTTATTGATTTAATATGATATATAAGAGAAAAATGATATTGAAAAGAAATTAAAAGAAAGAGAATAAATATGAAAAGCTTATTAACATAAAAATAAAGAATAAAACTTATAGTCATTGACGATATATCTAACAGAGAAGGTAAAGTATTCTGATAGTTTGATCGTTTGCGACAAGAAGTGTTGCTTTACCATCACTATTAATATCAATCATCGTTGCATAATTTGGTTGGTCAATGTTGCTAATAACTTTTTGTTCTCCAAATGTTCCATTATCTGTATTGAAAAGAATACTAGTTTTATTGCTGTAACCATGTGAGAGAATAATATCCATTTTATTGTCATTGTTGAAATCGGCTGTTTCTAAAGATGTCAATTGATAATTACTGTGATAGTCAATTGGATCAGCAAATGTACTATTGCCAAAACCGAAATGTATCTGAAAATAATAGTCATATCCTACGATTAAATCTATTTTATTATCATGATTTATATCAATAGCTTTAATATATCGAGATTTCAGGCCAATCGAAGTAGACTTTTGCTCGATAAAATTACCATTATCGGTATTTAAAAGCACAGTCATTTTAACATAATCATGTGTTGTAATAATATCAGGCAGAGCATCATTATTCACATCGATTACTTCCAGAGTGAGTGGAAAATAAGTAGGTTCATACCTGATTTGTTTACTAAATACACCATTACCATCATTCAAAAAAACGAAAATACATTCATCGAACGAACAGGTGGCAATAAGATCAAGTTTATTGTCTTTATTGATATCAACTGCTTTTACATCAAGTAGCATTTCATCTATTAGAATGATCGTCGAATTGTTAAAGTTGCCATTGCCGGTGTTATAAAAGATAGTGATCTCCGGTGCATCTATACTAGTAGCAATAATATCGAGCTTGCCATCATTATTGATATCACCTGTAGTTATACGTGACGGTTCGATTCCATGTGAAACCGTTTTCGATTGAGTAAATGTTCCATTGCCAAGATTTAAGAATATCATAATAGTTTTCTCAGGACGGCTTCCGACAATGATATCCAATTTATCATCTTCATTGACATCTGCTAATAATATAGAGTCGAGCGAAATAGTTGAAGGCTTGAAACTTGCTAGCACAGAATCTACCAAACATGAACCTAATACAAAACAAAAAATACTTTTATAGTATGCAGTGATCATGAAGATGTGACCAACAAAAATAATATTGACGCTCTCAGTCAACTATCTATCGATTCTCAAATGCTCTTAATTTATGATAGACAAGATTTCAAAAGCTTTTGTATTATGAGTTATCGAGAATGAAGGACCGACTTCTTTCTATGAGAGTTATACCGGTCGTTGTTGACGTTGTTCTTCTCGTTGTTGATCTCGTCGTTGTTCTCGTCGTTAGTCTCATTGTTGTTGTTGTTGTTGTTGTCATTGTTGCTGTTGTTGTTGCTGTTATTATTGTTGTTGTTGTTGCTGCTGTTGTTGATGATGTTTTTTCTACATCTCCATGTCTCTTTGTGATAATAATTATGGGACCAATAATCATTAGTATAATCAAAATAATAACCAGAATAGGCAGCACAATCCACATCCATTTTTTTGTTCGACTTTGTTCCAACCTAAAAATAAGAAATACTTTTAATCATGAAACTCAGTCAAGCTCCCATTCCATCTAATTTGTGTTTGATCTTAGTATCGATATTTTATCATATTGTATTCTTATAAGTATTTTATTATTATACATCAATAATCATATGTGTTGTACTCTGAATACATTCTTACAAAAACAAACAATTATATACTTGTATTTTCAGGATACATACATTCGTTTGTAAGAGTAAATTTCAATTGAAAAACACGGTACTATCAATATATAATAATGAAAATAATAAAATACCTATGAGCAAACAATATTTAGAAAATCGTCAATAGAAGAAGCGAAGATAAATCAACTTTTAATCAGACTTAGATCGAACTTTTCGACCTTACTACATGTAAAACTCAAAATACACATACAATGTTCGTGGTTGAGTTGTTGAAGTCTGATCTATATTGATGCTACTTGATTGAGGCTAAAATAATTAAAATAAAATAAAAATAAGCCCATGTTACATCTTTAATGATTACATCACGAATAATCGTATTGTTGTAATTCATAGGTGATACTTCGTTCAACTTTACCATTTTAAAAATCGAATAACTGCAAGAACAAAAAGGATATACTTGAAAGGTTTTTACTAATTTAAAATAAAAGTTTGTCATGGTTTCATATTAAAAAAAAATATCTAAACCTATGATGAACTATTAATATCTTGGTAATATGACACTTTCTATTAAAATAAGAAAAAATGCTTAACTAGTAAGAAAATAAGAGAAAACGATAATACTTCTATAACTTTGAATGAAAAATATTTTCCTTTACTTATTGAACACATATGAACTGCTTAGTAAATTATCAAAATGATTGCAAACGCTTTCTGTTTTTGAGGGTATACTCACAAATATGAATCTTTGTAAGAGAATGTGACTGATATATGAGGAGAAATTATTTATCCTTATTTTTAATATTGTCTAGATGAAATAAATAATCGAACTAAGAAATATATGCATATTACCTCTTAATCCTATATAAATTTGCTTAATAAAAACTGAGATCCTGAAAGTAATCGTAATGAATTTGAAACTACGTGCCAAAAATCTTGTTTTCCAGATCAAAGTTAAAAGCTATTTGAAAAAGGAATCAATCGTTTTTCTTTCGTAAATCTGAGATATTCTTTTAAATATATATATAAATATTTGTCAATACTTTTTTATTAAAAATTTTGCGCATATAGTCATAATATTTCCTAGAAAGAAAGTAAGAGTTATTTTCATCAAAATCAATACCGTAGTTATTCGACAAATAATTTATATATGCTGCAAAAATAATAAACAAAATAACATAGAGAATATCTTACCTATTAATAAACATGCATCGTAGCTAATGTACACTCAGTATGTGAATGGCGGATGATAGAAGATTTATTTTACAGAAGCATTCATATAAAACCATCTTGAGGGTAGGTGCGGGTTTGGGTATGGGTAGAAGTGTGGGTATGAGTGTGAGTGTGGGTGTGGGTGTGGGTATTCTATTTTGTCAACACCCACATTCACCCACCCATACCCACCCACACTCAATCATCCACACCCACATCCACCCACACTCACCGA